TTTCCATAACTAGTTTAAAAACGAATATTTAATCTGTACTTTCAATCTCAAGAATCAAAAGATTTTTAAAAATGTAATTTCAGATGTGTTGGAATTTAACACACACCAAGAAAGTAATTTCGTTAACTAAAATTAATTAATGCAGCAATTTATTTAAATTAAATTTTACTAAGAAAATACTAAGAAAAGAAAATAATAAAAGTATCAAAAATTTAAAACACTGTTTTTTAACTTTTAAAATCAATATATATAGATAAAAAATATTTGTTGATTTAAATCAACGAACCCTGCATAAAAATTTAAGTTTTCAGTTAATAGTTAGTGGCCGGTAGACTGCTATAACTTAGTAGTACTTTTTCCTCAAAGCGAAAGAGTCGGTGAACAATATCGATAGGTCTTTTTCATTTAATAGCTACTTTTGGATAACTTTTTTTACTCAGAATAAATAATATTTTTTTAAAAAAATTTGTGAATTCAAAAAATAATCTACAGCTGCAAAACGTTAATTCAATAATAAAAATAATACAAATATGTGACAAAATTTAGTTGAACATACTGACTTTAAAGAACTTTATTTAAAAATATTTCGGGAGAGAAAATATACTTAATGTTTGAACATTACAACTTTGAAATATGTGAATTGTTAAGGAACCTTCTTTCCAGATAATTCTTCCCATCTGGCTTCTGAAGGATCAAAATTTTAAGTAGAGACATTAGACATTTTAATGAAAATTCTGTTTTCCTTTCATCATTACGCAATTTTCAAAAATATAAATAAATAAATGATGGGAAAAGTGACTGGTTGTCACCACTTTCTCTTGATATCTCATCATGTGAAGAGTGGTAATTTCCAGGTTTATAATCTAGACAATTTTTCACTTTAAATCTTAGAATCTGAAAGAAAGCTTTGACACTATAAAAAAAAGGTATGAATTTAGCTCTTTTAATTGACATGTCGGTACCATTTATAAATAGAAAGGAAACTTCAAACTACTGAGCCATAAAAATAATTTCAAAGTAATCTTAGTTTTCAAAAAGAGCATTAGATTAAATCATTTTAAGCTAAACAGAACTTGATTGGAAATTAAGACATTACTAGAAGTGTAATAGGTGGGAGGTAGGTAGGGAAACAGGATACTCTCTAGTTTTTTGATAAAATCCCATTTTTTTCATCAATTCTTCAAATTTTAACCAATAATAAAGCTTTTACTTGTTGTGAAATTAATTCATTTCTATATTTATTTATGTTCTGTAAAAATATTTTAGCTCTATTAAATTAAGTTAAAAATTAAAAGATCTGTATATTCATGGTGTATATTCAAAATAATATTTAAACAGGTCCTCTATTACTATTCTCTTATTTAGATTGAAATTATGTTATGAATTTAAATTAAATGAGAAAAATCTGAGCTAAAGTGGTCATAATTTTAAACAAAAAGAAGTTCCTGAAACATTACTCTTTGTTAGTTTTTAAAAGAAACGTACATAAAAAAAAGTTGAATTTTTAGCATTACCTCATTGAAAATTTGTCACTTATTACACTGAATAAATCAAGAATAAAAAAAAATGGTAATAAATTTTCATCAAATAAATGGTTCTAAGAATCAAAGAAAACTCATATTGATACAAAATTTTATGTATTTTTAGTATTATTACAACAAGTTAGTCAGTAAATCACTGAATATTTCATGTATCAAAATAATATCAACAAAATTTTCATTGATAAATAGATCTGGGAATCAAAGCAGTCAAATATTGAATCAAACTTTAAGATTAAATCTATTTTTAAAAATACTTATAAATGCTACAAAAAATACATCCCTTAAAATAAATAAAATTGAAATTTTTATTATATTACCAAAGGTCCATTAAAAATTTCTCCATTCCATAACAAAATATTGCCTTTGTCATCCTGAACTGGTTGCGGTTCTAAAGTGGACCCTCTAAGATGCAAAACAGATGAATAAAAACATAACTCAAATGATCTTTCTGAAAAAACTTTTATTTCTTGAAAACAATCAGGTCCTCGTGATTTCAACTTTTCAGTTAATTCCTAGAATCATTTGAGAAAAGTTTTGAGACATAAAACAATACAATATTCATGTATGGGGCCGTTCAAAAAGTACGTACAAAAAAATGGAGAAATTTTAACCCCCCCCCCCTTTCGTACATTACCGTACATAAGGTCTTACTCCCCCCTTAGAGTACGTACATTTTATTAGTCTACCCCTCTTTTTCATAAAAATTAAAATAATTATGTTTTAAATAAAATTCAACATTTATTTAAGGAGTGTGTAGGAAAATGTCAAATTTAAATTTAGTGTATGCTTATAATGTATGTACTTTGCATAATACCTCCCCCCCTCCCCATCGTAGGAAATAGCAAATTCCCTCCCCGCCTTTGGGATGTACGTATTATTTGAACGGCCCCTATATACAAGTATCATATATCCCAGAGAAGCCAACCCATTGTATAATTTTATTTTTGATCACAAAATAGCAAATTTCGAGTATAAATCGACCACAGAAAAACAAAATATTTTCTAAAATGAAAGAGAAAAAAATATTAAGTCTCAGAATTTTCTTACGTTAAAAATATTTCGCACTGTTCTCTTGGTAAAAATCCACCCTGTTCTTATACATGTCATTATGTGTGGCGAAATAAGATTTCAAATGTTACTGTAAAATCTTTAAAAAAAGTGTAAAATTGCACATTCTTGTTAAGATAAAGGCCACTTTTTGGGAAACTCATAAAAGGATACAGTAGTATCCATTGTAGAGTTGGATCTATACAATTATATTGCTACACTATTGAATTCAACACAGATGATGTTCCGGAATCTTCAAATTTATAGCTTTATAGCATGTTTTCAAAATGTTATAATATTCAAAATACTCTTAAATAAATAATCCTAACATTTCTTATTCTTAGTTTTTTTCTGAACGTAATTTAAAGTATGGTTCCTAAAATAAAACTTTTATTTGTAAAGAAAATATGGAGCAAAAATGTAAAATGAATTGTAAATAACAAATTAAAACTAAGTTTAGAAAGGGGTGTAAGTCAATCCCCTAATTTTAGTAAAATTTTGAAGGTTTGAAAAGCTGACTCACAAGCTAAGAAATACTGTAAAAATTTAATTACAGAATCTTTCAATTTACTATAAATCGCTAAAAAAATCATTTGTTCCAGCAACGCAAATAGACAGTTTCCTTCACACGGATTTTTATGTTTATTTAACATTGTTTTCGACTAAGGGACCATTCCTGAATGATTTCATACATAGATGGAGCAAAGAATATAGAAAAAAGAAGAACTCTAGCTCTTCAAATAAGTAATAACTAACATGGCTAACAGCTCAGTGTGGTATGTTATACCGGAAAAACAATTCACAGGTGAGCAATATACTAAGATACAGCAGAACATCATATATAAAAATATAAAAAACCAGCATATGTGCATAAAAAACAAAGCGACAGTCAGGATGTACGTCACCTGTGAGCCAGTTGTTGGATAACACTACATCCGGCCAACTGCCATTTTATTCTTTCTTTCTGTCTCAAAATATGTTGGCAGATATAATCAACATGGATAATATAAATGTATTTTCAAATAAATATCTTAATTAATAGTACAGTGCTGTTTATAAATAGATTAAAAATGCAGAACTAACAATAAATAAAAAAGTGAAAGCTATTCATTTACTCCCCAATCTCTCCCCCTCTCTGGTAAAAATTAAGAGGAGAGGAGGGTGAAAATCAGTTTTAAAACCTCTGCTACTGTGTCTCTAACTGTTGCTTTTTCCTTCATACACAGGGACCTAACCAGGCCTTGAGAGACCAGTTTACACTATATCTATCACTGCTAGCCTTCTTCCCCCATATATTATTCTTTGGATGGATGAAGGGTGTTAGTGAAATTGTGATAAGGGGAAAGGAGGGAACATTCCAGACAAGAATTGTGATATCACATATTCTGGATAAAACAAAAACAATTTAAACCAGCAGATTAAATATATTTATCTTATTTTTTTATACTTCTTAATTTTACATTCATTTCAATTTCCTGTTTTCTTCGAATAATTTTGCTTTCCATTCTTGTTGAATTTATTTTGTATTGAAACAAATTGATGCTGATTTAAGTTTATGTTAGCTCTGATAGTTAGGAAGGTAGTTAGGATTAAAAAGAAATCTTTGGTTACATTTATACTTTTAAAAAGAATAACTTGGGTCATTTTCCCAAAATTGGAACATAATTAAAAGCAAAAAATCACACACAAAATAATAAAAATTCAAAATAAAATTTTGCAATACTATTTTCAATTGTGCTTTTTTTTAATAAAACTTTATTATTATTGTATATCAATTATGCTTTTGATATGAATCTAAATCTTATTTCATATAAAATAAGTATACGCACAAAATAATAATGTAATGTTTGCTAATGCCCTTAAAACACTTAGTTAAAATTGTAAAATTAAATATGAAAAATGATTGATAATGTTACACTTTGTTTTTGAATAACAAATATACACCAATGTAGCACAGAGAAATGTAACACTTTGCAACAAAAAAAAAGATGATGTCAAAAATATTGAAATTAAGGTGTAACATCATTTATAGACAATCCCTAATATTGATTCATACAAAAATATGTATTTCACGTTTTAATTTAAAACTAACAGATAAATTTATTTGTTGCAAAACATATAAACACTTTAAAAATAATCATACAATTTTTGACTCAACAGTTAAAAAAATTAAAAAATTTATGTTTTATTTATTTAAAAATCTATGTTTTATTTATTTAAAATCGAAATTATTGATTCTATAAAAATTATGATTTACAATACAGCCAAATTTATTTGTTGCAAGTCTTGTCTTAACATAAGTTTAAATTTACAAAACCGAGATAAAACCCTAATATTACATCAACAATTAACTAAGTAAAGAATAAAGTTCATGAACTGTAATCATAAACAAAGTTTGTACATTTAACCTACAGTGTAAATAAAATAAAAAAATTTAAAGTAACAACTTTTAAACATTTTGTAATATTGCTGGGCCTTATAATTTTCATTTTTTGATAATTTTGAATTAATCAGGTACAATGAGTATCCTGATTTAGTAAGCGAACTTTATCAGGTCTTCATTATTCTCAGAAAGCGAATTCAACTGTATCTCAGAACTCTTAATTTAAAACTTTGCTTTTGAGTAAAATGTATGACATTGAGACTGTTTTTAGATTACAAAATACTGTATAACACCTCACAAAATTTAAAATTTTATAGGCTGATAGAAAATGTTAATTTAAAAGTACAACCTGTCTATACTTAAACAATAAGGTACAATTTTCATAATATCAAGAGCAGGATTTACATTTATTGTGCAATTTGGTATAAACTAGGGATAATAACAGATAAATTACAAACAGAGAACTAGAGCCTATATTTGGTTCAATCTAATGGCAGGAAAAACAATACTTTTTTGTTAACTACAACTATTTTATTACCAATGTTGTGAACTACTACTATTTTTTTTTTAAATACGGTGATTACAAACTACTTTCAAATGTTAGTCACTCCTTAGCTACTTTTAAGCCAGAAATTTTGCTGGAGAATTCCAAGTACACTCATGCTCAAAATTAAAAAAAAAAAAATTAAAAAAAATATTATTGAAAGATAAATAATTGCAAGAAAACTAGTTAGGATAATAAATAAATCTATTTATTCTTTATGAACTTTTGCGTTTCAACCTTCAACTTTTTATACCTTTCATGACAGCAAATATTTATTTTAAGATATGATAGAAAATTACCAAATATTCATTTTTTTTTAAGTGTTTCAAGCTTAGGTTAACTTATCAAAAAAAAAAAAAAATTAAGTAAAGTACATGGAGGACATTAATCTGAAAGAGTCCGCTGATCAGTTTTGCGTCAATTAAATTAAAAAAATTAATTGCCTTTGAGCCTTGTTTCTTCACTACATTAACGTTAAAAGTAGTTTCAAGGACCGCTAGACTAGACAACTTTAATTTTAAAAAAATAGTACACTACTCTATGAACTACGAAAAAAAGTACTGACAAGAATAGTTTCGTTAAAGTGTTAGTTCCGACCACTGGAATAATGATATTTTTACTTCCATAACTCATAATATTTTCTTTTCTAATAATACAATATTTAATATTTATAATAATATTTTCTTAAATATTGCTTTCTTAAATATATACTTAAATATTTTTATGAAAATAATGTATTGATAATAAAAATTGGCAATTTAGGTCCCTTATAAATAAAGCTTCAAAGTGCAAAACTCAACTCTAAAGACACACAAAAACGTGCATAAGATCAATTGCAACTGAATCCATTGCATACCTCTAAGAATTCAGGAGTGATTTGAGATTGACTATCTGATTCACCAACACGAGAATGCAATAATAAACAAATTCCACACATAACAATTATCAAATGTTCAGAGAAAACATTAAATTTCAAAACGTATATTAAGAACGATCGCAGCAATCACATCGAATGTAAACATAAGTGGCAAATGTGTTGTATCTATAGCAACAGATAAAAATGAATTTTTATAAATTATCGATTAAGTTTTTGAATTTTGCTTATTGCTTACATTGAGTAAAATATCTCAATCTCTATGAATGATCCGCAAAGCTGGGTCACGCGTTTTTGGAAAACATGGGTCCATTTAATCATTTTATTCATGCTATAAAATTTAAATAGTATGGGTCCTCGTTAAACTGTTCTACAGTAAAGTGCTCGACTTCACATGCAGGTCGTCGGGCTACCGAAGCGGGGGTGCCATCCCCTCTGCAGAGGATCAAAATTGCGATGGCATATTCTCCGGATCATCCTCAGGGATGTTTCCCAGACCGTCGCCAATAGCCCATTGTGCAGCTCTAGTGCGGCGTAAATGAACAACAATAAAATTTAAATAATAATATTCTGAGATAATAAACATAAATTATTGATAACATTTGATTATTTTAGCATAAATCATGAGTTAAATTTGCTTTCATTGGTTGTAAGTGCATTAAAGAAAAATTAAACCTTAATAAGATCCTTTGATAGAAATTAATACTCTGAAATTAATTGACACAAGACATTGCCTGATTAATTGACACAAGTAATAATATTGAAGTATAATTTTTCAATTATAACAATTGGAAAAAAAAGACACAAGAAATATTTGCAAGTGAAGTAGGTAGGTAAATACTTTATTTACGACACACTAGAGTTGCCCAATGGGCTATTAACGACGGTCTTGGAAACATTCCTGGGGATGACACGAAGACAGGCCATCTCAATTTTCATTCTCTGCAGAAGGGATGGCTCCCTTGCTTTGATAGTCTGACGGCATGCGGGTGAAGTTGAGCACTTTACTGTAAAACAGTTTAAAACTGACTGATACCGCACATCATCGGTCCCTACGCAGGCTGATCAAAGTGGTCACCCACCCGCTTATTGACCGCAGCTATTGATGCTTGACTTCGGTGTTCAACTGGGAACCGTGTCTTTGTAATCAGCCCACTGCGGGACACTTGCAAGAGAAAAATAATCTCAGGTATTGCATAAAACTGAAAAAATATCAGTTTCGTTTCTAACTTCATGAAGGAAAAATAAATAAAAAGTTACTGAAACCAGGTACAAATAATGCAGGCAATGGTAGCAAGATTATTCAGTCTGCATATCATATAACAAAATTTCGAGAATATTGATCATAAAAAACCTAAACGAGTTATTATAAACCAATATTCGTCTAATCCTATAATGAATTTTTAGATTGGCCCTTTATTTTATAGTAATTATTCAGAGGCTAGGACACATTTAGATTTCTGCAAAATAGCCTATATTTTTCAGCAGCTATTTGCTTAGATAAGATCTACATTTATAAGGGTTGACAAAATGATTACCATCCCGCTTATCGTAAAAGCTAGAACATGAAGAGAAGGAGTTAGTTTATTATCTTCGATATAACAGAAAATAGAAACAAAAAGCATTTCCCCTACTTGCTTTTACTGAATATCAATGATACATACATATTTCGCGTAAGGACCTGTAGTTGCCTCATTGCTTTGATTCTATTATCTTCGATCACGCATATTTTAAGGAAAAAAATAACAAATACATAAATAAAAATAGCAATTAAAGGATTAACAATTTTTAAAAAATAAATTATTTATAAAATCACATTGCGTTTGGGGATTCAAAGTGTTGAAATTAAATTGCAATTGTAAATAAACAGATCATTTTGAGAAAAAGAAATATTTTAATAAAGATTATAACATAAGACAAACTTAGACGGAAAAAAAAACATTCTATTGATATATTTTCTATAAAATTAATAATAAAAAGTTGCCAAAATCAAACGAACAAAAACAAGTCAATGCATCAGTCAGACTGCTTACAACAACCTCGATTTGCTGATTCCATCAATAACCTCCGGTCCTGGTACTTTATATTCTTTCACAAAGAACATATTGTTCATACATATCTTTTTTCAGTATTTAATGTGTCCCTATTGTTTGCAAAGTATAGTCTAAGTTTTATACAGTAGAGTTATTTTTTTTTGCATATTTTTTTTTTTGTTTTAATCTAAACAACGATGTTTTGTGACCGATTAAAATACTACTACTTCTTTAGATTCTCTTTCGCATTCATGGGTGTATTAAGCGCTGGAAATAATGGGTATGTGTTCATAACCCCTTATAAATTAGAAATATCAAAACAAATCACAATATTTCAGAGAAATAAAAACAAAACCCTCAAAAAACAGTCATTTGAATTAAACTTAATTTTAAAAAAACTTAGATATTAAATAAATAAATAATCATTTAGCAGATGAAAGAAGCTTTTTTCGATTTATTTTTTATCGCTGAAATGTTGAGAACTATTTTAACAATTTGTTAATTTCATCTCCTTCAAAAGTTGAATGTTTGAGACACTTATTGATTGAAACAGAAATTTTAATAAAGTATAAAGGGAAATTTAAATTATTTTAAACACATTTCAAAACGTGCCTTTCTCACAAAACGCATTCACCACCTTCCATACATTCTCTGCTCCCATCGTTGTGCTCGGTGTCCCTGCAACGTCTCAGGAATGAGATTTTTAAGCACTCAAGAAGGAATGGGGCATATTAATACTCAAATTTAACAGTATCTGCTTTTAACGGGTTTACTGTGTTTGGTTTTTATTTTATTTTTTTGCCTTTAAAAATAATGAAAAAAACATACTAATTTAGAAAATGACTACTCAATACTAAAATAAATAGATAATTTTAAATAAAAAAATAACTAGTTTTAACCAAAGGATTATAAATATGAGTTAGTATTAAAACAATAATAAACACAAAAATATTACTTTTGATTACAGATAAATTAACAAAACTAATTTTATTCAACTGAAGAACTGTACAGAAAATATTTATCAGAGTAATTAGAGGAATATTTTTTATTCTTGTAAAGTAAATGACAGAAATGTGACATTTTTATTTTCAATGCTTTGGTATTTTTCAATTCCTAGTGTATTTATATTGACTATAATAATAATCGTTACCCCCAACAAAATGTGACATTTGATAGCAAGAACGGTGCTCATTCAGGGTTATAAAAGAAGATGTGCATCACAGATTGTATAAAATCGATTAATTTTCATGAGAGAATTTAAAATCAATTTTAAGCCCTCCTTAATACGTCTAAAACTGAACTACACAAAACAGTTTTTACACAGTTTGTACACAATGTTCAGAATCTGTACATTATGTTCAGCACTACATTTGAGTAAATGAAAGGTACAAGTAATTTTACCAACTAAAAGTCATACTATAGCACATTGTTCTTAATGGATGCATCTACCTTTAGCATAACTTTGTATTAACTTTAAATGCTCTAATGAAACTTAGTCAAGCAGTAAAGCGTAATCTGCAATGTCCTCCTCCAACCTTTGTATATAACATTGAGTGGTGGTACTGTTGTTGTTACTATATTTCTGAAATATAATACAGGTATCCACTTTTTATAGGAGTAGCCCTTATATTCAGACTATAAAATGCAATTTCTATTACAATTCTTGTTTTTTCTCTCAAACAAAGTGTGTTCTAGCAAAATAATTTAATTACTTCTTCCTAACTTAAAAATATTTTTAATCCGTTGTTTCAGAATAAAGCAATAATAAAATTTGTGGAAAAATACTTTAAAGAAACTATAATAACACCCATGTTTTGATGTTGGAAGAGATGTATAAAGTTTATCTGATTTATGTTATTTGAAAAGAAAATGAAATGCTTCAAGAAAGGGTAAGTTAAATCATGATAAAAAAAAATTCTGATTTATTCCCCTTATTTCCTGAAAAATTGCGTTCTTTAATAACTTGTTTGATACCCTATGGACTCTAATGACAGTTTTAAAAACATGCTCTTAGTAATACAAAATAAAAACATTCTTTATTCATTCATTTTCACAAGGAAATGTTACTATTATGCATATTTCTTCATGAAATTGATCAACAAAACAATTTTTACAGGCACATTTTCAATTCATTCAATATACACTAAGGCATCTTTAAAAAGACAACATAATCAGATTTAAAAATCCTTAACTTAGAAATTACTTTCGATATGCAGGTAATAAACAAAAATCCCATGCATTGAAGAAGAAAAAAAACGTTTTTTAAAACACACTTAACAATTTATTTAACCCTCTGTCAAACACCCACAGACTTTGAAGTCATCGCTCAGAAAATAGAATTGGTACATAAAAGAACTAAAAGAAAAAACTGAAGAATTGAAAAAAGAGAAACACTTTAACTTGCTTAAGATTAACAGGCATAAGACAGTAAAAAAAAGATTAAAAATAATAAAACAAGGAAAATAAGATTTAAAAAACAAATTTGTTTCTTTTTTTTTTCAAAAAAAAGACTGTTTTGTCAAGCATTATTATTAATTAATGATTATTTTTCATCGAATGAGAAGAATCAAATTTAAATTTACATAATTTATAATATTAAACTTTTAACTAAGAGATTGATGTATCGTATGTCTAAGCAGATCAGAAAATACAGTATTTGAAAAATGTTAAATTAATTGGAAACCATGAATGAATTGTTAGCAACAAAGTTTCAATTTAATACTATAACAAAAAAATAAATAAATAAAAGTCTTAATATAAATACAAGAGCAACGCTAATCGTAGAAACCTCAGTTTAAATTATAAAGCTCATAAATTTACTAAAATTCATTGGTGACTGATTCCTGATAACTCACAATAACTCTTTACAAAGACTAAAGTATTTTTTATACTTTTTGAAAGATGTATAACAGAAACTTTTTAGTTATATGGTAATTATCTTTGCGAATGAAACAAAAAATCATATATATGTTAAATTGTTTAGAGTGATATTTAAAACTAATCCAAATTTTAATTGTAAATAAAATAAAAAATTTGAAACAGTTGCAACATAGATTTTTAAGAAAAGAGCGTTTTTTTTCTGAAAGGTGTGTGATGAAGGGCTAAACTTTTTTATTATACAATGCACATCAAGTACAACACAGTATAGGAGAAAAAAAGTAAGAAATAATTATATAAAAAACATAGATAGTCAAAAAGTTACAGAAACAAAGACAGATTGTCATGGTTAAAAATTAATAACAAAAACAATCAGCCCACTTTTTCAGAGCATTTCCAGCTTGCATTAAGTATTATAAAAGAGGTATGACACAGCTTTAAGAGTCCATTAGAAGATTACAGAAGTATGTAAAATAAAGATATATAAATTCTATCAAGTAAAAGATCCAAATTATTAAAAAAATATTTTATTAGTTAATAAATAAAATAAAGAGATGTGAATTTGACCAAGTACCATATTTATATGAATTAAAAAATACTTTAAAATTCACATAAAAACCTCAAGACATTAAAGTACATAAATTTTTTTCACATGACTACAATTTACATTGTTTAATGACATTGTTTAAAAAATATATTTTTAATTTGCTTGATACAATAAAAATAACAATTTTTATAAAAATAAATTGTAATAAAACATGCATTAAGGACTAAATTAAAGTTTTGTTTTCATCTTCATAAATTGTTAAATGAAATAGAAATAGATTATCCTAAGTAATATTGAAAAATACACAAATAAGTTTCAAAATGCAAATAAAAGTGATTTAATTAGTTCCGATTTCTTCATGAATTGTAAAATCAAAGCAATGAAAGTAACTAAAAATGCTTTGAACGATAATGAAAAAAAAGAAATAAATAAAACGATATTTTTTTATTAACCTAGAAATATCATTTTGTCCCAGATTGATTCTTTTAAGTATAATTCTCTAACACATAAAAGCACTAAGAACAATTTTGATTGCAAGATGTATTCAACTGAAATTACACTTTATCATTTGAGTAACTTAATAAAAATGCGAATTCTTTTTTCATAATAAAGTTATTCAAAACCTTCAAGCATTGTTTAAATATTTGCTAGTTTTAAAGTACATAGCCATTAAACAATATACTTAGAAAATGTATAATACCTAGGAATTATACATTTATAAACAATACAACTTCTTAACAAAAAAATTAAATAAAAGTGCATAATTTGAAAAATAAAATATCAGAAAGCAAGGAAGTAAAAAAAAAAAACTTTGAACAAATATAAAATTTAAAAAAGATTATTAAAAATAATTTAAATAAACAAATTTGTAAAAAATACTATTTAACGTGATTGCTAAACCCAGTTTAAATACTAATCTAATTCATTAAATCTTTGAACCGCTAACAATATTCAAAAGAACATATTTTGTACAACAGGGTGGCCGGAATGAGGATCTGAAAAATAAAATATAATTTATTAATTTTAATATCATAATATGATATATGAGAGTCATCTAAAAAATAAGTTTGATGCAACCCACAAAAAGGAACAAAGAATTTTGACTTCAGGAAAAATGTTTGAATCTTTTGGAAAGTTTTATGGCAAAGGAAACGGCAATATTTAGTTATTTCTAAACACAAGGACCATCAGAAATGCAACACTTGTCACACTGTGGTATAAGATTTTGTACTCTCGTATCATACAGACCTGTTGTTTAGCAATGGAGCCGCCATGTAACAGCTGTTTGCACGTCTTTATCTGAGGGAAAGTTAGGCTTGGATAGGAATTTTTTGGGTGCAGAAAATGGTGAAAATTTATAGTTGTCAAAACACTTCTAAGAGAAATTTTTGAGGAATTTGTTGCTTGTGAGCAAACATCATGCTGGAGCAGCACCTGAAATTGTACCTTGTTTTTGCAGCTTAAATTGTGTATTCTCCTTCTGTTCTGGAATCTGAAATTTTTTTTAACTTTACATCACTTCCCCACAGATGGAGATGTGCAAACTATTACACATTGGCTTCATTCCCATGTAGCATGCTAAGATACTGTACAATAAAAATTATACCTCATTATAAGAAATGTTATTGTTTGTTTTTTTCTAAAAAAATAATAATAAATTTTTTAAAAGTAGCTGAAATGTTACTATCTTTCGCATCTTGCATAAGATTCAATAATGTTCCAGCAGTCCAAATTAATTAAAAAATAAATTTTCCAGGTAATCAAGCTTTGTTTCTTTCTATGGAATATGTGAAACTTAATTCACCTATGACTGTTGTAATATACAATTTTCATAAAATTTTAGAATTTGTGCAAAAATGAATATAAAGAGTTATGTTACAAAAATAATATATTTTTGTTTATTATATATACGCTAAGTATTATCTTCATAATGAGATAAAGTGCAAAAAATTAAATAAACAAGGGCATTTCTTTTACTTCATTCCAATAAATTTTCAAAAGTTCTACGAGAAAAAAAAGTTCATAAGTAAAAATTCTATGGAAAAAGTTACACTTAAATTAAGTGGTAGACAGAGGCAATCAGACATCTAAGTATATGACTAAAGATTCAAAAAAGAAAAACTATTACCAGTAAATTTTCCACAAGTGTCACCGCTTTCTTAACTCAACAGCTTTTTCTAAGAGACAGTGTATGTCCGTATTTGGAAAATTCTGAAAAAAAATTAAAGATTTAATGTAGCTAAATATATTTCACAAAATAATATGAATCCATTGAGTGAAAAATTCCTATATCTTGCGTTTATAACAATGACAAATTTGTAACAGATCCCGCGGCTGATATTTCAGCTCTGCAACTATAGTAAGGGGGTATTTTTAAAAAAAAAGTTTTGGCAGCACTGATCACATGAATATCAGGAATCGTCTGCTCTTAGCTGAAGATGTCAATTAAGTTAAAGTATCTGTAATCTAACTCAAAGAACAAAATTGTATTCTTATAGTTTTTAAAAATTTGTCTCAGTATAGAAATAAATACAAACCTGCAGCAATTTCATGTTGTTTGGAAAATCTCCATGCAATAATTTATCTCTGAGCCATCTGAAAGTGAAGAGTGAGAATTTATTAATAATTACAAATAAATATTTAGAAAAATATTTAACTTTAACTGTGTATAACAAATTTTATATGAGCATTCAAAACATATGATGAAAGATCAGTAAGTCTCACTAACATTTGATGTTAAAAATATTGTTTTTCTTTAAATGTTAAAACACAGAGCAAATGTGCGTTGGAAATGGATTTTATAAGCCAATAATGAATTTAAAAATCATTACTTACATTTTTTAAAAATACAAATTAAATTCTAAGCATGAATAATAAGGTGTGATTAATAATTGAGTGAAAGTGGATTGGAAAGTGTAATGTGTAAAAATATGATCATTCTGTGACAAACTTCTTACTCTCAATATTAGAGAGACTTAGTGTCAGAAAAGTAAAGGATTTAAAAACTACCATCTTCATCTATCATATCATTTCATAATGGCCATTGTTATGATTCTTTTCTCACCCTAGACATAAGTAATATGTATAACATTACTGCAGCATGCTACATAATATTTTTTAAAGTTTTAACCATAATTTAATGTTTGCACACTTAAAAAATGTGACTTGATCACTTGATTTTCAGATACACCTTGGTTCCTTTAATAAAGATTAATCAAGGTTTCATGGGGCTAATAATTAATTACCGAATTATTTTAGATGTGTTACAGCAAACAAGCACCTCAACTCAATTGAATGCCTTCTACAATTACTAACAAATTTAGACAAGCGATCATACCAAATAAGCGTCCCCTTCCAACTCTTTGCTTTTGTAAGTAGAGTTTTTTTTAACGCAATTGAGTCAAGCTGAAATGGAAAGCTTGCCTTATGGGATAATAAAAACGAATCAGAAAAATAGACATGCATACTATGAAGAAGTAGAAAAAAAAATTTATTTGCATTCTTTAAATTATTCAAGCCAATGTGGATAAGAACATAGTGCAAGGATGTGTCACTTTGCTCTCTTTTCCTGGGAAGCAATGATAGCTTATTTCATTCCTGATTAAAGATGTGAGAGAAAGAGGATGAGGAAAGAAACAAAGAAAGGAAAGAGCTTTGCTTTCTAATAATTATTCAAGGAGGAGGAGGAAAAACTGGTTTAGCAGCAGGATGTGTAGTTAGCTCTCTTTTATCAAAGATGTGAAGACTCCCGGTTCGTGACATAAGAGAGAAGGATGGGGAGAAAGAGAATGGATGATAAAAGAAAAATAGAAAGTGGAAAAAGGGGAATTGCCTTCTCAAAATTAAGTGAGTTAGAAAAAAACTGTTTCAATAATAAGTTGCATAGTTTTGCTTTAGTCTTTAGGAGAGCAAAGATGGCTTGTTTTATGCTCGGTTTGTGACATAAATGTCACAAACCAGGAAACAAATAATCTTTGTAAGTATTTAGATATTCTTTTATATTGATTCTGATTTTTCTATTAAATTTAGTTCTAATAAATTTTTAATAAATATGCTGAATTTCACATTAATCTTTTGTTTATTGTTCATCGATTGCACAAGTTATGATAATATCAACATTTTACATAAAATGAATAGATAAAAAATGTGGTTATTAATAGTTAAAGTAAAATACATTTTAGAAATTTATTTTTGTAATTATATTTATGATTTAGTTTAATTATTTGGCTTTGTTATTTTTCTTATTTTTACAGTTAAAATGTTTGACATAAATGTTGAATATGAAACATGTAATTTTGCCAGTTATGGTCAATATTTTACAAACGGTAACATTGCCCCTAACAAAAATGCAAATTTTTTGTCAAATTTGAAGGGACGCTTAATCAATATTTTATGGTAGAATAATAATATTAAAAAAAAAAAGATATTTCAACGAAATGTAGTGTTTTAACAATGAAAGAAAAAAGAAAAATACTGAACTTACAATATCATGGCACAGCAAACATATATTAAAAAGTCAAATCTATCCTTATCAGCAAATAGAGAGTCCCAAACTCTAATGACATCTAAAAAATAAATTATAACAATAAGCAGACAAAAAATAGATAAAATAACATCATATACTTCATGCAAAACATAAACAAGAAAAAAAAATATCTATCTATAATAACTATGAAGGATGCACACCTGTAGTGCTTCCTTTTTGCCATAGAAAATATTTATTGCTTGCATTTTTTGTAAAGATATTTTTCAAAATGACAATTTATTAATAGCCCACAATTTATAGATTTTTTACATATTTTTACAATTAACCTTAAAACCTTAAAAAAGTTTAAAATGATTAAAATTAAAAAGAATCAGAATTTATAATAAAAAAGATTGTGCCAAATTCAATTATGTTACTTAAAGTCTACAGCTACGGTCTACTTAAAATAAGACTGTCGTCCTATTGCAAAAAAAGTAGCAAAGAGAAACAATTCATCTACTTGGAAAAAAAAGAGTAAAAATTATTTAAATAAATAAGTGTATGAAATAACAATAGTCAAATAGCAGTTTTGACAGGACTACTATTAAATTTCATAGCAACCGAGTGTTCACTAAATCGCAAATTCACTATAGCAGAGTTATGACTAGTATACTAAAAATTTAGTAATTTAAATTCCTAGAACTAAAAAGTTAGAAAAATTTTAATCTCTTAAATATTTGTCTAATTTGAAACAAATGATACAAAAATGTTATGACTAACCTGGTAAAGGAAACTCTTGTGAGAGTAACAGAGTGATCCACCTAAAACTATAGAACTGAGGTTTTAAATCTTGAGCCTGAAATCTCTGCCATAAGTTGAAGTCTTTCTCTTGAAGCATATCCATCAGACGTTTCATCATGGCTCCTATACCAGTGGTTGAGTGGTCTAAAGATTTTATGAAAAAGTCTCTAATTTCAGACATAAGATTTGTGAAGCAAAAGAATGCATCAGCCTCAGCATATTCTGTTTTAAAAAGAAAAAAACATTAAGTGAGCATTCATTATACAATATTTAATTATATTTATAGGCATTACAAACAGTAAGATAATTATGCTAACTTATAAAAATAAGGCACAATTTGTGTTAAAAACAAATAAGGTTTGTTGGTATTTTAGACATTATTATGAACCAAGCAAAGGGTGGTATCTGGTTTCCTTTGGATAATTATTTATGCTTCCATAGTAAACCCAAACATAAATAATAAAAATCTAAAGAAGAAGCAACTGTTCTTCTGTAGATTATTATTATTTATGTTTGGGTTTTAAAAGAAGCAACTGTTTAAAAGAAGTTCACATTTATTTAACTAAATCACGATTACCCCCAACCAATACAGGTAAGAATCCCTTAAACATAATTTAAAATCAACTATTTTTTTAAAACCTTTTGCAAAACCATTTTTAGAAGATCTTATGCTCATTTGGCCACTATAAAGTTGTTTGAAAACTAAATATAAAATTTTTAATAAGAGTCTGTACCATACACAAAGCTAAAGACACTTAGTTGTGCTAGGCTCATTAGCCTAGTTTTCTTAGAACATAAAAATTATCATCTTATCCACCAAACTTAAATAGAATAAAGTTTAAGTTTGGTCCAGTCCATCTAGAAGTCAAGTGTTTGTCCTAAACATCATAACATCACTAAAATAATTCCTCATGAAAGAAAGGGGGGGGGAAACAGTAGATGAACAACAGAAAATTTTGCGATACACTAGCAGCTCTGTCTTACGGCCAAAAATGGTCACCACTGTTTTAATTTTTCAAGGCACATACGAACTTGAGACAAAAAAAAGAGTTCACTGAGTAGCTAAGCATCATAGGAAATAATTCCTAGATTTGATTGGCATGATCTATTTAAATGACTGCAATAAACTTAAATTAGTTGATATCTAAAATTCAATCACTTACTCCTCCATTCAGGATCTGGGTCTGATGCAAATGTGTAATAAATTGGTCCAATTATCTCATTCATACCCTGTGACAGAAAGAAAAAAATTATGAGAAATTTCTAATAATTTTACATAAAGTGTACTTACAATTATATTTATGAAATTTAATATTTTTCTGAAATTCAAAATAATCGGAAATATTAACACAATTAACTGGCATTGAATAGCTTCTACACATTTTTATTCAAAGAGAACTAAACTTAAATTAGTGTTGGCTTATAACCATTTGAATCATAGACCATGACATTAATATGCTTTTATTTTTAATATGACTGTCAAATTTTTCTAATTTTTTAAAAGTCCAATTTAGTCTTAAGAACAAGAATTTTTTTTAAATAGTTATTTAAATATAATTTTAAAAAAAATATATTAAAGCATTATATTTACAGATTTAGTTAAGAGAGAAACACAAAGTAAATATATTATTAGTGAAACCTGTCAAATTGACTTTAATTATCAAGACCTAATTTGATCATTAATTATAAAAAAGGAGTGCCAAACCTTTAAAACCTGACCACCTTGTATTTAATTAAACTTAATTTAACTAAAATAAAACAATATACTCACAGGTTTAGTAAACAAACAAAAAGTCAACAACCTATTAGTCAAACCTGCAAAGTTGACATTTATTATCAAGAACTGAATTTATCATTAATATTAAGAGACAGTGCAAAACCTTTGAAAGATGACCACTTACCTATCTAGTGTGTCGATCACAGAAATTAGACAAATTTGTCTCGCGCTGTTACTGAATGTTATTCAAGTTCTTAAGTTGCCAAGAAGATTTTTTTGGAAAATTTTTATTGGTACAATAATGTTCTGTTTTAACTGTAATTTAAATTAAATTACATATAAATTTTTAATTTGATATTTAAATTTAACTTTATTTGTGAAATAGTAGTATTGAAAGCAGACCTAAATCTCCCTTTATGAGTTGAATATAAAAAAATAAGTAAAATAATTTGAAGTATAATAAAATTAATTTGAAACTCTTGAAATTAATATAACTTATGTTTCTAATTGCTTTTATGTGATATTTAAAGAAAAAAAAATCATAATAAATAATTTGTGTGCATCACTTGTGAAATAGTTAGTTATCTATTGTTTTAAACCAATTAGTTAAATATCAAACTTAATAAATTATAGTTCATTATTTAATTAAATTTATTTCTTGAGACGTATATAGGATTTGTCGAATTTAATTTTAATATGTTAAAAAATTAATCATATAAACCTTTATTTTGATAGATAACATAAAAAAAATAAACTATAATATGATTTATAAAAGAATAACGCGATGCATAAAATTATTTAAAAAAGGGCACATTCTCTATAAGTTGACCACTAAACATATGCACCAAAAAAGCCAATTTACACAGGTTTCACCATATCTTAACAAAAAATATTTTTTTATGTTAGAATGTTATCATAAATATTAGTCTAAGCACCATAAGTGACAGAAAAATGACAATAATTATCATAAAGAAGTTCATTTTACTAACGTCGTGAATAGTTATTCAATAAGTTCATAACGTTCTTAAATAATTATTTAAAAAATAATTCAAATGTGTGAAAGCAATATAATATTAGATTCAGTTTGCAGATAAACATAGTGAAGTAAATATTTCATAATTTTTAAAATTTCTTTTTCTCTTTGTATTAGAATATTCCCATGAGTCTGTGCACCATGATTTTTTGCTAGTCACAGAAATGTTACAATGCTTTAAGAATATTCCCATGAGTATTAGTCCATGCACCATGATTTTTTGTTAGTCACAGAAATGTTACAATGCATTAAGAATATTCCCATGAGTATTAGTCCATGCACCATGATTTTTTGTTAGTCACAGAAATGTTACAATGCATTACTATAATTAATGTTTATTTCACTGACCTGGACATAACTCTGACCAGGATTGAGCTTTGCATATAAGAATAGAATTCTTTCAACCACCTCCCAATGAGCTTCCTGTCCCTGGGGTAAATGTTGATATTCTTCCTGAGCTCTTTTCTTGAATAAAGATACCTATAAATTAAATAATAAAGTAATTTTACAAAGAAAATATTTGAGTAGTAAATCAATACTCCATTAACAGAGCAAAACTAAAAGAAACAAAGATAAAAAGTAGACTTTTTTTCTTCTTTTTTTTTAACCAAACAGAATTTCACACAATTCAACAAAATGTTTACCTTAAGCAATCTTAATTTTAATTTTAAATAGAATGTCTACATAGTCTTGATCTTCCTAATGTTAAGGAGTGAAATCAAAATTTATTACCCTTTTCATGTTATTCTGAGCTTAGGAAAATAATTTAAAAACATAGATCAAGAGCAAAATGAGCAGAATTTTATTTTATTTTATTTTTAATTAATGTAATTTGAAACAGTTAAAGGAAATTACTGATGACATCAAAAATGTTACAATGTAACAATTTTGATGTTATTTTGTGCCTATTTGTCTAATAATTTAAAAACACAGATTGAGCAAACTATTTCGTTTCTTCTTTAGTAACTGCGATTTTCAACCGTTAAACAAAATTCTTATTTCAAAATATAGTAAAGTTTTAATTTACCTAGATGATAGTCATTTCAATTTTTAACAAAAGTTCGAAAAAATTTTAATCAAAATTTGTGTTACATTTGGTAATATTTTGAACCCAGCATAGCATAAAAGAAAATAATTATTTAAAATTAATAGTTTACCAGTGATTAATTTTAATTGCTAGAATTATTGCATTAGTTCAGTGTGAAAAAATTATTAATTTAAACTAGCCCTTCAAATAAAATTAAAATAAAAAGTGCATAATTTTTACCTAAGTTAACTAATTTTGACAAACCACTTACAAGTATCAATACATTAACAGTATCAGCAGACACAATTCTTTAAAAAAAAATTTTTTTTAATATTTCAGCTCTAGTTTTTTTAAAATTAATTATGAAAAACACAAATGAAATGAAAAATTATTAGACATTATGAGTATAAGTAGATCGAATAATTTTGGAAAAAAAATTAATTAAAAAACTCGAATGAGCACTATTACACAAATTTAGGATTTTGCAAACTCACATTTGTAATACCCATGCGATTTCTAGTAACATTTGCAGATCTGAGTACAGTTTGTTGAACTCTATCTCTTAAAGATTCCACATCTTTTCTTCCAACAATAGCCTGGCAAGGATAATCAGTGGGTTGTTGAAAAAATGATATATCTGGACATAACCTCCTGTAATTTTGTATCACTTATATAAGATACATATAAAATTATTGTTAATTGTAGAAAAAAATAAGAATGAGATTGCCAATAAAATTTTTTGTACAAAACTTTCTACGACAAAAAGAAACACTTCGTTTAAAAAAACATAAATGAAGATAATTTTTTTTAAATCATTTTTATAATTTGAAACATTCCAAGCTACATTTCATAAAATGCTATAAGGATGTTATAATATTAATAAAATGTTATAAGGAAAGAGTTTTTTTTTTTGTTACAAAATAGTTATAGAAATAAAAATACCAAATAACATGAAATAATTTTGCTCACTATTTTTCCAGACTCTGGCTACACCTGTTTAATTTTAATTTCTTTTTAGCAATTAGAAATTTCAATAAGCACACATAAAATTTGATGCAAAATTTTAATAAGAATTTTAAAAATTATGCTTTCAACCCTTTGTAGGGCAGAAAACTTTAATCAAATATGTAAAAAAAAATTGTGGAGAATTGTGGTCATCGCATGCATTTTCACAATGAAGCAATTAATCTTATCTATACACATTTTTAAAAATAAAAAGTGGTTGATTAAAAAACCGGCTGCTTAAGACATAAAAACTATTATAATTTCAGTGGTTAATATTATCGTCAAAAATAAGTGAGACTGTTTTTATCCTACTATCTAAGAAAAGGTTAATATCATGTGAATAAAAAAAAAATTTAAACAAAATACATTTTAAAAACATTGAATTTGATTATAATGCTTATTTTCAATTTATTTCTCTTTTATACTTTATAACTTTCACAAGCAAGTTATTTTATTAAACTCACACATCTTTTAGAAGAGTAATTTGCATGCAAATGGTACTGTAAAACTATTTAAAATCTTAAAGAAGGGAATGGTATGAAATAATTTATATGTAATAAGTGCAAGAAATATCATCTATTCTCACCAATAAACAAAAGCTAACTTTCCTTTCTTTTTGGTACAATTTGAACTCTTATACAAAAAATTAATGGTTTAAAGTTTCATCTTAGTATCTTTAATCCTCCAAATACTTATTCTATCTTTTTCAGAACTTTAAAATTGTAATAAAATTTTTTTAATCACTTTGTTATTTAATGGATAAAGATTACTATAGCAAGGAAATTTCCATAAAATATTGTCTAAAGTCATTAAAAGCTATAAGTATTAAAAAATATATTACCCAGTGGATGAACTGTTAAATGTTATAAAAAAATATACATTAGTTAGCATAAATCTCAAGTATACCAATTCCAAATGCTTTTTAACTCTTAAAATGTGATCAAAAGTTAGTAAATGAAGTTGGGTTTCAAAGACTAACAAAGGCTGGGATTTAGCATATATGTATTATAATAAACAATCATAATTTTTCTGAAGAAAAAAAAAAGCTTACCTAACATCTTTATTAATTTGGAGTAAAACTTCGTTGTCTTTAAAGAAGGCCATCCATTTTCCATCTGGATTTGGGTTTAAAGGCTTCAAAGACCCAATTCAAAATTTAACATTAGTAAATCAGTTAGAATTTTTTAAAGTCATAAAACAAAATTTTTAAAAAAATCATAAAATAAGAAAAATATTTTAAATTTCGTAAACTAAATCAATACAATATTCTTAGTTATTATCAAAATAAAAGTTTATTCACAAAGTATAATAGACAATACATTTTTATAAAACAAAATAAATTTTACATTATAAAATTTCACACAAAATAAATTTTATAATTAATAACTTTTCTAAAAAGATCTGTTCACAATGATTTTTTGAAATAGTAAATATTTTTCCTTTGTTTACTCATAAGTTTAATACTATTTACTTTAAGATAAAAATAATGAATAAAGAATAAATCAATAATGTTGATTGAAATACTTTGCTTAAACAGATACCAATTCCTATTGTTGTAAATAAAATATTAAATATTGCTGCAATTTCAATTATTAATAAATTTGAAAATATTTCATTGATTTTCAAAACATTGCAGTGATTTGATAAAACAAAAAATTATACCATTTTACTAAAATGGTGATTTTTGCTTTCTTCTTTAAAACATAATTAAATAAAGCAATTTATCAAAGGCAATTTGCAAAAAAAAGAGAAAAAAAATCTCAAAGCGTAACTTTTAAAATAAACATATTGTAAACATCAAAAAACCATCAATAAGCAAGGGAAAATAAATTGAAATTCCAGCACTTTTTCATTTATAACTAAAGTAAAAAAAAATATTTCTTCAACATTTTCCCATTATTAGATTATACACTACTGAAGAGTAAAAAAGGAAGGAGTTAAATATAATTTTAACAAATTAAGGAACATCAGCTCTAGAAAATCTAACGACATCTGTTGACAAAATATATTTTCAGATTAAAAAACTGTTAGTACAAAAGTTAGTACAAAAGTACAAGTTAGTACAAAAAACTAATGTTGGTATTCTCAGAGCTGTCTATAACAAGTTTCAAAACTTAAAATGTTGAGCACCTTTAGAATATTATAAGACACTTTTTCATTAAGATCTTCAATTCACTTTTAAAATATCATCACTACAAAGAAAAAGTAAATATGGTACTCACATGATCTTCTAAAGTTACATCAACTCTAGAACCAGTCTTGTTCATAGTTCCTGGTGTTACAATCATTTCATCAATGAATGTATCATACAAGTTTCTGTAAAATTAATTGTTAAAAATGTATTTTTAAATAAAGAATATTTTTATAAGTTTAAAAGACATTAAATTATTCAAACAGAACAATAATAAATAAGTAACAAAGAATTATACAAAATACTCTGGTTTAGAGTTTGATAACAAGCAAAATATGTTTTTGTGGGGATGGGGATTGTTTTCCTTCTTAATTAAAAAGGAGTAAATCTTAAACAAATTGTCTTTGAATATGAAAAATATTGTACATTAGTGCAACATTCCCTAGAATACAGCCTTGAAAAATTAGGTTTCATTATACTATTATCTATTTAGTTGAGAAGACTCAAAAGTGGAAAAAATAATTCTCTCACTCGTTTACAACAAAAGTAAAAGATAAGAAAATAATATTAACATTAAAGTACTAAAAAGCAAAAAATCTTGACACACAAAATAAGAAAATGTTTATTTTATCACCATTCAGAAACGTTTTTCAATTAGGATAAAAAATAAGTAACTCTGTGTTAGACTTATCTAGCATCTTAATTAATAAATTTTAGCTAGTACATTTTCTAGTCAAGAAATTGCACCATAAATCACAAAATTAAACAGAAAATTGCACACCATAACAACATAAAAATCCTATATCAATATTATCTGCCATGAAAAATATTGTTTTAATATGAGGAAGGCACCTTTTTATCTAAACTGCAGTTTATTGATTATAAATGGTTATTCAATAACCACATAATTTATTTCTTAAACTGAATATAAAATATTTATTTTATCTGAAGTTAATTTGATTAAAAACTTAATAGCAAAAACTAAATAGTAAATGTATCAATATCAAGTTTTATCGATGCACAGTAAAATAAAAGCAAATATTAACCTTAATAAGCAGAAAAAATTATTTAAATTTATTGTGTTTTACTAAAAACTGCTAGTTTTCTTTTCTTTTTTTTGTCGACAGATTGATTTGCATTAATATATTTTTGCATGACTTAATTTTCAATTCTACACGAAAGATTCTATGCTCAAAAATGTTTGATTTCAAATTAAAATGTGTATTACAAAAGCATACAATAAAATTATTATAACTAAAAGGGATATAGTAAATACAATGCCTCACCTCTGTTTTAACAATAATCCAGGCCATTCTGATTTTTTTGTTGATAAATAATTCAATAAAACCTGTAAAAATAAATTACCTATCTTGTAAATCAAAAATAAACCAAAAAGGTATACTTCAGTAAAACAATCAAGTATACAATATACTTCAATGTAAATGACTTTTTTTAAATGCTTTAGCTTTGAATTAAATTCTAGAATAAACAATATTCTTCTAAAGGATGTCTATACTGATAAAACGCTATTCTTCAGAGAAAAAACATTTTATTTCAGTTGCTAATTTAATTTTATAGAACAATATTAATTTTGAAATGTTCTTAAAATATCATGGCTTTAAAATAAAATAAAGGAACACAATTGTATTGCTGAGTGTCTTGCAACCATTAAAAATATTTCAAATAAACAATATCCCCTTGAATGATATCTATTTGTTTTTATAAAATTATACTTCTTGAAAAAGAAACATATTTTACTACAGTTTTCTCTAAATAATTTCCCTTTATAAAATTTATTTTTAAATGTTTTTCAGATATTGCATCGATTTAAAAAAAAAAATAAAGAAAAAATAAATAAATAAAGAAGAAAAAAAGTACTGAGCCCTATAATTAGAAAAAATTTCAAGTTATAAAAACAATTTCAGGAGTTACCTTCCAGCAAAGAGAGCGATAACCTGAACTGTCTGGAATACCTGCAACAATAAAAACTTTTTTACAACATAATACATAAAATCATTATTTCATTATACCTTAACAACTCATGCACATCATAATCAATGTAGAACAATACTCAATGTGCTGCAATACTTAATGTACAGCATACTCAATGTAGATATACAACAACTCATGTACATCTTATCATACTCAATGTAAATAAAATAGAAAGGCAGAATTTTTTCTGCTGAAATGCATAAGTTTTAAAAAATCAAAGCACTGTTCATGTTTGTGGAACAATTTAAACTGTTAAAAAGTTTATGGGATTTATAAATAAGGAATAAATATACAGTTTGAATAAATATATGTTGACAAAAATATTAGACATCAACAATGTTTAAAAGAAAGAAAAATGTAAAAATATTTGAGACAGCTTCACTTACATAAAGACTCAACATTCTCTGAAATAAAATTCTATCAATAAAAAGTGTAGGCAATAGAAGAGCTTCTTTGTAACAATATAATTAAATATGTTTCAGAAATAAAATAAGGATCGACAAAAAAGCAATAAATGCAATAAAAATTTACAAAATTTCTTTAATAATGCAATTTTGCAAAAATTAGAATAATTGCGGACTTTAAAAAATTAAAATGAAAAAAATAACTTGAAACGACAAAATTTTAAGATTGAGCAAGTAAGTAAAACCACACAAGTAAAACACAAAACCATTTGAACTTTTGTTATAACCTAAATTCAACCTTTGACAGAAGATAAATTAACTCTACTAATTCTCGTTTTTAGCATGTAAAAAACAAACTACACTACTTTCAATTATTTAAAATTAATTCTTTAGACAGTTAATTTTAAATAATTGAAAGTTAATTTGGGTCTTAAATATACAGAATGCAAAATAATTTAAGATTAATCTCAGAATCCTACTTTTCATTTATTATTCTTTTTTTTTTTTACTTTAAATGCTAGCTTTGTTTCAAATTAATTAATTACTCTGAAATAATTTTAGAAAAAAATATATTATTGGTGATCTTAAATGCTTTTCTTTTAAAAATGTAAAGTTATCAGCTACTTGATTTGTGGCCTAATGAGAATGTTTTGAATTTCAAGAAAAACAGTGTGTAATTTATTTTTGAAAGAGGTATTTCCCAAAACTAGATCAGATTGGACAATAACTATGAACTAGAACAAAAAAAAAAGGTTCAAGGTTTAACAGTTCAGTATTTCATGAAGGCACATAAAGATATATTCCATATAATAAGCTATAAGGAAGAGCTAATAACTCAAGTTAAATTATCAATATTGACTGCAGAATTCCTATCGATCAGCCAATGCTGGGATTCGAAAAATTAGCTTAGCTTTTACTATTTTACTTGAAATATAACTTCATCAACTTACCATTAAAACACAGAATTTGTAAATCAGTTATTGAAATAATATCTTTTTCAAACAAATCTTTAAACATTTGGCACCTAAAAAATAAGAAATTAATTACTATCATTTAAAGATTTAATAAAATTTTAAATTAAAATACTTTTTACATGAAACATTAAATAAATTAGAAAATAGAAAGAAAAAAAACTTTTTTAATTTAATTTTAGAGAGTTAAGTCAGCAAATGAAATAAGTTAAAGCTTCTATAATGAGCAAACAAAATGACAATGAACAGAAAAAATAACAGTGAACAAAATTATGTTGAATGAATAATGTTTGAAATGTACTTCGTAACAATATGTGATTTTAAAATCAGATAAAATACTTCAGATTCATACATTTTAAAAAATAAATCTATTTCAAAATATTTCTGATTATGTAATAAAGAATTTAAAAATTGTTTATTATAAAACTTATTCTGCGACAGTTATAAGCAATTAAGAATCATTTCTATGAGGCACAAAAGTTTTAAGTTTTCTTTTGAGTTTGTTTTTTTTACAACTAGACTATAAGATAACCAAAAATAAGACATGAAAATTTGGAAATACGATATAACCTAATCATCATACCAAATTAAATTGCTAATTTTTTTAGAAATGTGAAACAAATTTATATTCAACAATTCAACTTACATTGATATGCACTATAATGTGTCAGAAGGAGGGACACTAAAAAAAAAGTTATAACACGTTGTCTGTAATGCGGAATTTTCCAGTTGTGAAAAAATACTGCATCAGCAGATTTATGTACATAAAATTTTAACCAAACTTAAATAAGGCATAAAAGAAAACTCCTTAATTATCTTTATTAATAGATGAAAGATAAAATTTGAATAAATCTGAATATTAAATTACATCATTGTTTTTCCTTGATGCAGATATTTGATTGGTCCAAATTAAAAACCTTGATTGTTCTAATATAACTCATCTTATTTTGAAATTCTTTGCTTTGTCTCTCAATGTAGAATAACTATTAATATGAACATTAATAGATAAAGAAGTAGAGAATTCATATTTTAAATTGGAACCCAGTTTTATTAAAAAAGGACCCAGAAATATGGAAATTCTGGATTCTAAGGACTCATAGTTTCCAATGACTAGTGGAATCACCATATACTTAAATAACTCACCGTGCTTTAAAATTTGCCATAGCACAAACACTATTTTTCAATGATTTATAAAGGTATTAGAAGATTCTTGTTATCATCTGAAAAAAATTAAGTAATATTACTTAGATATATTGCAAAATAATTCTCTATTGATAGTTTTAGCTATTAAGTTATTAAATGCATTTACATTTACATCACAATATTTTACTCAAATAATTTTAATGGATTTTAATTTTGAGAACAGCCTATAGAGACAAATACTGTACTAATATGCAAATTTAAGAATACAATTGTTGATATGTAACAAAAACTTTTACGCAAATAACTAAAACCTTTTTTCACTTTGGAAAAACCTACATTTTTGACTTCAGAGAATTGAATGTAAACCTGAGTAGCAATGAAATTCATATTCAAAACATTACTTTGCGCATCTCTTTATTTTTGCTAATGTAATAAGTTGAATAAATTGAACTATTGTTTAGTAATTTCATTTAGTAAACAGAACTACTATATAGAATAACATTTTCATAAGAGTGTGAGAATATACAGGAAGCTGTATAAAAAATTTTTTAGATTGCTTTGAAAACATGTCTAATGTTTTCTTCATAGATACAGTTTTAGCAAAAAAAGTTTTTTAAGAATGCGTACATCTTTATTAATTAAGAAAAAAAATTATTCATAAGTCGATTGATCGTTTAATAATTACAAGAAACTGGGTTAAAAGATTAACTGCAAAATAATGATAGTATATGCCCAAGTATTGTTCAGATATTAAATTTTTAAATGTATGGTGGCTTACCCAAATTAAAACTATTGAATGTTACCCTTTCAGTCTATCCTAATATATATATATATATATATACAGTCAGACCTGTTTATCGAATCTCACGAGAAAAGTAAAACATTTGAGATAAAGAGGTTTCGAGTTCTACGGGTACTTCAAAAAATTAAATTTAATTGTGAAATTTGATTAAAAGTTCTTTAATTGTTTTTAGTAGAAACATATAGACATTTCTGTAAATTAGTTAGATCACATTTATCTATTTACATAAAACGTTTTTAACATTCCTTTAACACTGAAAATAATATTTTGAAAAATTCTCTTAGTTATGTTGTTTGGGCATTTGTGCTCGATTATAAGAAATTCCAGAAACACAGGTTCAAAAAGAAAAAATTTTGAGATAGACATTAAAAATACATTGATTTTAAATAGTAAATGTAAGGAATTTTAGAAATTTTGATATAAAGGTTTTCGAGAAAAAGAGGTTTGAGATAAACAGGTTTAACTATATATTCAGGGGTCTGTTTCGAAGAAATTTAGGTCTGTTAACGAACCCTTTGCAAATTATCTTTTCATAAAAACGGACCCTTCACAAAATATTTTAGCTTAAAAACGGATCCTTCACAAAATGATTTTTCTTTTAATCGGACGCTTCTCAAATTTGTTTATCTTCATTATTGTTTTGTTAATTGAATAAACTCTTCCCAGGGCAGAAAACAAGAAAGATGGATGTAAACGAATTAAGTTTTGTCTTCGGCAGATGCTTCTTCCATTATTCGTCTGAAATGAATATTCTGCGTTCAGCAGTATAGACTAAATACCAAATATTTGTATGTTGCATCTCGAATTTAGAAGCAGCAATTGCTGTTTATTTTTGAAAATTTAATTTTTTTATTATAATTTTACAGTGCTGAGCATAATCTTGTATCTATTTACAATTTAAAAACTGCTTGAAAAAGTTTTTTGCAATAACCGGACCCTATTTGCATAAATTCATAAAAGCAGGACCCTGGTTGAAAGAATGTAATTTTTTCACAGTTTCACAAAAACCGGACCTTTCACAAAATATCTGGACAGACCCCTGTATATATATATAAATTCTTCGTGTCTCACTACTCGATTGTTATCAAAATATAGTAATCATTCTGACACAGATACTAAAACATAAATGTTATTGCTTAGATCCTGACTAAAGAAAATAAAAATGCAATAGCAAAATATTATATCAGGTAAACATATGTATGGGTTGTAAATGTTCTCATGATATAAAATAACTTTTAGGTAATTACAACAAAACTTGCTTGGATCTTCTCAGTTAACAAAAAGCAATGTTTATAAATACAATAATAACACAAACCAGCAACCAAAAAATTGTTCAGCTCCGATTAACATATAGGCGGTTTAGCAAATGGGCAAAATTTGGAGGATGTTTCGCTCCTACACTAGTTCCCAATCTAATATCATGGAAAAAGTGGTTTCACTATGCAGAGAAGAGACTGTAGGTTAAAATAAGACTTTTAATGAGCAAAACCAGGGTTGGCAAGATTTTGCCGCAGGTGGAAAAAACCATGGTAAATACCGGTAAAAACCGTCCTGGCAAAAACAGGTTTTTGCCAAGCAAAGTGGCAAAAAGTGGCAAAAACCTATATTTTCCAAGATGAGAGGACAAAAACACATTTTTGATACAAAATTATTCCTAAAATTGAAATATATACTATGAATATAAATAATTACAAAAAAATTAACAAAACTATTATTCCATAATTAAATGATAATGTAATAATATATCATTTTAGTAGTTTAAAACATTATTGATTGGAAAATTTGTGATTATTCTCTTTTTTCCAGTGAAATGAACTTATTTTAAATTAATATAACTATAATTTAAAGCATAAAATATCTATCAACATGTGTAGTTAATTATTGTACAAATAATAATTTTTTATAATAAATAATAATATTATACAAATAATAATATTTATTTATTTGTAAAAAAACATTTATTTTAGGATTCTAAAATGAAAAGAGATCAAAAACTTTCAATCTTTTAAAAATTATTACCCTTATATTAATTATTAATATGTTAAAAATAATTTTTTCATGTAATGTATCAAAATTATTATTCCTTATGATTGATTTAAATTTGTTTCAAGTATTTTGTAATTATTTAATGAGTAATTTAGATAATTTGGTTTTTGCCGGTTTTTACCAGTTTTTGCCGGTTTTTACCAGGTTTTTGCCACTGTCCTGGCAAAAACCCCTTTTTGCCGGCAAAAACTCCAACCCTGAGCAAAACCATCAGTGGGTTAATTGATTTATTTAGATAATTCTGACAGTCATAGATTTTTAGTTGCAGATTTTTTATTTTAATTTTTTTGTTAGACGTAAGATCTAAAATGCTCTTATTTGAGGAATGAAATTTAAAGATTACTATCAGAACAAATGAGATATTGTTTCCAATGTATTTTGTTACACTGAATTGAATTAAACTAATTCTAAGTCAATGTGATAAATACTTAAAAAGTTATGTATGAAAAGTACAGTTTTGAATCAGCATTTGTATCTTTTTTTTTTTTTAAAAACTTTTAAGACCTATTTATGCATGTATTATAGCTATATAGCCAAATGATAAATTTTTTCGAATGTACTTTATAAATTAAGATTAATAAAATCCTAATTAAATCGATAGAACTAAAAGTTTAGTGGGAATTAGGGTTTTGTGTATGAAAGTTATGATTTTTATTTTAAACACGTTTGCACATAAAACCCTTATAGTTCAAAACTAGTGGTTTTATTTATTAAATTTTCATTTTATTCAATTGAACCTAAGAAAATACTTAATAAATAATGCTTTACTTGCTTGTTTATAGCAATGTTGGACATTTAAATAAGTTTAAGTAGAAAATTGTTATTTTGATGTAGAAAAACTTTAAACTTTACAGTTCCATCTACTTTGCTTTTGCCTCGTTTGATTCAATTAAAAAAAATTTTTAAAAAAACATACAGTACAATATATCTAATTGCGCAAAGAAAAAAAAAACATTAAATGAGTAAATAGGTATAAACATGAAACTGTACTTTTTATACACATAACTTTGATAAATTATAAACTATTAGTTTTTTGATATAAATTTAATCTCATTTAACTCAGCATTAAAAAATACATCATTTAGTCTATATAACAATGGTTTATTTTCTCCCCCATCACAGAATCTGAGAAATAGGTATTTTTCTCTACAGATTCAAGACCAGTTTTTGAAAATCTTTGTGTGACTGAAAAAAATTTTTTTTATATCATATTTGAAATTAGTTTGCCAAACAATATGAAAATTAGTTATTACATTACCACTAATTTTTCATAGGTTTAAATTCTGTTGAAATGTGTATTAGAAATAATAAAAAAAAAAGAGAGAAATTAAAGTTGTAAAACTTTTAGTAAATTAAAAAAAAATATATATTAATGACTTTGTATTGCATTCTATCAGAATTAAACCTCTTTAACTAAACATTTACACAATAAATGAAAGATGACACTGAGACTGACTTGAATACAGGTGTGAAAACACACTTAATATATAAAAATTTTAAACAATGTAGGTAAAACTGATGTACAAAAGAATATTTTATAATATTATTTTGAAAGTTCTAGTTTTTACGGATGTAATAAAGGAAACCTTAGTAATAATTTAATGGTTATAACATTGCAACAACTGTCAGTTCACAAATTGTTTTTTACATACAAAACGATTAATTTTTGCCGTGTATGAATGTGATACATAAATGTAAATAAATGTGTATAGAAAAAATTTACATTAAAATGATTTACCGCCCCTATAATCAATCAAACATAATTAAATTAGAAATAAATTCAATAAGTAAATAAGTCACCAGATATGCTACAATATATTTACAAATATACAACAAATTCAGACCTAATTCGATTCAGAAACTAACACGATAAACTTATCAAGATTAACATTATAAAAAGGTTACAAAACTAAAAGTACAGCAAACAAAAACTAACAATAACAACAAAACACCTCTAAAACCATGCCTCCGTTCGATTACGATATTATACATCATATATTTATAGATAAATCATTCATAATCGATAGTCCCGCAGTGGATTGATCGTTAAGACACGGTTCCCAGCAGATCACCGAAGTCAAGCATCACTGGCTGCGGTCAGTGTGCGGGTGGATGACCACTTGGATCAGTCTGCGTAGGGACCGAGGGTGTGCGGTATTGGTCCTCGTTAAACTGTTCTACCGTAAAGTGCTCGACTTATCGTGCAGGTCGTTGGGCTACCGAAGCAGGGGTGCCATCCCCTCTGCAGAGGATCAAAATTGTGATGGCTTGTCTTCGGATCATCCTCAGGGATGTTTCCCAGACCGTCGCCAATAGCCCATTGTGAAACTCTAGTGCGACGTAAATTAACTACAACAACAACATCATAATTGATAAATATTTGGTTGATTTTTTATTTAGTTCAGTTTTGGGGTCGTATACTGCAGTAAATTACCGAAAACAAGTGCCACTGGCAGTAGTCATTGAGTGGATGATGACCACTTTGATTAGCCTGTGAAGAGATCGAAGGAGCAAGGAATTGCTCCTCGTCAAATTGTTCTACCATTAAGTACTCAACTTCACGCGCAGGTCCTTTGGATATCAAAGCGAGGGAGCCAATCCTCCGAAAATGATCAAAATTATGATCGCGTGTCTTCAAATCATCCACAGTCCGTAGTGCAGTTCCTGTGAGACGAAAATAATGATATTTGGTCAATTTAGGAATAGACGAGAATAGTGGTGGCGCCCCCCTCTTCTGACCGTATCTAAACAAACCTCGCCTGTGCGCAGCTTAATGCTATTTAAATAGGCTTTTTTGTGATTCGTTGTTTTTTCAATTTTTTTTATAAAAAAATAGATTTCTTTCAGTAGAAAACTGATTTTTCTGGTAAGAAACAGTTCATATTATTAGATTAAGAAGGTGTGAGTTTGAAAAAATGTGTTAATATTAATAGAAACGTTTTTATTTAATACTGATTGCTAAGCCTTGTGATTTAAGTTTTGTTTACATTTCGACACGTTGATATGTATATATAAATATATTATATTTATTTGTCATTTTTGTTAAACATGGCGTGAAAAGCTGTTACAACTTTTAACATTAATTTTTCTTTAAGGCTAATTGTGTGTTTCTTTCTGTTTTTTTAAATTTTTTGTAATGTAAATAAATTATATTGAGGTCGTTTTGTTGACTGTGTTAAGGTGCCTTTATTAATTTAATCAAGCATTATTGATTAAAATAAAGGAAAAAAAAAGCGCATTTTTTTCTTTCTCTCTCTCTCTTTGCCTGCAGTATATTTAAGTAGGTTATTTTTAATTATATGAATTTTCCTATCCATTCCATTATGTGTCTAACAATTTAAATGTTTATGATGTGATAGAACATAGACTTTTTGATTAAAAAACAAAATTGCAATCTTCTTCGTATATGTAGAATTTTTAATAAAGCCTAATAAAGATATTTATTTAGATTTTGTTGACTGTGTTAAGATCCCTTTACTGTGTTAAGCATTATCCATTTAAATAATAGCCTATTCTTAACTAAATACTTATTCCAATCTATTTCATGAGTTGTACACTTAAAAATTAAAATTCTTATAAGTAATAAAACATTGGCTTTTTGAATAAGTATTAAAATTGTAATCTTCATTGTTTCAATAGTCCCGCAGTGGACTGATCGTTAAGACACGGTTCCCAGCAGATAACCGAAGTCAAGCATCACTGCCTGCGGTCAGTGTGCCGGTGGGTGACTACTTGGATCAGTCTACAAAGGGACCGAGGGTGTGTGGTACAGGTCCTCGTTAAACTGTTCTACCGTAAAGTGCTCGACTTCGCGTGCCTTTCGTTGGGCTACCGAAGCAGGGGTTCCATCCCCCCTGCAGAGGATCAAAATTGCGATGGCTTGTCTTCGGATCATCCTCAGGGAAGTTTCCCAGTCCGTCGCCAATAGCCCATTGTGCAGCTCTAGTGTGACGTAAATTAACAACCAACAACATTGTTACAATGATTATATCAATGATATGTGAAATGTTTTTACAAAGCCTAATAAATTTAACTGAGATATTATATCTATAAGTAATTATTATGTTTTAGTTATTCATGGCTAGAAAGAGCGTTATAAAATTCCATCACATCGCTGCTTTTTTTGCTAGCGAGCCTAAACTTCTGGAAAAGGCCGAAAATGCAGTTGAATCTGGCCATGTGAAATCAATGGATTATGACGGGGAGAAGTTCATTGTTAAAGCAACAATTGATGCTAGCATGAAAGATAAATCCTATGCTGTTCAGGTTTGTGGTATTTCTCTAATTTTTATTTTTTATTTACTATTATTCCATATATTCTTTAATCTTACGTTGTATTTTATTTTTATCTTTCTCTCTCTAGCTTTATTTTAAAAATGTTTACATAATATTGATTTGATAATTATTATAAATTTTTAATTGCTATTAATTACTTTGTCTTTTTGCTTCTTGTAGATTATTTTTAAGAAAGATGGCTCTGTGGACAGTGGACACTGTCAATGTCCCAGGGGAACAGTTTTATGTCATCATATGGCAGCAGCACTTATATATGCTCACCATAACGTATCAGTAACGGATCAACTGTGCAGGTGGAATTTTAAGAAGCAAACGAAGAAAACTTCCAACATTCAGACTGTTGATCAGCTTTTCCCTTCCAAAAAATTTAAAGTCACGAAGCCGTTCTCTCAAGACAGCATGAGAAAGGAATTTCACGCTGATATTTGCAAGCAAGATGCTATTGTGGGGTTTTCTTGGCTGCTGGATGATGAGCCTGAACCACGTTTCAATGGAGGACATTTTATTTTCAAAGGAAAGTGCACCCTTTGATTCTGCTTCTTTTCTTGAGAAGGCGAAATTGTCTCCGGAAGACATATCTTCCATAGAAATGGAGACGAGAGGACAAAGTTCCAACTGGAAATGGGCAAGATACAGAAAATTTCGCCTCACAGCCAGCAATTTTGGCTTTGTTATTAAGGCCATGAAGCGGAACAGTTATCCGAAGTCTCTATTTACGCGACTTGAGGGCTCCAAAGATTTGTCCAAAATCAAGCAAATCCAATGGGGCCTTCACAATGAAAAAGCTGNACCGAAGTCAAGCATCACTGGCTGCGGTCAGTGTGCGGGTGGGGGACCACTTGGATCAGTCTGCGTAGGGACCGAGGGTGTGCGGTATTGGTCCTCGTTAAACTGTGCTACCGTAAAGTGCTTGACTTCGCACCTAGGTCGTCTGGCTACCGACGCAGGGGTGCCATCCCCTCTGCAGAGGATCAAAATTGTGATGGCATGTTTTCGGATCATCCTCAGGGATGTTTCTCAGACCGTTGCCAATAGCCCATTGTGCAGCTCTAGTGCGACGTAAATGAACTACACTCACTCACCCATCATTGATGATGACGCAAATAATGATCAATCGCAAATCGTCATCCTCTCTACAGCATTCCAAACGTTGTCTTGAACGGAATCCTTAACGTGGTTTCTCTTCAATTTTTTATAACTAAATTGTTCATTTGACTGTATTAAGTAGCTGGTTTCGATTGAAAATAATCGATTTGTTGCATTGACATCGTTGATTTTTAGTTTAAAGACATTTAAATTGGGGAAAAAATTGTGAAGATGTCGGGGGGGGGGGGATGTCGTTGGTAATGACGATCTTCCTGGTAATGATCCGCTTGGTGCATTTTTACTCAAAAGACTCTAAACTGACAGGAGTTTCCCTTTTGAGTGTTTCATAAATTCAAATAAAAAGACAAAAACTACGCTTTTCAAGTGGATTGTTGTTGTAGTTTATTAACGTCGCACTAGAGCTGCACAATGAGCTATTGGCGACAGTCTGGGAAACTTCCCTAAGGATGATCCGAAGACATGCCATCACAATTTTGATCCTCTGCAGAGGGGACTTTTCAAATGGAAGAAGGGGAAAATAATTCTACTTTTATCGCAATAAAAACGAAAAGCATGGGACTCATCATTTTTGGGGCCTCCCTGGCGAGCGGTATCGCCCGCCAAACGCACTGTTAAGCGTGGCGGGTTCGAATCCTGCCGTAACCCTGGATGTATTCTTTGTGATGTCCTTCTACTTGACAAAGGTTTATAAGCCTGCTTTTTAGGTTTATACCACACAAGCCTGCAAATGTATGTTGTACCAATAAGCCAAACCAAACTCATCATTTTCGAAAGACACGCGGGGAATTTTTAGTTATTTTATGTTTGTTATTGTACAAAAGTGGTCTGCCTTGTTTTCTAGTTAGAGATTTAACAAAAATCGAATTGATTTCTCCTTATTAGCGGATTAGTAAAATACTGTTTTTAAAATATTAAATCTATTTAGTTATTTTCGATAATTCGATTTGGCTAGTTTGCGTCGAAAAATTGTTGCAATTTCAAATGACAATGTAATAGAGGTATAGCTTGTCTAAAGTAAGAGCTCCCCTATAGCCATTCGTCTGAACCCGTGGCGGTGACTATGGTAACGAGGCATAACTATTTCAAGTTTAGGTGAGGGATCATTGTTTAGGACAGGTTTTGACTCAGATCTACGAGAGAAAGGGAATATTTTTCTTCGGTCTAGTGCTTAGCACGGTTACGGATGATTTTCTGGTTCACTTGTTATACTAGCTGTAAACAAACAGTTAAAAAGTAATCTATACCTTGATGCTATCTATGTTTTATTTATTTTTGTGTTTCCTTTTCTCAACTGCGGATTTTCACATTTTTTAAAATTCCTATCAATATTGTAAATATTTTTTCCCATATCAAATATAAACTCACCCGGTGTTGAATTTTTTTTCTGAAAGCAAAGTTCAGCTGAAAAAAAATCTGATATTTCAGCAAGTTAGTGAATGAAAAATTATTAACTCAAATAAGGGAACATATATTTTATAATTTATAGCCAATTTCAATTCAAATCTGCTTTAACTGCTTTCTTTAGATTATCTGGCCTTTTGATGAATTTTATGAATCGAAAAAACTAGCTTAAATTCATACATTTTTTTATTGATTTGTTTAGCTAAGCTGTACTTTAAAATTAATTTTATGAATTAAGACAATAATTTGAATTTATACCTTTAATTACTGGTTTATTTAAATTTAAAGAAAGTCAGTTGTTTGAGAAGCTAAATAAAAATAATTTTGAAGTGGCTTTCTAGCGGGCCACTGCCTAAATTCTTGTATTATACTTAGTTTCATGTAGAGAACACCATATATATAGTGAAACATAATTTAAAATGAATAAAACAACTCAAAGCTTTAATATTTATTTATAAATTCAAACAATTATGAATTTGTTAAAATAATACAACGCAGTTAGATTAAAAAAAAAATACAGCTATGCTTCATGAAATGAGCTAAGAATAAGTGAAAGACTAGAATTGCACATTAGACATGCCAAAATAATACCCCCACTAATTATTTAAGAATATTTTAAGGCACTTACAGTAAAATTCATTTAAATACAAAAATCATTTTAATACAAAAACTATTTTATCAAAGCGTTCTATTTCATGTTTAAAACTAATGCATATATTTTTTAATTTCACAAATTAAAATATAAACATGCACAACACTCAAATGAAAAAAAAATGGATAGTTGTAAAATAAAATTTTTTATGATTAAAAACTATTATAATCATAAAATTTATAAGGATATAATTATTAACTATAAAAAAAAAACAATATTAAGTATAAAAAAAATCTTAACTTTAAAATAATAAATCTACAAAATGATTAGTAGATTATCAGATTATGTACTTATTTTACAATGAATATATATCTGTACACAGCAATTAAAATTTTTCATAAAGTATCAGATCATTTAAAACAATTTAAAAAACATATTTTCCCTTATTATTGCATTGCATGATTAATAAACATACAAAAGTAAAAAAAAGTTTATTAAACTTATTAACTAATATTAAAAAAAGAATTTTAAAAAATTCTACATATTGATTCACACAGTAGACATTACAAATTAATTCATTATCTATGTAAAATACAACTATTAAAAATACTAACAACAATGATAGAATGAGGTAGTTAATACAAATATATGATTGTTTTAGAAGTTTCTTGAAGATGATATACAATAAATAACATTTTAACATTAACAAAAACATATAGATTATTATGATTTTTAGTAATTTTCCTTTTATGCATTAACACCGTCGCTGCTGACCATTGCATGATGGTCAGTAAAGTTGCTTTTTGTTTCGTTGTGAGATTGGCAGCAAACATATTAAAGACATTTAAATTATTTTCATTGTTACCAAAAAAAAAATATATTTTCATTAATTACAGTTATTTTAGCAGTGCATTTTCGTTAATAATTGAAATATTTTTTTCATTAAAATTGAATAAATAAATATACTATAAAAACAATTGCAAACAAGGTATTACAGTATCATATGCAAACTCTTCCACATCTAATTGATATGAAATAACAAATCTTTATCTCTACTATATATAGATTGCCTCTAATAAAAATAAAAAAAAACATTTTTAAGTAGTTACGTTGATCAATCAAAAGAAATTCACAGAATAATTTTTATAAGGCACTTTTTTTTTTAATAAATTAGACACTGATGGATAAATATACAAGGGGTATTTTTACCAGAATTTATTACATAACAGAAGAAAATCTTTAAGATATAAAAAAAGAAACTTTTGAGAAATCAAAGTAATTATGGTTTATTACTCACAAGACTGAATCTTTCAATTACATATAAACAGTAAAATTTAAATCAAACAAAGTATTTATTCTAAACCTACTTTGAATAAAAAAAAAAAGATTTATGGATTATACACATTACTATCCATTTTCTACAATTCAGAGTTTAATTTTAAGAATGGAATATGATAGGTCAAGATAGCAATCAAAATTGATGTACAAAAGAATGATTTTGAACGAGTTTTAGCAGGTTTGCTTACAAAGTTGGTAAAAAGCAAGATCTCTTATAAAGGACAGGACGGTTTAGTGAAATAAGCTTAAGGCCATGGGGATGAAGAGGTTAAATAAAATATTTTAAGAAAAATCTATCACTTTTTAAAAAATACAATTTAAAAGTAAAGCACTATTTTTAATAATTTTTTGATTACATGTACTAACACATACTACATCTATGTTATGTGCGTGTGAACATACTTCAGTTTAAGCTAACTTAACAATTGAACCACACCGAATTTAGAATTTCTGTACTCTTGCAAGAGAAGTGAATAAGGTGTATTCAGGAAATCTGTTTTGTCGATTGGAATAAAGAATCACAGATGGAAAATAATTTTCATTGGCTTATAACAAATTCATGTGACTTGGGAAAGTTGAGGTGTAGTGAACAGATAGATCAGTTCAAGAAACTGAATCATTTAAAAAGTTATAAATACTTTTTTACACTTACTTTGAAATGCAATCAGCATGTTATTTACAACTGCATTAATATAAGAATGAAATAATAAGACTTATACCAGAAAACATCCTCAATTGCATTATTATTTTTCAAATGAGAAGATTAATTAAAATCTATTTGCATACAGACTTAATGAATTTCTTTAAAAAAAAATTATTCATTATTGAATAGCTAGATTTACTCAAACTGTTGTCTTTAAAGAATCAGCTATATTTTAAACATTCCTAAAAAATTAAAGGCTTATAATTGTGAAAAGGAACTGAAAAAAATAATTTATGCAGAATATTAATAACAGTGTAAACTAATTAAATAAAATATATATTACTAACAATTGGTTCGAAAAAAAAAATGCTTTTGCTGTGGCAAGAATTAAATTTTAATTCTTAGAATAATAGAATAATGATGTTTAATATGCAAGCATTCAAAAAAATGGCTAGGATTTCTTCTTATTATCTTTATGTGTAAATGTTTATGATGCTAAATCTCCTAATTAAATGTTTCAAAGCAAAAAAAAAAAAAAAAAAAAAAAAAAAAAAAAAAAANAAAAAAAAAAAAAAAAACACAAGTGGTTTAAATTTGAAGCAATGCTATAATTTTAAACTATATATACCATACAGAATTATATGGACCATATAAGAAAAAATTTAGGATTTAAAAAAAAAAGTTAAGCATTTTTAAAAACTGCCAGTTTAGTAAAATTTTTCCACCTTAGATGAAAATTACTGAAATCAGTCAATATTTCTCAACTTTTGAACATTTTTAATAAGCCAGACAATGCAACATTGGAGTAGCTTCCCAAATAATAAAAAAATTAAATCCTACACTTTTCTTTATACAAAATTTTGTATATTTTTCATATTGTCATTTCAAGCCTTTTTTAAAATTAGTATAGAAGGCGTTGGTTAAATATATGTTAAACTTAACCTCTTTTCTGTCAGATTTTTTTCCTTCAAATTTCCAACCCACTGAAGAAAAAAAAAATGAAAAAAAAAGCGTTTTTTTATAGCTGAAAATGTTTTATCCCAAATTCAATAATGCAAAATATTTTTGTCAGCAAAGGAATTTTTTAATTATATGGTAAAATATCTCCAGTTTTCCCTGCAATGCACTCAAGTTTTATCTTTAAAAAACTCACTGTGATAACATATTTATTAACTCTATTGCTTTAAGGCATTTACAATAAATATCTGCATAAAATAATTATTAATATTAGGTAGAAAATAGTTAGGAAAATAATTTTCCAACCTTACCGTTAAAACAGCTTTGCAATCAGTCTTGGGCATCAGAGCGTAAAACTTACTTTTATCACAAAACCATCATAACTATTTTGACATTCAAAGGTGACACTAATGAAAGCGAAATTACAGAAAGTACAAAATGATTTTGATTGCAATTCAAGGTGGGAAATCTCACTGTATTAATTGTGAAGAAAATGGGACTAGTTGCGCCATTTCTTAGCAATATTCTGAAATATAAAAATAATTGCAAGATTTAAAGAGATGTGTATGTAGAGACTAATTCAGTTGGGCGATACAATTTTTCTTTTCGTCACATGGCATACAACGGGGACCATACGGGCACAAAAAAGCTAAACTTCTGAGATGCGACGCTGCCAGAGAAGGCTTTAAACTTAATAATCTTGAATAACTATTGAAAATTCTCAAAAGGTTATAAAAATAGCATCTTATTCAGCAAAAACTGTCATTTTAGAGACTACAGAGACTTTAATGAAGAGTTTTAATACCTTAAACATATAATTAGATTAAAATAAATATACTTTGTTTGGAACCGTTGCACTTAAAACATTTGTATATTACTTTGCATAGCTTAAATCAGTTGTTCCCAAACTTTTGTATGCTTATTGCCATTGATTGATATGTAAAAAAAAATTTAGTGTACACACATTGCAACTACGTTTTCACAAGAAGAAATCTCACTGGAAGTTTAATATCACACATCAACAAAAATAAGGAACATTATTTTCACATAAGTAATAACTTAACATTAATTTTCAAGTAGTATGTGCTTAAGATAAACCTATAATAATTTTCAAAACACCTAAACTAACATATATATAAACATATAGAGATAGAATGTATAGATGTAATAGACTTTGAGCAAAATAGTAAACAATACCACTCTTCATAAAACAAACATAAACATTATGAATCTATTTTTCATTCAAAATTATTTTGTGAACCAACTGGATCAGGCATAATTGACGCTTGAGAAGAATAAATATCACCTAAAAAAAGTAAATTTCAATCACAACAACAAAAAGTATAAATTAAGAGTAGAATAACTGAGCTGTAATTATTGTCTTCTCAAGTATAACTCAATTCAATGATATGAAAGAAAAAATATATAGCACAGATTAAAAAAATCTCCAATATTTATATCTTTAATTATTGTATTATACGAAAAAGAAAAATAATTTTAAAGATGTTCATATTAATTCATACATTTAGAGGTAATATACACTGCTGGACAATTGCTAAGGACGGATAACACTATCATCCATAGCAACCTCAAAATGAAAGGAAGCAAAATGTGGAAAATTAGAATAAGTGCAGGATATAGTAAGAAGAGGTATGCGTATGAAATTATTTTTTTCCACGTCTGTTCATTACGTCATAGCGCTGATAAGAGCTTTAAAGATTTTGACGCGTGTGAAGAGTTGTTTCAAGTCAAAGTTTTACAGGAAAGATTTAGTTGACAAACTTGAAATTTTCGGCATGTCTTCCCGGTATCGCTAAGATGATTTTAAGCGTGACAGAATTATTGGAAAGATTGAAGAAAGGCGAAAAATAACAGATGTTGCCAGAGAGTTCGACATAGCTCAAAGCGTTGTTTCACGGCAGTGGAAATCATTTAAAACTACTGGAATGTGTAGTAGGCTGTACGAGGAAGGTCGTGTTAGCTCAGCAGGTGGCAAATCAGTTTCCTGGCTAAGAATATTAAGGAACGGCCTGAATATTAAGGAACGCCTGCAGAAGACAGATACATCCTCCTATCAGCAAAAAGGAACAGGCGCACCACAGCTCAGCAGGTGGCAAATCAGTTTCTTGCTGCCACAGGAAAGCAGATTTCCTGAAAAACTGTTGCCAGACGTTTGAGGGGAGGACTATATGCCCGCAGACCTGTTGTGTGTGTCCCATTGACCAGACAGCACCGTACGGCCCATTTGCAATGGTGTCGTGAGCCTCACAATTGGACTGAACAGGACTGGGTATGCGTACTATTTTCAGATGAGAGTAGGTTCAGTCTGTCATCGGATTGTAGACGCCAACTGATCTGGCTCGAGAGTGGTACTGGTTATCGTCCAGAAAATATCCAGGAAAGGGACCGATATCTGACATGCATTGTAATGGTGTGGGCCCGCATCATGATCAATGGCTGCACGCGCCTACATGTGGTTGCGAATGGGACTATGACGGGCCAACGATACATTGATGAAGTTCTACATCCTCATATTCGTCTTTTCCTTGGTGCTGTCGGTGATGAATTTGTTTTTATGGACGACAACGCAACATGACATTGAACACTCGCTGTTCAGGATTGTTTAGACAGCTAGGGTATTCAAAGCCTCTTATGGCCATCACGTTCTCCAGATTTAAACCCCATTGAAAATTTTTGGGATGCTTTGGGGAGGCAACTTGCTGGTCGAAACTATCCTCCGACAAACAAGAACACCCTCATCCGTGCACTGATAGAGGAATGAGATAAATTGCCTCAGCAGCTGCTGGATAATGTTGTGCAAAGTATGATACGACGTGTAGAATGTTGCATCACACTCCACGGTGGACATATCCCGTACTGACACCTTTCTTCAAGTTGCCTGCTGACATTTAGATGCATTGTTCCATTTTTTCGTACGCAGCATCAAATGAACATTTTTTTTCCTTCAGGTGTTTCATAGCTTTTGTACTCTCCAGAACAATGAATATTCTTTATACTAATGTCTGAACAGTGTGGCAACTATATTTTATCCTACTAGGCCTCATGTCTTGCTTAATGTTATGCTACATTGCAAATTTGTGATCCCTCCTTAGCAATTGTCCAGCAGTGTAATATTGGGATGAATAAATTTTGAATATTTTGTCACAATATGTAAAGTTACAGAAGTGAAAGTATAAAACACCTTTTTTTTGGATGTTAATTCTGCTCGAATAGAGAAGAAGCAGACATTTAAAGCCATAATTACTTTCCAAAATGTAAATTATTATGCTGGTATTATTTACTATATAAAGTGAATATTGTGAGGGGTAGGTTAATGAGGGGTAAGAAGAGCATGCAGTGTTTTACAAAAATAGATATTTATCTGCACATAAGTCACCTAAACATAACATGGGTTAAATTTTAAAGTTATAGTTAAAGATGTTAATCAATAAAAATGACTTTGCATAAAATGACATTACAGAAAATTATATATTTAGTTAATAAAGTCCATTATAAATTTTAAAAAGCTAACTATAGAAAACAAACACACAGAAGAGAAACGCTAAAAAAAATTTCATTTACCATGGGTTTCCTTAGTACATTTTTCCTTGTCTTGAACAATGTAAAATGAGTTTATGAAAAAGAAGGCTGAACCAAGGACTAAAATAAACATTGGAAGAAAGAGAGCATATTGCTGACTTTTAAAGGTGGATAAAGGACTTTTATCACCATTTGAAATTGCATCAGATAACTGAAAAATAAAATGAATGCAGAAAAGGATTAAAAACTTGAACACAATATTATGTTACATTCACAAAAGTATTTAAAATATTTCAAGATAAGAAAATACTTACAACACCCACAATATAAGGACTACAGGCATCACCAAGAACATGAGACAAAGAAATTTGAATAGCTTCAGCCATTGATCTTCTTTGAGGTATGACAACATACTAAAAGAAAAAAAAAATGCTGAATTAAATTTTTTTTATGCAACACTTACAAAAAAGAAAAAGTTTAAAAGAGTGTTAGTTATATAAGAATAAAAAATAACAAAAAATATGTAAGTTTTGGCTATGTTTGAAAAGTAAAATAATTGTAATAATAATAAATAGAAGGAACAAATTAACTGTTAGATTTCCAAAAATGGAACTGATAACAATATTATAATATAAAAATATTTTAAAGATATCATTTAAAAAAATTCAAGCCTTAAACAAACCATTCATCAAAAAATTTAGGTTTAAAGAAAAGAAGTCTAAGAAGAGGTATTCATTTATTTATTGTAAAAACTAATTTATATAAATGTATATGCATATGGATAAAAGTTTTTTCTTGTAACTTTTAGACATAAATTTGTATTTACTAACAAAGTTGAATTTTTCAACAAAAAATTAAAACTTTCTAAATTCCTTTTTTTTAAAGTCAAATAAATTTTCAGAAATTATTACGATTATTTTTTTTTTAAAAAAAGGATCAAATTTTAAATATTTTACAACAGAAGATTCAAATGAAAAGCTTTTCAAAATTAATTCAGTATTTCCTCAAGAAGCCTCCAAATTTGCCATTTTAACAAAAGCTGGAAAAGAATAGTTGAGTAAAATAAACTCAAACTGGAAATAATTTAAAGGAATGTTTGTAACATGTGGTATGTTTCTGAACTACAGTTGCAAAGTAGTTTTTAAAATTTTTTTAAGAAAACTGAAACAATAAAATAACATATATATTTTTTAATAAACAGCTTCAAAGGTAAAATGACATAACGTGACCAACATCTAGAGCTTGCTTTAACTGTATAGTTTCCCTCCTTCAAAACTTACCTCTTTATTCAAAATTTTGAAATTTCAGCTCACCTGCCTTGTCGCTGTTTTTCATTTCCATGCACACAGACTAAAGTTTTCGAATTATGAGTGAAGAAATCTGATTTTAAGTGAGAAAAGCTGAAAAGAAGTAAAATAAATAATTTTTCTTTGGCTTAGTGGTCTTAGTAGGAAGATTAGGCAGACAGAAAGATCCACTGTCTGCCTAATCTTCACTGTCTGCCTACTGACTTTAGAAGTGACGTCACAAATTAAATCATTCCAAGTCATATACTCTTCATATAAAGTCGACAGTTGTTATCTTGATTGACGTTTAAAGACTCGATAATGTCCAAACTATAATGTCTAAAAAGGGACATGAGGAAAGAAGCTTTGGTTTCCACTGAGTTTCTAGACAGCTCCAAAGAAATGCTTCTGAGGAAAATTAGAATAAATCGGGCATTTTTTGAATTGTGGTGGCCTAGGGGATAGAGCACTCATCTTCCAATGAGTTGAACTGGGTTCAAATTCTAGCGATGACTGGTTCATTTGAACTCCACACAAGGTTTGCACTGACTACAGTCACACACATTCATTAAAATTATTACAGTTAATTTTATAAGAACATTTTTAAATGAAATTAAGAACTCACTAAAACAATGTCAGCAACCAAAACCCAGTTCATGCATAACAATGTTACGCCAAAGAATATACACACCTGTAAAAGACATAAGATTTTTAATTTTAAAAAAAAAATAAAATTTGTGTCTTTCTCAATGCAATAGAATAAGACTACAAAGATTAAATTAGTACACAAAAAAAATAATTTTATTAAATTAGTTTAAAAAAAAAAAACCTTTGGTAATTTAAAACAATAATTTGTATTTTGATATCATGTATTTCTTTGGTTCTTTTTTTATAATCGCAATTCAAGACATTTTTTTCTTCTTTTTACATTATAGTTAACCATTGAGTAGCTCCATATTACTTGAATTCATTCATGCAAAAAAGAAAGAACTTACAGAAAACGTTAATAATCCAAAATATCATAACAATAGGAATAATAAAATAATTTGTGTTAGTGAAATTAACAATGAAAATTTAAATGTGATAAATGATTGCAAATGAAATTTAACATGATACATATTTTAGATAATGACTTGCAATTTTTTTCTCATAACATAGTTAGAATTTCCAATTCATAATCCTTCAACAACATGCTGGCAGATATTCTATTTCCTAGATTAATCCTAATATTTGCTTAATAGAAAACTTATTTTTTAATAATTGATGGTAGAAATTTTAAGAACATTAGACAGGATTTCCACTACATTTCAGAAATTAAACTCCCTGACTTTTCCAGGTATTTCAGAAAAATCTCAATACAATTCATGACCCTATTTCATTCATAAATTGGAAAAAAAAGCTCTTATTTTACCTAATAAATCAAATACTATATTTGTTGAGAAAAAATATAACTTAATGAACGTGTTACATAAATACTTCTTGAATATATTTTATGCATATATTGAAAAAAAAAAACACTATTTTATTTTATTTGATACATTAAATGCCATATTGAGAAAAAATATCACTTAATGAACATGTTTCTTTAAATTTTGTACTCTTAAAAATTTGACGGCCTAGAGCTTCAGTTCCAGTAGCCCTGTCTTTTTCTCTAATCAAGGCTACAATACAAATCATGCTATGTCAAAATAATTTTTTATATTATAAAAATCAATCCCGACATCATGACAGATAGACTTAAGACGAAAAAATTGCCGATTTCTCTTGTTCCTGACAGTAAAAGAAATAATTTCCATCCCAAAATAATAAATTTTCTTTTTTAATTCTTTTCATAACAAACGCTGAAAGAAGCGTGTTTTATCTATACACAGGTAATAGAGAGCACATTGATTTTTTTGAAAAAATTTTAAAGCTTATAATCGAGTAAGTTTAATATTAAAATACATTTTTGAAATTTAATGTTATGTTTTAATTAAAGTAGTGATGATTAAATCTTATTAAATTAAAAACCATGACATGATTTTCTATTAAAGGATCTTGAATACTTACATATGATAAAGTATTATTTGATGAGGCAGTAAGACAAGCAGCATAAACAAGAGGGATTGAAAACATCATACTGTATGCACAGATTAAAGGATCTGCTCTGGGATTATATCTTCTCCAATACTGAGAACATATTGACCCAAGCACAACTCCAACTATTCCTGCAAAGCATGTGATCACTCCAAATACAAGGGATAAACTACAAGATAAAACGAAACTTGTAACATACACTAAAGGGGAAAAAAATGTTAGGTATGGAACCTCAAATAAAAACCCAGTGAATAACTTACTAAGTTTTATCTGGTTTTTCTCCATGTACTTCAATAGCGGAATCCATAAAATCTGGTACCCACCAAGCAAGAGCTCCTACGGAGAATGTGACACAAGTGAAACCCAAAGTCACCCATATGAAAGATGGTCTGGAAGAAGAAGAAAAAACCCAGTTATACTCAAGAATAAATTTTAAATTTAAATATAAAAGAAAGAAGCCAGAAGCAATTTCAAAAGAAGAAGCGAAATTAATAGAGGGTATCTGCTACATTTTAGATTTTCAAACTCATGACTTTTCATGAATAATTTCAAGAATTTTTTATGACTTCCTGAAGTTACTATTTTCTCTGACAAAAACACAACAATAAATTTAAAAAAGCATTATAATAACATTAATTGAAATGAAAGGTATAACTAAAACTGTCATACTCTGCATCTTCATATTTATTGATTTTAAACTTAAAAAGCAGAATAGAGAAAGAGTTGAAGCGATAAAATAGCTGAAAAAATACAAAAGCAAATAACTTAATACAGTCAAGAAATATTTAGTTACTAAAGCTGTTTTATTTCTTCTTAAAAGTAAGTGCAGTGTAAAAAGCCTAAACTAGAATTTTAAATTGATAAAATAAAAAATAATAATAAATAAATAAAAAAATTATGAAATTACTGAAGTTTAACAGATAATTTTCTCTAGAAATTATGAAGTTCTTTTATTTTTCTGAAAGAACACCATATTTTTTAAAGAACATGATAAAAACATTTCATATTTTAATAAAATATGACTGTAAGAGGGGATTTTGTTACAAGTTTAGATAATCGGAACACTGTGAAATTGGGGGGGAGACGGNATACAAAAGTCCATTTAAACATAAGACGAGAATTCCATTTAGAAAATTAGATATTTCGGCTACCTAAATGCATGACTTTTCACGATCTTTTTAAAAATATCGTTAAAATCATGACAAATTTTATTCAATAACGAAATCCATGACTTCTGTATTGAACAAAACTCTGTTAATAACAAAAAAAATATTTTTTAAAAATTAGAGTTGTTTATTACTACTTTGATACTATGGGGGATTCCACTTGTAGCAAATTTTCAATTTGTCAATTTAGTCAAAAAAATTTGTTTACAACTTATTTAAAAAGATATGGACAATTCTAAGAATTTTTGTGAAAAAAAAGTCTAAGAATCCATTACACTGTAATTTTTTAAAAACTTACAGGAATTTAATTGCTTTTCAAAAAATTGAAAACTAGGTGTTCTGACTTAACATATTATGTTATATTCCTAACAACTAGTTTTTAACTTTTAAAAATTTTTCTAACTTTTGAAAGTTACCAAAACGTTTGTATGATTTAAATCACTTGATTTAAATGAAGATTAAAATTGTAATTTAAATCTCTTTAATTTTTTTTTAAAAATAAATAAAATATTTTTAAGTCAACTATGATTACTTTAAGAAAATCATAGATTTAAACTAATTGATTTTTTTTCAAAAATAAATCAAATAAAAAATATTTTTATAAATATATTCTTTAGGGTGTAATCTTGTTAAAGTCTGATTTCATTGACAATGAAGGTTTTATCCAAATAAATAATGAAAGGGTAAATTATTGTATTTCAAAATTGACTAATAAATAAATAAAATTAGAGACTAAAAGTGATTAAAAGTAACGTTAAACTGTTAAGTTATAATTTTCCATTAGCTGTATGTAAAGTTATTTGCAAATAACAAATTTACGATTTAGTTTTATCTTTATTTGGATACTTTAAGTTTTTTTTAAAATATGTTGAATATGTAGTTAGTGTCAACCAATATTGAAAAAAAAAATGTGTTCTGCCCAAAGTAGCTTACGATATTGTTTTTTTTTTCATGAACTTATTTTGATATAAGCTAATTTACTTTTCATTCGATATCTAACTGAATAAGTGCCTCTTTTTCTTTAATCAGTGATTAGTTTGCAATAATTAAAAAATATTTTCAAAATATTTATTTAGGAATATCAACTATTTTAGCCATGCTTTTAAATAATATTAAGAACTGTTAAAATATTTTATTGGATGATTTAGTAGGTAAATATAAAGAAATCTGATTAAAATCAAATAAATCTAATTAAAAAAAAATAATCCCGAACAATTGGAGCTATTATAAACAACGCCAACACTTATTTTCACAAATATTATTAACTAAATTTTAGATTCTTCTTAACTGAGTCATAAGCTTTAAGTAACGAGCTAAGGCTGAAGTCTTTAAGTACAGCATTCTTAAATGGTGAAATCGCACTATGGATGATTGATCGTGTAAAACTAAGTGCAGATGGCTGAGGTTAAAATTCGTCGTAAGGGTTACTACTTCCGACTGATCTGTGAAAAAATAGAATATTACTATACTTTGCATTCTTAAAATCTTTTAATTTAATTTTCAACAAATGAATTCGGAAAACTCTGCAAGCTTGCTATGATGCTACCCAAAAAATAACAAACGGTCTATCTCACTCAAATATAGCCGAATAAGAGATAACACTCAAAACATGTCTAACCTTACACTATATTTATGCAGTGAGTGATATTAATTTTGTTAAATTTCTTTTAGGCTGACAACCTGTTAGAATATATAAATCATAGAAAACTCCGATGATGAATGGTAAAATTGCGTGTAAATTTAAACACAATTCAGAATAATAAAACTTCCCAGAACATTAAGACTGTTCACACATAGCCTCATAAGCACAACATAAGCAGAGGGATACACCGGAAGTTTTCTAAATTTCTTCCGGTTTAAGGAAGCTTGTTATTGCTTACATTCAATCAACCATCCATAGATAAACATTTCTAAAAATGGCATACATTTTTAAAACTTCAATGATATCTTGAAAAACACTTGTGGTATTTGAAACAACTCCTCCATCAGCTCTTCCACGTGGAGGTTCAATCAAAACAGTCAAACATAAGATCACAGCTAAAATACCAAGGCCCGGAGTCACCTGAAGAAAATCAATAAGATATTTAATGAGCCAAGGAAGATTTACAGTTTACCCTATCATAAGAATTGATACCTTGATTGAATACCATCATTAAATTATATTAATTTTATAACTTTTGTTCAACAGTCGACCCAATTTTGGGTTTACGACTACTAATGTTCAACTCCGTAGCCTTGTAATTTTGAACCAATCCAGAAGACAAGGAAACTCCTGCATCAGTACCCCCAGAGGTACGATTATTAGAACATGGAGGGCTTTTGAGACTTGACAGATTTAATGTGCAACGACCCCTTGGACATGGGCCCAGTGCCCTATCAACCAGGCAATCCCGGTCGAAATTATATTAATTAAAAACATAATTAGAGTCTCAATGGCTCAAGGGATAGAGTGTTCGCCTCCCAATAAGGTGAATGGGGTTCACATCCCAGCGATGGCTGCTCGATACGAATTCCGCACCGAGCTCGCACTGATTACAGTGCTGACATAAAATATCCCCAGTGGTAGACGGATCATGGGTTAGAGTCGCCTTGTGGTCAGGCCATGGGAGCTTTTCGTGGTTTTCCTTTCCATGTAACATAAACACGGGTGAGTTCCATCAAAAAGTCCTCCACAAAGGCAAAATTTCTCCCAATACTTGATCTAAGAGTTCCCTTGTTTTCTGAATTAGGTTCAAAATTGCAAGGCTATAGAGTTGAACATTGGCAGCCATAAACTCAAAGTGGGGTCGGCTGTTCAACAACGGTTATAAAATAAAATAAAATTAAAAACATTAAATAATTTGCATTAATTTAAATACCTTGATTAAATTATGCTAAGAATAAAACTGTAAATAGTTGAAAGTTTACAAGTAAGGAACAGTTCCTGAATAATATGACAAATCTGTAGCAAAAGGAATTTTAAAACATGCATCTTAAATCATTCAAAATATTTACTGCCTCTGTTGTTCATTATCAATATACAAACAAATTGCAACATTAAACATTTTACTATAAATATCATATGAATAATAAAATTTAAATAATGTTCACTAACTTACTCTCAAAGCCCAGTACCAATGACCAATTCTATTTGCTACCTCAGGTCCAACGATGTAACCTAAACCACTGTAACAAACAATGTGTTTAAGAAAAAGATACATAAATATTTTGAAGACTAAAATAAAAGTATATATAATGGTTAAAATTACACAATCTTTAATACTTTTAGCCTAGGCGTGCACAACCTTTTTGAGGGAAGGGCCACATGCACAGCAGATTGATCAATGAAGGGCTGCATGCCAAAGTATTTAGACAGACATATTGACAGTAATTGTTAAACAGCAGTGTTCTAGGCACTAAATTCTTTTTGTCTGTTAACCTTGTAATATATTTGCACAAAATTAAATACTTTTAAATGTTTAAAATTAGAAACTGCAAAAGTGATTATTTAGGAAAAAAAAAACAGAATCAATTTATCAAAAATAAAATTAAGATAAATTGAAATAATTAAAAACTATGGGGAAATTCATGTTTTTTTTTATCATATTACATAATACAAAAGTCCATTTAAACATAAATTTCATTAAAAAATTTGCTCATAGAATTAAATTTTTAAAGAAATAAATATTCTAGTTATTAAAATAAATGCAAGTTAAATACTTTGATTTAAAGAAAGTTTATAGGGTTAACAATTATTAAAATTAAAACAAAATCCCTTCAGCGGCAAATAAGATTTAACAATTAGTAGGGAATATACTTTAAACTTTAAAACATTCAATATAAAATAATTATAAGAGGCAGGAGCTGAGAGGGAAGCAAAAGAAAGAAAGAAAACCTTAATTTTGAAGGAACTATTTTCTTTAATAATAAAAAACTTATTAAGATACTTGTTCACAACTTTTCATGATCAATACTTTGAATTACTATTTACTTACTTACACTTACAATTACTTACTTACACTTATTATTTACAATAAATACACATATATATTAACAATTAATTAAAATTTTACATCACTTTACGAAACTTATCTTGATTACATTTTAATGCAGTTAAAACTAAAAATTATACAAATCTTTTCCTCAGCATATAATCATAACTGATATAAAATGGTCCAAGTAGGTAGAAAATTGTTTAAAAAATTTCTTAACGGTTATCCTGTAATTTGCAAACTTTTTAAATATTTTGATAATTTTATCTACTTGATCAAGTGGTAGCTTTTTTGAGCCATTAAATGATAATTTAATGATTTTGTTTAAAGACTGCTCTGGAATTTTGAACAGGCCAAATTCATTCTGGAAAATAGTTCTTCGAAAGAAGCTGTTGTTGTGGGCAGTATTAAACTTAGGACAAATAACTTAATCAGTTTTGGAATCTGCCCCAGATGTTTTTCCATTCCTGATTTTTAAATCGCGTGAACACAAACAGCGATGTGTTATTTTTAAATTGCTTGAACACAAATTGCTTTATGTGAATTTTAAATTGCGTAAATAAAAAATGCAATGCGTGGTTTTCAAATCGTGTGAATACGAATCGAGATGCGTGGTTTTAAAATTGCGAGAAGAAGAGTCACAACATATGATTTTTAAATCTGTGAATATGAATCACGATTACCTGTGATCAGTGAAAATTCGAGAGATTTTTCGGTTCGATTTCAGAGGGCAGAAAATGAAATCTGAAATTGAGAATATCTTGCAAAATGCAGCAGTTTCTCATGAAAGTGCAAGAATTCTCAACACTGAATTCCGCTTAGCATATAAGTACACGCAGACGCACAAGTATTTCGTTAAACACAAATAAAATGATCAGCACTTTCATATGCTAAGGAACGAAAGTATGCTAAAATGGATTGTGGTTGAATGAATAGTGAAAACGTTAATAAAACAGTGTGAAAACCACGTTTTCCGCATAATTCATGGCAAAAATCGACACGGTAAAAATATATCTCATTTTGGAAAAGGAAAAATTAAGAACTTTTTAAAAACACCTAATGAAAAAAAGCACCTTTAAGGGCTTTTAAAAAACGAAAATCAAAAATAAGCTCCTTTAAACATTTTTTTAAAAAAGCTACGCACGCTGTTAGTTAGATATAATGCATGAAATCCTTTTCTTTTCAATTAAATATCTAAGCTTATGTAATCAATATTATGCAAATCTATATGTTAATGCAATAAAAAAAAGAAATTTTGCACAATTTCATTCAATAGTAAAGAGCAACATCAATTCCTTAAGACAAGTATCATTTATTTTTTCATCAAGTGATTAAAAAGAGAATTTTCATTAAAGTCTACATAAAAATTTTATTTTTAATAAATACAAAAAGAATAAAACAGTAGACAAACCTTCCAACAGGAATTGCAAAATAAAACAAGGAAAGCATTCTAGTTCTAGTTGTTCCAGTAAACAAATCAGCTATAACAGTGGGTGCTATAGTTGAGTAACTTGCTTCACCAGTACCAACCAATGCACGTGAAAATATAAACAACTTGTAATACTGTAATGAGTAAAAAAAAGTTTTTTTTGTCTTTTTTAGTTTGAAATCAATTATAAAATATAAAGAAAACATTCTTACAAAAAATAAGCCTATAAGGTAATAAATATTAAATTTTTTTCAAATTAGATTTTTTGGCTAATATACAGACGAAACTAAACAATTTTAGGCATTTTTTTTCTATTGCTGGTTCTAATTGATAATATTAAGAATTCTTCTAATTGATAATGTTAAGAACTAGAATTTAAACATTTATTTATTATCCTTTTATGGAAGTCATAAAAAAACATAACCAGGACCCCCGTGGAAGAATATTTTCTTGCTTTCTGCGTCATACCTCTCTAATACTAACATCTTTCTACAAGATACTTTTGAAAATAACAAATATACATGTCACTAATTTAAAGTAACAGAAGCGCCAACTTCAAAAAAAAAAAAAAAAACTTTTCAGAAGCTATAGAATAATTTTTTAAATTTAATATGTAATATTTTTTTATTCTAATATTATGTATTCTTGAATTTTTTAGGGGGAAAACACATTAGTTATTTCTTTTTTCATCTTTAGTAAACATCCTCACATTAAAAAAATAATTAAAAAATCATGAAATCCCTAGCAGTAACTACCAAAAAAAAAAGATCCGATGAAAAAAGCAGGCGATTTGAACTCTTCAAAAAAGGGTTACTAAATGTGTGTTTTTATTTAGAGATTCAGTTGTTGTAATCAGGGTTGGCAGGTTTTTGACATGTGACAGTTTTTGACAGTTTAAACCATGGCTTAAACCGTCACGTCAAAAACCTCACTGTCAAAAATGTCGAAAATGTCAAAAACCTATATTCATATGTGAAATTTAATTAATACATAAAATTTATATATTTTTTAAAGGATAGTGTTTCTAAATATGTTCTAGAAAAAATAAATTTAAAATTTTGAAGAAACACTTATATTTTGAATAGTAACCAAAATCTTGTACTTTTGAAAACTCACATCTTTTGTAATATTATGTATTCATTTTCATGTGTTATTGAAAATCTGCAGTGATATTATTAAGAAATTTATTTATAACCAAATTTAGTGTATAGTATAGATTATACTAAAAATTAGACATTTTTAAAGATAAACATTAGCAGTTTTGTACATTAGACATCTTTTAAAGAAAAATCTTTTTAATATTCTTTTAAATCTTCTTAATAATCTTTTTAACATAAGACAATACAAATTTAAGTGCTTTCTGTTAAATACACAGAGTAGTTAGTGTCGATTTACAGTATATTCAGCCTATTCATTTACTATGCTGAAAATTTAGTTTATCCAAATACTTGTGAATTTCATTTTGCTGAATACTATATAGTTTTGTTGAATATCTAAATATTCAGCTGTTGAATAATTACTTCTTGCTTTCAAGATATGCATTATTTGTATTCTTAATACAAGTGGAGAAAAAAAAATTAAGAGATAAAAATTGTTTTAAAATGATAAGTGTAATAATTATAAATAAATATAATAAACAATATGAATTATATTTATCATTATTCATAAATATAACTACTTTTAAATTCAAATTAACATACTGGATAATAAAGATATTCGGTATAACATTAAAAAAAATTTTTTATACACTTGTATCTAGTATCAAGTTTGTATTTATACAACATAACTTGTAAGTTCCTTATAAATATTAGTTATATGTTCCTTATATGTCAAAAATGCATAGTAATAAACTTTTAATTTTCTTAAGTATCAAAAAGAAAAAAAAAATTTTTTTAAATATAAATATTTAAACAATTTTTGTGCAAAATTTTTCTGCACATGCATTTGAATATAAATTTCTGAGATTTTAAATCTGTTATTTTACCTTAATTTTAATTAAAAAATATTTTAAAACCTGCTGATTACCTATAGTATAATTAAATTTCAATATAATGCATGGCAACTGTTGGTAGTTTTGAAGTTTATATATTTTCTTGGCAAACTTCAGTTTTTGACATTTTTGACGGGTTTTTGACGGTTTAAACCAGTATTATACCCTTGTCATGTCAAAAACCACTTTTTGACGTCAAAAACCCAACCCTGGTTGTAATGAATAATACAGTATTAAAAATATTAATATTTTAAAAGCTATGAGGAAATCAATAGTAATTATTTGCATAAAAAATAGAATGAACATTTCCGCAGAAAAGAAAACCAAATTTTTTTACTTCATTACTCTTTATTTTTCATTATTCTCCAATAAGAAACAAAAAATCACACAATTACAAGTGTATTTTTTCCATTCTGATGAGCGAGAAAAGCATCTTTTGAATATAACTCTGAAGAAAGAAAAAAATCTTTTGAAAATTTTTGCAGAAAAGAAAACCAAAGTTTTTTTACTTCCGAAAAGAAAAATCTTTCAGCAAAGAATTCGGTAACGTTCTGCGACAATGTCGCCGTGATTCTGCAAAAATTTTACACTTGCATTAAGGTTTAGACATGACAAAAGAATACCAAGATGGAATACTCACATGAGGAGGAACAAAGGAACCAAAGAATGTAGTTGCACTCCAAAATGAAATGCCACAAGCCATAATAATTTTCCGATTGTATCTATCCCCAAGATAGCCAAAGATAGGAGCCATTATCAAATAACTTAGAATGAATGATGTTTGTAACAGACCAGCTTTTTTATCATCTAATCCATAATAACCTTTAACATCTTTTAAGACACCTGAAACACAAGTATTTAGTAAGAACACAAAAATATAGCTTATTTATTTAATTACTTTAATTAATAAACTAGTCTCAATGATCAAAAACTTCTAAATATTTTTAGAATCTTTAGTAAAGTAAAAAACTTACACATTATTAACAGGAACATAATATTTACGTGTAAGAATGTTATCAAATGTCATGAATTATCAAATGTCACAGTACAGTTTGAACTAAAGCGTGTGACAGTCAGACTCCACTTTCCTTGTTTCCTATGTTAAAATATCAAGAATTACAAGAAATAGTTTTCTTGTTCAAGTTTTACTTTGATGTTAGACACAATTTTGACCTGTTATTTTACATATTTTGCTTATTAGATATTGCTAAAATTTATTCAACTGATTTTTTTTAAAAACTTGTTATCTAAAGACATTGAATTTTATTATCAACAAAACAAGCATAAATAATTTTAAGTAGAACAACAAAGAAAAAAAAAAAAAAAGAAAAAGAAAAAAANAAAAAAAAAAAAAAAAAAAAAAAAAAAAAAGAAGAAGAAGAAAAATTTGCATGATAAAGCAAATTTAGAGTCTGTAAGAAAAAGAATTTTAATTCTTACGTCATAAATAGATTTTTAAAAAAGTAGTTGTGAAAAACTTTTAATCTGTTAGTTCTATATTAAATTTAGCTTGTTTAAATTTAAGCTATTCTTATATTACTTTAGAGGTTTCAAAGTGTAGATTGATTTCCTCTAATTACTAATTATATTATGAGGACTCCAGTGTGTGAAAAGAGCAAGGATGACGATTCTAAAACTTAACATAAATTTATTGAAACGTAACAAGTTTTGTGCGACTGCTCGCTGACGGGATACTCTCTGGAATGAATATAGAAATCCTTAATCCCGGCCTCTCAGGGTAGGCTGAAGAGGCACAATTTGGGGGTTTGATCTAAAGATAGATTTTCTAGAAGGGAATCGCTACATTACTAATAGATAAACAATTACATGGGACATTTTAAAGTTAATCAATCTTGAGCTCTAAATTTGCACCTATTGATCGAGCAAGGGATAGAAAAATGACCTTATTCTGACGTTATGCTTTTACATGAGAAAGAAAATCTGTAAAATTGCATTTTCTTACAGATTGTATTAACAGACTGTGATCTTTGTTCTTTACACAAAACTATTCAGATGTTTTCCACCTAGTAATTTGCTCGTGAAAGCATTTTCAATGTTTGAAATTGTCTGTAACACTAGGATTGAATTAGATTTCTGTATTTAAAGATAATTTTTGAGCATTCATCCACATATTTTATGAATATATTTCACGAACATAATTGTCATCCTCCCAAACTTAGTGTTTCAGATAAGAATTTGATTAAATAAATTAGTGTCTTGCTCAAATTATTTCAAAATAAAATGTAAATAGTTTACTGATCTAAATTTTCGTGCGAACTTTAAAAAATACTTAATTTAATAAAATTGTAAATCAGAGGGGGAAAAAAACAAACAAACAGAAATAAGCACAAAGACTTTTTATTAAATATTATTAAGTATATCTAAAGACATTCTGTTCATAGGTCATTATTATATTACCTTGTTTGACTTTATTCAAATATTATTTTAGATTATCCTAAAGAATATGATTAATTCCAGCTCAAAAAGTGTTGCAACAAATTTGCGTAACACGTGAAAGAAGTATTTTTGCATTATTTATTACAGAAAAAATTTGGGTATCAAATGGTAATAAAAAAAATAAAAAAATTGAGATTGTTTTGTAATTGAAAATTTGTTTCGTTAAAAGTATGAAAATATTTGCATCATATTAAACTAATAGTAAGATATAATAATTTGTAAGGTTAGTATAATTTGTAACATAGCAAAAAAAAAAAAAAAAATAATNTAAGTTTATTTCATTCATTGCAAAAAAAAAAAAAAAAAATCATGAATAACAATTTTGGCTTGACTGGCAGCTATGAAACCGTGTATCTCACATAGGCCTCACAAAGTAGTATGCATAGCTTCCATCATTTAAAGTTTCTTGTATAGATCCAGAGAAACAAATACAAAATTTGTAATCAAGAAGAGCCAGAGGTAAAATGCCTTCTTTCTGCTCATTGAAACATTGTAAGAAATATTGACTTCGTTCAGTGTCGGATTAAGCGTAAACGGGGTCCTAGGCCATTCAAATTTTTGGGACCCTTAGATTAAATTTTTTTTCCTCATATATTTTTAATTTATTCAAATATAAAAGTATTTATATATCTTTTCATTTAAGAAAGTATATTTAAAATAAAAAAAATAATAAAAAATTAAATTTTACTTTATTTTGTTAAATTAGAACTAAAAAATAATTATAAAATTTTGAAAAAACTTGAAATTTACTAACACTTTACAAAATCAACGCTACTATAAAATTGGTATTCAAAAATCTTTTTTTCTGCTCTGGCGATCAATAAGCTCATCTATAAAGTTATCTAAATTAATTTCACGGAGAACATCTGATTCGATAGGCAAACTTAGCATGTTTAATCGTTTTTAAAAAGTGACATTTCCTTGCTCACTCTTCATTTGTTTCATTTTTAAAAACGAGCGATCCGTAGAACAATTTGTCAATCAAAAACATTGAAAAATCTTATAATACATAAAGTATAATAATACTCATAAATAATAACTAAAATAAGTAATAAATAAATATGATTAACTTTATGTAAAAAAGCTATTGTATTTTATTAATATATATTTGAAATTGTTTTTTTTTTAAATCATTGTTTTACTTAATTTTTTAAACTTTATTTTCAAAAAATCCATTTCAGAAGGCCCCTAATCACTGGGAGCCCCATTCCATGGCCTAATAGATAATCCAACACTGACTTCGTGGAAGATGAAAGTTGAACTTAGAAAACTAACCATGAATCAAAATCTTTTCAAACTTAATCATCAGCATCTCTACACAATGCTGCTTGATCTTGAGAAGTGCAAAGTATGATGATTTGACATTCTTGTCTTCTCAGCTCAGGCTCAAAATAAGAGGGTAGTAAAAATAAACATTACAATATAGCAGAGATTTAGTTACCAAATCCCATTCAATAACACATAAGGATAAAGTCAATTTTCTATAAAAAGAGGCAAATTATTAAAAAAAATATTTGAAAAGAGGTTGAAAGTTTATTTTGGAAAATAACTAACAACTATTTTTTAAATTTTTTTTTATAATTTTCAGCTGTATTCAAAATGTATAGGTTTGCAATTGAATTGAAAAGACAATCATGAACAAAACAAAAGCATTGTTTTATTGTTAAAATTGTCTCTGAATCTTTTTATTTTTCTTACAGACTATTGAAACTAACAAATATTTCAGAAAATGCTAATATTAACTATAAAGTATTTAACAAAAAATTAATAAGTTTATTTCATTCATTCTACTTTTTTTTATTAAGTATTACACATTATTTTGGCATTTATTATAACTTTAAAACTAAATGTTACACATTTCATTAATCACAAAATATAGCATAAATAATTATAAGTAACTATCAATAATAAAATTTTAACAAATTATTATTCATTTAAGATAAAATATTTCTAACTGAAAAGTTCAATCTTGTGATCTAATTTCAGCAGGGATCAGTTAATGCATTTTAGAGCATTCAAAACCTAATTTTCACAGAAATTTAAAAAGAAATTGGCGTTGAAGAAAAAAGCCAACTATTATTATTTAATTTTAAGATTACTTCTTTTTATTTTGAGCAAACTTACAGTAAATTAATAAATGAAGATTAACTTACAACAGTGAATAAATAAAATCTAAATATAAAAAATTAAATTGTTGAAGAAAGTTCAAAGATAAAATGAAATAAGACATTTTATTTTAGACTATGTAATCAAAATAAAATGAGCATTCACCCCTCCTTGAACAACAAGAAAGAGGCCACTCCTAACAGAGAGAAAACAATTAAATAAATATAAACAAAAGCTATTGGTCACTCTCTTATAACTGCCTATGGACAGCAGCACTTCCACGGAGGAGTGTTGAGAACTTGTTTCAGTAGCTGGGATGCCCTTTATCCAGATCTTCGAGGGTGGACAATTCCAGGGTTGGATCCAGAAAATTTTCCTGGGTGGGAGTCATAGACTCAGATTCTCCCCCCCCCCAAAAAAAAGAAAAAAATTAACTTTTTTTATTAAAAAAATTTCTTTCAACCTTTTTTTTGGAAAAAAAAAAAAAAACTGGGGATTTTAATGCTAAGTCTTCTCATTTATTTTCTTCATAATGAACAATAGAACAATACATAAATAATTCAAGTATTCAAAATCTTTAAATAATACATGTAATGTGTTTTTTAGAAACTTTGGCAAATCTGTCAATGATTTTTTCAACATCCAAATCAATTTCTCGATGAATGTTTAATAATAGCCAGATTTTAGTAACGAGTTTTGCAAGTTTCCCATCTTCACCTTTTATACAATCTTTGGTTAAACCTGTTGAAGCGCACTTCAACAACATTGTTAATGTTTACAATGAAACTATGATGAATTTTGTAATCTTTTGGATTATGATTCTTGAAACAGTGAAGAACATAATTTGACGGAAAAAAAATTATTTTTCCAACCTACCTAGATGTATATGTCCCCTTAAATAATTTTTAAAATATTTTATTTCTTTTATAAACTATTAAAAAAATTGTTATTAAAATTTGTTTTCTAAATAAATTTTTTGGAGGGGGGGGGCATGACCCCTATGACCCCCCCCCCCTCTGGATGCGCGACTGGTCAAACANCCGCGCTGGATCTGCCACTGGTCAGTTCAGTATTTTTTATTAAACTATTTAATGGAGGTATCAAATGGACTTTGGATAAGAGTGACATCACTGCACAAGTTTTAGGCTGCGAATTTTGACATCCTTGTAAAATTTCTTCCATTTTGTCTAGTTTCTTCAAAACACCTAGAAGAAATAGGTTTCTTCCCATCTTCCCAACAACATGCCAATCTTGGAAGAAATTATATCATGAAATTAATGAATACTATTGATTTTCACTGTTTTATGATCTGATAAATGGCAATCAAGATATGGTTTAAATAACAAATCAAGTTAATCTTTTTAATAACAGAGGTCTGTCCAGACATTTTGTGAAAGGTTCGTTTTTGGTAGAATTGTGAAAAAAATTACTCGTAATTTGTGAATAAAAAATAAGTCACATTCTTTCAACCAGGGTCCTGCTTTTGTGAATTTGTGCAAATAGAGTCCTGTCATTGCAAAAAACTTTTTCAAGGAGTTTTTAAATTGTAGAGATACAAGATAATGCTCAACACTGTAAAATTATAATTAAAAAAAATTAAATGTTAAACAGTAAACAGCAATTGCTGCTACTAAATTAGAGATGCAACATACAAATTTTTGGTATTTAGCCAATACTGCTGAACGCAGAATATTCATTTTGGACGAATAAAGGAAAAAGCGTCTGTCGAAGACAAAACTTAGTTCGTTCACATCTGTCTTTCTTCCCCCGCCCCCTGGGAAGGGTTTATTCAATTAACGAAACAATAATGAAGATAAAAAAATTTGTGAAGGGTCCGATTAAAAGATTTTGTGAAGGGTCCGTTTTAAAGAAAATATATTTTTTGAAGGGTCCGTTAACGGACCCAAATTTCTTCATAACAGACCCTTGAATAAGCAAAACACGATTTATGAAAGCAGTATGAAGAAATTTTCTTAGCAAATTTCCTTATCACTACAGATTACTGTAATAAACGAGAATGAAGTGTAATCTATTAAATGTACTCCATTGAAAATATGCATGAAGTTATTTATGTGAGGCAAAGTCATTTACATTCATGTTGCTTAAACACTAATAAAATATAACTATCAAAAAACACTATTATATAAGATAAAAGCATAAACATGAATTGTAAATGATCATTGATTTCATGTAGCGCTTTTGAAGTCAAAATTTTGAGATAAACAAACCTGCAAGAGTGTATCTGTCCATGTAATTTATGAGATTGATATAACAAAGAATAATAACCGCTATGTTAGCCTTTCTACTGCTAAAGTTGGATGATGATACAGTACTGTCAGTTCGTTCAACAGCATTTGAAAAAGCGGGAGCATTAACTGTTTCAACATTGTCATTTTCTGAAATAGCGATTGTTCCTGTAGAGGCGAAAGGGGCTTTAATTAGATGCCTATTTACAACAGTTTGGTCATTTATTAAATTTCTTTCTTCCATGATTAATTTTAGAAGTATAATTACGATATCATGACATTCCAGATGACACAGACATATTAAACAACTGATTTCAGATAAGAAAGTATACAAACAAATGCACACATTGAAATCAAAGTAGTAGTAAATGACGGAAAGTTTTCAACTTCTTTTTCTTCACTTTGAAAAATTAGGTAATTGCTTATGGTTCAGCGCTGCCGCTACATTCCGATTCACTCCTGGAAATCAAAATACATCACTAATTTCGATTTTTTTTTTTTTGTTCCTCTGGGGGGTACTGAATGGGAGATTGATAGTGCTCAGGTCAAATTTGGGGGTGGTGTGTGACACACTCACCCACAGAACACTAATTTTTTTTTACACAAATATTATTGGCGATCGAAATGGGCTGCAGGTGGCGTAGAGCAGAACTCTTTTCCTATGGCAACACTTCACATGCTTTCCCCATTAGCGTGTGGAAAGTCATAGAGGAAGGAAGTACGTTAGTTTCTCTCTTGATTTTCATATAGATTAAAATCTTTCAACTTGAAACACTGTATGAAACTGAAAACTGCATTAAACATAGTTCTAAAGAAAAGTATCATGGAAATTTTAAAAAATATTTTGATTAAATAAAAAGGAAAAATATTAAGAAAAGGGAAAATATCGTAGTACATTCCTATACAAATGAAAAGAGGAGGAGAGGGAAGGGAGAAGGGCTAAAGGCATGAAACCGGTCTCTCCCCAGATGGCGTATTCGAGTGTTGCGATTGCGAATCAAAAATCGCTAGAATATTTTAAGAAGTTTGGGGCATATATAAAAATAAATTAATTATATTTTTACTAGATATAAGATTAAAATAATAACGTGAATTTCTAAGAATGTCAGCAAAATATTTAAGTTTCAGCTCTGCCACCCAGAAGTTAATAATCATAAAACAAAGCTATTTCATAACTTTGTAAAAAAAATTTGATAATTATTCTGACCTATTTATGAAGAAGGCATCACAGTTAATCTAATTTATTAGGATTTAAACAAAAATTTAACTATTATTTATAGTATACATCATAATAAACAACAACTGTGAAGAGAAACAGAACTTACTCACCACCCACAAAAATCTAAACTTTTTTTCATACAAAGAATGACACAATTTAGCCAAAACTTAGTATACAGTTTATTATAACTCTATTGTACACGAAAATCGACCGTTAATACTTCAAAAATTTAAGGAAAATATAAAATTAGCTTATTTTTTACAAAATGACATCAAAATTCCATAGACTTACATTAGAGTGCTCGCCACCCAATCGATTGTAAACAAAGATCGTGACGTCACGCGCCCGTGCCCCATATGACCCATGTATGTTGTCTCCGGATCATCCTTAGGGATGTGTCCCAAACCGTCGCTAATAGCCCATTGTGCAGCTCTATTGCGAATAACCTTATTTCTAGAAAGTGTGTTAGTTATCAGAATTTTATATAGAGAGCGTTGAATTTTTTTTTTATACCAAGACAAATGTGGTATAGATTGTTTGATTGGACCAATGCCAATAGTTTAAAGGTAATATGTTTTATGCCTAAAAATTAGTTTTTGACTTCTACCTATTTAAGCTTCTTATAACGTTGCTAGGCTCTAACTATCTAAGAACTGTATTGTTACTTATATAGTTCTTTTTACAAAAAAAGAAAAAAAAATTGAAATAAAGTTCATCCATTTAGACATATAAACTTTATTCAAAACTGTTATACTCTATCGACTTTTCGTTTTCTTTCATTCATATCAGCATAATAAATAAACAAATTAAAAAACGAACAAACATGAGAAACAACATTTTTGTGTCGATAATAATATCACACACGTAAGTATAGGCATAAGTTTAAAATTTCATTTTTTTTTCATGTTTGGAGTGAGAACTGAAAATATTATTTTATTACAAAAAAATATTTTTTATATCTATTTTTCGATCCATGCGACAGTTCTTCCTCTTTTGTAGATTAACAATTAATTACAAAAATTATTTTCATTTTCTATTTGGGGTAAAAAGTATTATATTTTAATGAAATTCGAGTACGATGAGGGAGTGGAAGATATTTTCTATTTTTTAAAAATTCTTTACACCATTTTTACTAAACTCACAAAGAACTATTTCCATAATACTAAAATAGCTATTTTTAAAGAAAAAAAAATTGGTTAGCCGTTTATTTATCGCGTAAATATAGGCAATGCTGTACAATGTAATGAATCACAGTGAGTCGCAGTTTTATTACATTTTCTACACCCTTACTACTACCTACAATCTCGCAACAAAATTATATATTATGCTTAGGAGGTTCCGCCTCCATCTCATTCTGCTCACCAACCGCTGTAATTTTTTCTCATTCATCATAGTTTATTTCTTCATAAATATTTTCCACATAAACACTGAACATTTGAGCTGCAAAAAAATATACGATTATTGTAGCTTTATGTAAGAACATTTCGTTAATATATCATAGCGAACAATTCGAACGAACAATTCGTTAATAATCATAACGAAATAGACCATTACCTAGATTTAAAAAATAATCATCTTCACTTTAAAAAAAAATTAACCTAAGGATTACAGATTGTGAGACATAATAAGAAACAAATGTGACGTAATTTTATTCGTTGACGAGACTTACTTCTTCCTAATCACTTAGCTCACCTCTCGTTCATCATTGTTTATTTCCTTTTAAACGTGAATGTTTCCTACAAAAATCAAAATATACGATTACGAGGGTTGCTATTTATATTTCTGGCAACAGTAAGTGTTGCTAGGCGACCGCAGACGATTTTAATCGAAAGTTTGATATTTTTAAACATAAATTCAGCTGATGATTTACCATTATAGCTTCATTTGTGCTGTTGACAGAAAATTGAAAAGTTCTTCTCTTTCAAAAAATGGAATTGAATCGTGAACATTTTCGTGCCATTATTTTTTGTAACTTCGACGTGGATTGTCAAGACAAGAGTGCTTCGATGAACTTAATTCTTTATTCAGCGATAAAGCATACGAATTCCGGCTTGCACGAACCACAGTGCTGACGTAAAATATCCTCAGTGGTAGATGGATCATGGGTTAGAGTTACCTGGCCGCCAAGCTAACCATGAGAAGTTTTCGAGGTTTTCCTCTCCATATAATGCAAGCGCGGGTTAGTTGCATCAAAATGACCTCCATGAAGGCAAATTTCTCACAGTACTTAATCCGGGAATTCTCTTGTCTTCTGAATTGGGTTCAAAATGACAAGGTTACGGAGTTCAACATTAGTAGGAGAGAGTGGGGTCAATTGTAACATTTTTTACTTAACTATTTTTAACCAACTTTGTTAATTGACAGACGATCATCTGTCAATTAACTTTACTCGAGTAAAGTAGANTGGCGTTAGAGCAACGCAGGACGGTCAATTCTGAATGGTACACGGCCATTTGTTTGCCAGAAATCATTGGAGAAATTCGAAAGAAGTAGAAGAACAGGCGAATCATTCTTCATCATGACAATGCGAGCTCTCACACATCGACTCGAACAAAGGCATTTCTGACGGAGCGAAAGATCGAACTGATGATTCATCCGCCGTACAGCCCTGATTTGGCACCCAATGACTTATTCTTATTCCCACACATCAAAAATAAATTACGTGGACAACGATTTTCGACCCCCGAAGAAGCGGTTGATGCATTCAAAACGCATATGTTTTGGAGTTACCTCAATCGGACTGGGAAAAGTGCTTTGAAAATGGGTTCAAACGCATGCAAAAGTGTATTGATCATCATGGATTAATATTTTGAAAAACAATAAAACCAATTTCGAGGCTACATATTTGTTTTTTCATTATTAGGCCAGAAATATAAATAGCAACCCTCGTATTATAGCTTTATGTAAGAATATTTTTATAATGTGTTAATTGTAACGAAATCGGCAATTACCTAGATTTAAAAAATAATCATCTACACTTTAAAAAAGAATTAACCTAAGGATTACAGATTGTGAGACTGAATAAGAAACAAATGCGACGTAATTTTATTCGTTGACGAGACTTACTTCTTCCTAATCACTTAGCTCACCTCTCGTTCATCATTGTTTATTTCCTTTTAAGCGTGAATGTTTCCTACAAAAATCAAAATATACGATTATTATTGCTTTATGTAAGAATATTTTAATAATGTGTTAATCGTAACGAAATAGACAATTACCTAGTTTTGAAAATTAATGATCTGTATTGGGATACAGGCAAGTGATGTAGTGTGGGTATCTCGATCCTGATTGGTCGTTTAAACGTAACATTTGTTTACGTTAGTAACTGTTCTTTTCCATTCTGTTTCGAGGAAGCCAAGCCAGGCAAATATCTACTCCCTTCTACTCATTCTATATTCTTACACGAATATTTTTTTCACAAGGATTTAAATTCTTTCACTATATATTTCCTACTTAAGGCATGAAACCATGTAGAACATAAACAAACTAATTATGCATCAAAGTTGCCAGGTACACAAAGCAAAAATATTTGACGGTTACAATAAAAAACATACACAAATAATAAATCTAAGTTAAATAAAACGTCGCCAATAGCCCATTGTGCAGCTCTAGAGCGACGTAAATTAACAACAACAACAACAAACTTAAATAAAAGACGTAGATGAGAAAGAATTATGTTTCTACAAATTCGATGTGCGATACGGCGCTGTATTTAAATAACTTCACGTTAATTAACATTCTAACTTATGAGGAGACATTTATCTCAACTTTAACACTCCATTTTGTTTATAAACAATCAGCTGGCGCTGACGTCCTAGGTCACATGCGTGGGTTTCCGTGATCTTCTTCTTGAAATACAAGCATCCAATTGAAAGAAATAATTTTACTCGTTGAAGAGGTAGGGAACGGTATTTATCAAGTTTTATTTTAAATATCTCACTATAAGTTTTTAGTTTTACATCTGGCAACAAAAACTTTCTCACTCTTTTGCCACTGTTGATTGACATCTACTCAAGCATGAACTTTTAAAATAAATAAATAAAGATCTTTTAAGCGAAAAAAAATTTATGTAACGATGGATAGATAGTCAGTACTTAGAGCAAAGAAATATTGAAGCAAAAAAATATAGAGCAAAAAAAAAAAAAAAAAAAAAAAAAAAAAAAAAAAAAAAAAAAAAAAAAAACAATCGCGAAAAAACATTTAAGTTCGTAACATCTTTCGAACAAACTCTCCTCAAAATTATAATATAGAATGGTCCTATTAGCATTCAAACTTAAATTCTGCAGTTTCATCTCAGGAGACAGTAAATCAATGAATATGTTCATTATTATTTTTTTCATTTTTAAATACAAATTTAACCAGTTAATATTTCTCGAACTAATTATCAAATCTGAAATTCCATCGCACTCTCTATATAGTATATATTTTTACACAACTTCGTAATTTCCAGTTTTTAAGTCTTATAGATTTTGAGACGTCACTTCACTTCTCTCACCTCCGAATGAAGTGACTCAGGTTCGAATCCCAGCAATGGCTTTTTGATGCGAACTCCGCACCCGGCTCGCATTAACCCCAGCGCTGAGGATAAATATCATGGGTTTAGAGTCTCATTGCCATCAGGGTAACCGTGGTAGATTTTCGTGGTTTTCTTCTCCATGTAACGCAAATGCGGGTTAGTTCCATCAAAAAGTCCTCCACGGAGGCAAATTTCTCCCTTTACTTGATCCAGGAGTTTCTTTGTCTTCAGAATTAAGTTCAAAATTATAAGCGCTACGGAGTTGAACATGAATAGCCATGAACTAAAAATTGGGTCAGCTGTTCAACGACGGTTATAAAATAAAAATACAAAACCATTTTCAAAAATATTTATTGTTATTATTATGTTATTATTACATAATCAATGTTTAAAACGAAAAGTGAAGAAAAAAGAAGAAAAGAAATCGTGCAAACGTACATTTAGTACTTCGAATTTCAATTTTGTGCTTGCAATTCTATGGGCTGCAGAGTTGCACATTTGGTATTTTTTACTATGAGATTAACAGTTAACAATTTTCGTACTAATAACCTAATACTATTAAATTTTTTTATTTCCGTGTACTTTTTGTATATTTTGCTGTTCTCTCTCATATTTTCAAAATTTTGAGCCTTATAGTTTTTGTCCAGAAAAACGAAATGCAACTTAAAGTTGAGTTCTAAAAATAGAGATGGTGGCTCTTTGATTTTTTTTAAATCTGGCAAGGAAACATCATAGGAATTCATTTTAGATCCGAATACAGACTTTCAAACAGATAATTTGCTCATCGTAAAATTTCTGATACTGATAATTGGATTTATTGCAGAAAAATAATAAACTGCAAAAAAAAATTTTTTATACTAAAAGTTAAAACAATTTTCAACGTAATAAAAGAAAATAAATTTGATTTAATATTTGAAGTATTTGTTATGAGAGTGATAAGCCACCTTTTCCTACTATTTTACGTATTATTAAAAAGTGTTGGCAGAAAAATCCTCTGCTATAACTTCTGGATAGAGATTGCAAAAAATATTTGCCTCTACAAACAGCAGTTTATATACACGCCGTATCTAAATGAAGTAGTTCCTATTTTATTTTTACAAGAATACGTAAATTTATTTATTACAATTATAATAACATAATATTTTGATTATAATTAAAAAAATAAATAAAAGATAAGATAATTGTGTTTGGATATAAGTAATTTCAGATTATAATAAAAACAAAATGCGATTTATTTATCATTTTGATTAACTCGTACCCTTATTATTAGCTTTATTTACAAGAAAGAAACTCAAGTCTGTAAATATAAGTAATGGAGGTTTCAATAATTTATAAGTTTCTCCCAATTTGTGCATAGTTAATTAATGATATAGCATTGAACATCGGAATGTCACAAAAGATAAAACTGGTTCCGCTGAATTCCTTTAAATAATACGGAAACTAAATAAACTTTAAAGGGAAGTTATTTTTAGAGCATTTGAGCTAAAAATAGATAACCTACAATGCAATTAGCGATTTAATATAACCTGCTACACTGTTTTTACACTATTGTTGTCACTCAAGATTATTTATTAGAACCTTGAAAGGTAGTTTGATTAATCTCCCTACAAATAATTGAAAAATAAACAGGTAAAAAAGTAATAAAACATCGAATACATTAAACATATGTTGTTTAAAAGAGTAAATATTCGAATAGTTCTTAAAGAAAAGGTATAAAATGTTGCAAATTTTTTTTCTCCTTTTATTTTATTGTTGAAAGCTTGACCGTTATTATCTTACCCTATTTCCGTGACACTTTGTTTGGATTCGTCTTTTTTTGAACTACCTGTTTGGAGTGCTTTCACTGATTTTAGATGAAGTCATGATTTCGAAAAGCAGAACTGATTTTGATGATATTTTAAAAGAAATCGGTGATTTTGGGAGTTACCAAAAGAAATTAGTGGCATTTTTTCTTATACCATTAGGTATTGTGATTCCTTGGATTACAATGAACATTTTATTCATGGTTTTTACACCAAATCATTGGTGCAGTATGACAGATAACAATTTCAATGATTCTCACCATCAGTCAATAGATTCAAGAAATGCATCCAACTGTTACATAAAATATTTAAATGATACCGAAGCATTGATGCCAGATGAAGTACTGAAAAGTACTCTAAACGTACCTTGCAAAACATGGCATTATGAAAACGTTTATTTTGAAGAAACTGCTTCAAGCAAAGTAAGATTTTTTTTCTCCAAAACTAATTAACTGTAGATAACTAAACTTAAATTAGTGTTATTCTCTAACTAATCAGACTCATAGACAATGACATTTATACCTATCTATTTTCCAAACAAAATATCATCATTATTATTATACTTAGGAAATATTACTTTTTACTTAGTATTATTATCTGGGACAAAAATTTACGCTTGTAATATTAGAACAGCAGTGAAGGAATATTTATATACTCATTACTAACTATAAGTGAGGTTAATATACACATCAATTTTGCCTTCTTCTGGTAAATACGAATTCCTCGACTCCTCAGTGCCTTTGATATTTTCTCATTTTCTTGAGATTTTTCAATGTTGTTTGAATTCTTCCATAAATTGAGATATAACCTCTTAAAGAGATATACTTATACTGGAGATATGCGTTTTTCACCTATATATCAGATATGGATTTTAGCTTATAGCACCGTTTAATTCGGCATGCAATGTTGAGATATACCTGCTTCTGCGTAATTAAAAAATAAATTTAATTCATTGCAAAATTGGAAGGATATTATTGTAGACGAATGTTTAGTTATTTAGGGTTAATTTCGTAAGATAAAAACAATAGTTTTGTAAAATAATTGAGAATTGGAGATGATAATTTAACTTTAACAGGGACTATAATATATGGGAAAACTTTTTAATTTAACTTTTTAATTAATTTTAATTATGGTTAAGGATTAAAGGTTCTTATGGAGATATTTGCAAAGCAATTAATCAGTACTTTCTTCTTGTTCAGTGTGCAAAATAAAAAAACGGACCACCCTGTATAACTTTTGATCTAATGATTAGATCTTCATGTTTTTTAGGACGAAAGGGTGACCTCAAATATGTTAATTAATTAGTACAGACGATATTTTAAATTACGAAATCAGACTCCAAAACGTACCTTCATTGAATAAATATACAATTCTTACGATAGAATTGGATTTCTGACTATGAAAATATAGTGGTTTGGCGCAATCTGGTCTCATTAGTTTGGTCAGGAGAGCGATTAAAAGTTTAGACTCCATAATGTTAATTTTAGATATTGAGTATTTCGCCATACCTCGAGAACTCAGTGCTGACGTGAAATATCCTCAGTGGTAGACGGATCATGGGTTAGAGTTCCCTTGCCGTCAGGCTAACCGTGGAAGGTTCTCGTGGTCTTCCTTTCCATGTAACGCAAATGCGGGTTAGCTCCATCAAAAAAATCTTCCACGAGGGCAAATTTCTCCCAATACTCGATCCAGGAGTTTCCTTGTCTTTTGGATTGGGTTCAAAATTACAAGGCTATGGAGTTGAACATTAGCAGTCGTAAACTCATAAAATTGGGTCGGCTGTTCAACGACGGTTATGAAATAAAATATTTCGAGAACTGTTAGGGTGAATTGAAAAATTTTGCACTCAACTGTAAAATTCGCTTATCCACGGATAAGTCAATGCAAAATATAATTTTTATGAAATATTTATGAATTTTTATTATTTTATTTAATAATAGTCGAAAAAATTTTAAAGTCCAAATTTTTATTTCATTTTAAAAAATGCAATTTAAATGGCTAAATACAAAATTCAAACGAAATTGAATAAACAGCTCCTGAGAAATCGAATTTTGAAAAAGCCATATTTTTAAAATTCGATTTTCCAGGAACTGTACAATCAATTTCACTCAAACTTTATATTTTGCTATTTAAAATTGCATTCTTTGAAACAGATGTTAAATATTGTATTACTTATAATTAAAGAAGTTTTTTTTTTTTTTTTTTAAGTAGAATAATAAAAAATATTAATATTTACTAAAAGTTATAGCTTGTATGAAATAATTTTTCATGAATGAATTTTAAAATTGTGTTCATAAATTTTTTAATTCGATTAAAATGTTGATGAAATACGAAAAAACGGTACGAGATTAACTCTAAGGGGTCGAAGCTTTGAACCGCTCTCTTTATTCAACTGTTGGGATTATATTTCTTTGCCTGCGGCTTTCCCTTATACTTTAAAGGTCAAAATCCGAATCAATGAAAAAAAAAGGTATATTTATTCAGAGAAAGTATGTTTTCGCCTCTGATTTCGTAACATAAAATATCCTCTACACTAATTAATTAGCAAATGTGAGGTCGCGCTCTCAAGCCATTAAGATTGAGTCCTAGAATGTGAAAATCCGATTATTAGATCAAAAATTATAGGGTGGTCCGTTCATTTATCTTTGCTTTGAAGCAAAAAAAAAAAAAAAAAAAAAAAAAAAAAAAAAAAAAAAAAAAAAAAAAAAAAAAAAANAAAAAAAAAAAAAAAAAAAAAAAACATTTTGACACTTTGGAAAATTTGGTCGAATTTTTATTCTGTAAAGTCCATATTTTAAGAGATCTGAAAGAAATTTCTTAAAATATATATAGCAGTTAACTGAAACCGTGGTGGAATAAGCTTGTTTTACCCAAAGAAACGCACTTCTTTGAAACATGCCATCTTTTCTTCAAATTCTGATTTATTCCTCCCAAAATGGGCGGGGGGGGGGACAGAAAAGAAAAAGCTTTGAAAAACTTGATTTTATAGTTTAAATGCTTTAACGATTTCAAAAAATTGTTACTCTAATGTTACTTTAATGTGTCACGTTTGTCTTCGTATCTGTTGAATGATAGGTAAAAATACAATAATTTTTTTACGAAAAGTTAAGCACTTAACCCGAGGATAAATACGTAACATAATGGGGGAATTTAGGTGAATTAAATAATTTTATAAATTTGATAATGATGAAAAAAAAAAATTTAATCACGAGGAACAAAAATTTTTATATATCAAGAATTTTTTAAGAACGTTTTTTAAAAATTTTCGTTTTGCTTTAAAATGAATATAAAAAATTAATTATACAATAGAATAGTATTGAAATTATTCCCCATTTTGAGATTAAATCGCCAAATTTTATTTTATTTTATAACTGTCGTAGAACAGCCGACCCAATTTTGAGTTTACGGCTACCAATGTTCAACGCCGTTGCCTTGTAATTTTGAACCCAGTCTAGAAGACAAGAGAATTCCAGGATCAAGCATTGGGAGAAACTTCGCCTTAGTGGAGGACTTTTTCATGGAACTAATCCGCCTTTGCGTTATATGGAGAGGAAAACCACCCATGGTTAGTCTGACGGCAAAGGGGCTCTAACCCCATGATCCGTCTAACACTGAGGATAGATTTACGTCAGCACTGTAGTCGGTGTCAGCCGAGTGCGAAAATCGTATCCACCAGTCATCGCTGAGATTCGATCCCGTCACCTCAATGGGAGGTAAACGCTCTATCCCCTGAGCCTCCAAATCACCAAATTTTATAATCTTCGTTGAACAGCCGACCCAATTTAGAGTTTACGACAACTAATGTTCAACTCCATAGCCTTATAATTTCGAATTCAATCCAGAAGGCAAGGGAACTTCTGGATCAAATATTGGGAGAAATTTGCCTTCGTGGAGGAGTTTTTGATAGAACTAACCAGCATTTGAGTTACATGGAGAGGAAAACCACGAAACCGGAATTCGTATCGACCAGCTTAACTGGATGCGGAATTCGTTTTGACCAGTCATCGCTGGGATTCAAACCCGGTTCACCTCATTGGAATGCGAACGCTCTATCCCCTGAGCCATCATGGCTCAAATCGTCAAATTTTATAATTTTATAACCGTCGTTGAACAGCCGACCCAATTTTGGGTTTACGACTACTAATGTTCAACTCCGTAGCCTTTTAATTTTAAACCTATCCAGAAGACAAGGAAACTCCTGGATCAGTAAACCAAGAGATATGATTTGTTATGGGAGCATGGAGGATTTTGGGACTCGACAGATTTAACGTGCATCAGTCACCGTTTACTACACGGGGAGTCTTCGGCCGGCGGGGATCGAACCCACAAACTCTTGGACATGGGCCCAATGCCCTACCAACTATGCTGTAGTACTTCACATTATACTATTAGTTGATATATAAATGAAAAAGTTTATTCTTTCATTAATCATTTATGCCAAAACTAAGAAGCGTTCATATTTTTAAGAATCTTGTTGATTGAAAACTGGTAGGTAGTCATGTTTTTTAATTTATTATTTTTCCCTTTCTTTAAATCATAGATTTTAGTTTTCGAATATATTTCTAACTGTATATCTACCCACTTTCACTCTTTCCAAGAATGGATTTTTCAAGTGGTTGCAAAACGTTTACCGAAAAACAATCTAAATTAAAAGTATATTTTTGTCTTAGTTTTTAACTGGGCTGGAATTCGCTACCGTGAAAGACATAGGCTGAAGTTGAGTACAGAATACTTGTCCGCGAAGCGAGCCCGTGGTCAGCTTAGATAAAGGCAGTATTAATGGTCAGCATGTGAAAAATATAGAAGGACTTCTAGCTATATTAGGAGTCAAAGTATTGATGAGATAAATTTGAGAGAGATTATTCTTGGCATTTAATTCATCATCACTTATGGCCTTTTTCCATTGGCAAATTAGTTACTCAATAATGCTTTTATATATTTGTTGTAATCATTCATATATAGTGGTGGTCAAACTCATTTTTAATTGCTATTATAGATAATTCAAAAAATTTTGCAGAATAATTTGAGTTTCGCCACCACTTTAAATATGAAATAAAATCATGTTGGAAGAAACCATAAAAGTTGACAACTATGCTACCGATCAAGTTTGTATATACTCCAAATCATGTTTATATTCCTGTAAGTGTTACCACAATGTCACAAAAACAAAATGTTTTATTCACTGCATAATTTTCATGATGAATGGGGTAAAGCCGCTGCGCGGCCTAGGTACCCAATTTTTTTTAATAAAAGAAAAAAGACAACTATGCTAAAATTTTCCTTAGTAATCTAGCAATAGATTTATGTAAATATTTTTTCCTCTCTATAGTGTCATTACTATTATATCAGACAGGTTCTGATTCACGAACGTAGATAAGGTAATATTTCAAAAGATGGAGCTATTTAAATTTTTACTACAATAAAGTTCTAATCAATTCGTAATCAGCTGTTTTGATATTTTGAATTAAATACCAATAAAATATAAAAGAAAACCATGTATAAATTTTAAATGTTTATTACGTGTGTAATTAATTAATGCCTTACAATTTAAATTGCCTCACTTAGGGAGAGGATAATGGGATGTTTAAACTTTCGTAGATAGAAATAAATCATGAAATATAATTAAATGAAATAGATCATTGGTACCACGTCCAAAAGGTCGTGAGTTCGATGGCCGCCTGCAGAAGACTACCCGTGCAGTAAATGGTGACTGATGCACGTTAAATCTGTCGGGTCACAAAGTCCTCCGTGTTCCTATAACAAATCAATACCTCTGGGCGTATTGAATTTGAAATTGATCCCCTATAAACGGGTCCGCCCCATAAACGGACTAAAACGTGTGTGTGTATCTGAAGTCATGTTCTTGGCCACTGAAAAACATGATACGCATTTTCTGCCTTATATACGCTTGGTTTCACCAAGCAGGCATGTTGGATTGGCAAGTGACATTGATAACAACAACAACAAATAAATGAAATAAAGATAAATATTGGAAAGGCACCCATAAAAAAATAAATTATCATTATTAAACATATTTTGTGAAAAATGAGAGAAGTTAGTATTGGCGATCTTTTTTTATTCGAATTATGTAACTTAAAATAACAATGAAATAAGTTTCATTTTTTTCTCTTTTTTTCAATGCATACCTGATTGACACTCGTCGTTTAGGTATTAGTAGGGCAGATTATTTGGCTACTATTTCAGGGGCAGCATATATTAGGTGGGCCAACTTTGCTCCCTTAGTAAAGACAGATAGTACAAGAGAATAAATCAACATCCATGCCTTGTTCGGGATTCGAGCGCAGGACATTCCTGATGTAAGATATGGTCTCAATCACTACACAGTCCGGGCATCAAATTCCGATTGTTTTTCACACATTAGCGCACGATATTCAATATTGAAGTCCCTTAAAAAAATCTCCCATTATAAAAGTAATTGTGTATATACGAGTACATTTAAGCTAGGTGAATATTGACTTCTTTAAATTAAAAAAGAAAAATGTGCGCATAGTTCCTTACATGTAAAAATTTTTTTGTACAAACTATTTTATGATGAATACAAATGATTTGTTAACCAAGACAAATTTCAATAATGAAATAATGTTAATGTCACTAACTACCTTTTTAAATAAAAATACCACCTGTTCTGAAAGGATGACTAGGCAACAACGAGTCAGTAAAAATCTGGAAAAAGAACTTTCCTTCAACAATAAATGCAAAAGCCCTATTTCTTTTTTGCATTGATGGATCATTTCATTTATTGATAACCATTGAAAGTGATAGATGAAAGGAATGATGATATGTGTGTAGATCATGTAATTCTTTATTATATACCACTTATTCCTTAAAAAGTAATAAAGACATATTTACAGTTCCGAATTCAAATCTAAATATTAATTATCTATCTTGGTAATAGAATTAAATTGATAATTTGGAGCTTTTCATTTTATATTAAAAAAGCATATCATGAAATAAATAAACTATCAGTTTTTGTGTTTTTTAATCATTTAAAATTTGTGGGATGGGGGAGCAATGATTAATTCTTGTCTTTGAAAGTGTATTTCTTCCAAGACGAAAAAAAAATAATAATCAAGTTTTGTTTTTAAATTCGGGTGAATTTAAAAGAAAATAATTATTTCGAGAATAGAATGTTATGTTAACACGCTGCTTGCGGGCAACTTTTCCTTTGACTTGATATGTTGTTTTGCGAAGTACCTGCCGGCGAAGAGGTCATGTGACTTCTTCATCTGTCTATATTACCCTTGGGTGACTAAAACTTTTGGCATTAGGCAACTTTTGTTTGCTTGCTTGCGTTATTTAGAAAAACTGGGCACCTGGGCCGCCATCATGAAAATAAAAACATTGAGTTTAACAACATTGGGGCAGCTATAAATAGGCAACTTTTCCAAAAAATGTATTACCGGTGTTGGAGATTAAAATTTTAAACAAGTGGTAGGGAAGATTTCATAAAAGTTGGAGTAAAGTCGTCTCTATAGCAACAACCTTAATAAAAAATTTAAAAAAATTACGACGAGCGATTGTAGTACTGAGTGCATATTTACTGAATCAATATATGTTCGTGATATTTAAGAATGGATAATTTCTTCGAAAAACAGAGGATAATTGAAAGAGTTTTGCTACCACTTTTTAAATTTTCGTATGGATTACACAAATTTCTAAAACGTTGTTTTACGTAACCCTTTTGCAATGCGTTTAGGCAAAATCCACTTGAACAGAAACAGTCAGAAAAAAAAGTAATGAAATACTTTATTTTCTTAATTTTTATTTAAGGAAGGAAAAACATGCTACCACTTTTATTTATTTCATGAATCTGTGCACAAATTTACTTCATAATGCGGATTTATTAGTTTACGCAATGAATAACTTGAAAAAAATCTTCTCCTTTTGATTTATATCTTAACTCGTTCACGCCGGGTGTTGTGCCTGAAAGCGGGACGGAAAAGAGAAAATACTGGTAGAAGAACTATTTCAATATTAGATAATATTCGGGAGGAGTTAATCTATTCTCAACAATAGCAATTCACTGTAAGGAAATTTATCACGGCGAAGAAGCAACTCTATATAACAATTGCATCCGTTAAAAACAATTGGTAGTTATGGATTTTTATTATTCCCGGAAAAAAACTAAAAAATGAAATTTATTTGTTACTAGTTTTTACTCCGGTGCCCCGCCCGATGAGACAATCTAGCGTCACCCACAGGTGGGTCACCCCGGCTTGAACGTGTTAATGTAGGGGTCACGTTTTACTTCTCTAAACGTAAAGATAATTTACGCAAGAAATTATTTAAAGGCAGCCCGATTCCCGAGTGATATTTTACATAAATCTGTTCCTACCTATGCCAAAAATTGGAGACATCCCATTTTTATGTTAAATGTTCATTTATCTTTACTAGTCCCCTAATTGTCAGAATTTAATGAAATTTGGTTTCGTGGGCTATTTTAGCATGCTAAATCGAATGCAATAAAAAAATGATAAAAAAAAGTGCGTTTTTTCGTCAAAATAAGCATAAATTAAGGTTACAGTTTATTGTTATAAATAATATTATTTAAGAGATTTCTTTCAGATATTGCCGTAAAACTTCACAAAATGAAAATCTGAGCAACCGTTTAAAAGTTATAAGCGCCGTGATCCGTTTTTATTATTTTTATTCATTTAGTTTTTGGCAACTGTGCATATTAGTAATAACTTTCTTCTCTCATGTGTTTGTTTTAGTGGAACATGGTTTGTGATAGAGCTTATTTGGCTAGTTTGGTGTTGACGCTATCTTATGCAGGAAGTACAATAGGAACACCCATCTATGGCACTTTATCTGATAAGTATGATTACATTTATGTATAAGGATAAAAGTACCCAACCAGTGAATAATCAGAAGGTGACCCTTTGCATTTAAACCAAAAAATAGCTAAAAACTAGCTTTTAAATAATTCATATTGGATAAGTATCTTTACGTAGTAAAGGAAAGGCTTATCCTTTAATATTTCAGTTTTTTTAATGCTAGAATAAATGCAAATGTAATTCCAAAGGATTTATAATAAAGAGCAGTATGATTCTAAGCAATAATAAAAACAATTCACTCTTCTTTAAACAAAATTCAAAGTTCCTATATTTTAAGTTTATTGAAAAAGATAAAGATTTTAAAATTTCAAATTTTAATTAATTCGAAAATTAATTATTATTAATTCGAAAATTAGTTATTAAATACTCGCTTCGCTCACCAGGTCCAATGATTTGAGTATCGAACCATTAACTGATTTCACATCGAAATTATTAAAAAAAAAAAATTCAATTAAAAGACTTATTTTATTGTCTTGACATAGATTTGGTTTTACATATTAAGTTTCCAATTCTATTCAGATCAAATTTAAACCTTAGCATTTTATTCGGCTACCATTGCACTTCATTTACAATTTTAGTTTTATAATTCTTATTTAACTTTCGTCTCTTATAAAAATTTGTTACTGTTTCGTCGTTTAGCATTTTTGAGAAAGAAGCGCCAACAAATATCAAGAAAAGGCTGTGCTCTACCATTAAAGTTATTACTTATTTTATTTTATAACCGTCGTTGAACAGCCGACCCAATTTTGGGTATACAACTGCTTATGTTCAACTCCGTAGCCTTGTAATTTTGAATCCAATACGAAAGACAAGGTAACTCCTGGATCAAGTATTGGGAGAAATTTGCCTTCGGGGAGGACTTTTTGTTGGAACTAACCTGGGTTCGCGAAACATTAAGAGGAAAACACGAAAATCTCTCAGGGTTAGCCTGATGACAAGGGGACTCTAACCAGCACCTCCTACATCAAGAAGCCTCCACTAGGTCCTTTATAAGTAGTCCGCGCAGATTGTCTAAAAAGTGAACCAGTTGTGCGCATGAACCCAAAACCTTTTATAAAAGTAATTGAAAGAAATTCAACATATATATTTGAGAATTGAATCTGTAGTGGTTGACAAGTGAATAAGGCAAACCAATAATATTCAGAAATAAAATAAATTTTTAGTCATATATTTGCTACCACTTTCTTATTTTAACTAGATTTTGCATTAAGTGACTCGTTCGGAAAGTGGAAATCCTTCACAGTGGTCTAATCGGACTACCTATAAAAAACCGTGTGGAGGCTTTCAGTTATAGGAGGCGTTGCTCTAACCAATGATCCGTCTATCGCTGTGTATATTTTTACGTCAGCATTGTGGTTGGTGCAAGCAGGGTGCGGAATTCGTACCGACGAGCCATCGCTAGGATTTGAACCCGGATCACATCATTGGAAGGCGAACGCTCTATTCCTTGAGCCACCACAACTCTAAGTTATTACTTATTAAGATATTTTAATTTGTGACACAGGGGAACAAATTTTTTTGCTTGTTTTGTTTTTTCTGTTGCATGCGATATTTTAACAGATCTTGGACACCTTCGCATTGCTGATTTAATTCTGGAGTCGGTTTCTCTATGTAAGCTACTTTTTTTTTTTGCAATTCAATATTATAGTGCAGACGAATATTTTTTAACATTTACTCGAGTGATTAATAACTGTCTCTACTTCTTTGGCACGTAGGACATTGTAGGAAGAAAGCTATAATATAAAACATTTAAGTTTAGGATCCGATATGTTAAGGTCATTTTTTTTAAACTTAAGTGTTATTTTCAAAGGAGCAGACAAGTGTATATGTATGTATAGACTATATGTGTGTTTTTGAATATGCTGGAGTTACCCAGTAAGGATTTTCCGCAGCATATTTCAAAATTGCTTCTCTGGGATCTAATATGTCATCTATCTTTTTCTTTAAACCAAGATTTCTTACAATAAATGAAGATAATGTGTTTCCCGCTGGCGCAATACGCCCACCTTGGCCAGGACCAGTCACCGGAAGATCAGGTCTCTGGTCTATCTGTCTCTGATCTATGCTCTTTATAAATTTGTACTTTCAGACAAAAATTAAACGAAATTTAAAAATGCCATTTTACAAAATTCATAGCTTTCGGAACAAAACTAATTTTAGATCTGAAATCCTCTAACTCGAATTAAGTAAGATCAAATACTTGTATAAATGCAACAAAAAAAATTGTTCCCCAGTATAATTTAAAAGTCCAAATGCTTTTTATAAAAAATAGGAATTTCGTTTACGTAGTTTAGTCATAGATGAAAGCGAGACCGAAAAGAGGAAACCATTTCTGTTTAACTAGTTCTCGGGAGGAGTAAATTTATTCTCTTTTTTAAACTATTTAACAATATCACGTTTCGTGAAGAAAAAAAGCAGTTTTATATATATGTTATAATTGTAAAAAAAATCTCGGTAGTTACAGACAATTAGTTTTTCTCGAAAAAAATTCTTGATTGAAATGTCTTTACCAGTTTTTGCTCTTTTCCGTTTTGGTATACACCGACTTTCAGCCCTGAGTTTAATAGGAAGAAGAAAAAAAAAAAAGATATCTGATTCATTTAATTTTCCCAGAAACTTCGTTAGCGTTAAAAATCAAGAACATAGTATAAATTTATTCAATTATTCATATCAATTATTCCTTTGCAAAGCCAACTATGCCAAGGAGAGACTTAATTATTGGTGTTCGTTCCTTTACATTGACCAGTCCTTATAATTAAGTTATCGCGGATTGTTAGAATGAAACTGATAAATTATATTTAAATAAATTTATTAGTCATCGTAAGGTTTAAAAATTGTAACAAATTAAAATATTTTAAGAAATTATCTAATTTTTATTTTTAAATTTTCTATTAACTGTAAAAACAAAGTTAATTGCAAAATCCACAGAAACATTAATATACGATTGCTCCATCTTCTTGTTTTGTTTTGACACTGTAATTTAACTGCAATTGATAACTTTGTTATACATAGCTGACAAGTTGTACAGCTCTTGAGAACTAATAAACATTAGCGTTTTGGCTTATTAAGTCTTGAAGTTAAAAGTTCGAAACAAAATTTTTTTTAAGCAACCACGACGAGTCAATAATTTAAAATAAAATATGCAGATAAAATCTATTTGTTGGCTAAATATGCTTATAGATGTCTTAATAGTTTTGTTTTTAGAAAGTTCTTCCAAAATCAAGTGTCATTTTACTATCACTTTGTGAAATCTTTTTCAGTGACAGTACAAGTTTGCAGGTATTGTTTATAGGTATAGCATACAATTGCAGTCTATTGTGCTCAATTATGACCTATAAATCTTTGCCATGTAGAAGGACAGATAGCAAAATATAGAGAAGGACAGCACGGAAATAAATCCAAGTTAACACGTTGAATTCCATGGGGGTCACCGGTGACCGGCACTGAGTTTGTTAGCAGCTCCACTAGGGTCACCGGTGAACGGTAAAGCCAAGATTATTAGAAACACACAATTCGAGTAAATTTTTAATCGTTACTGAAATTGTTTGAAGATATTGATGCAATATGGAACACACAGAAATAGTTTTATTTATATACACAGAGATGCTCCGGACAGCGAATAAATATTTTTAAGTGGTAGTTTATTAATTGTGATTCTTGATTTAATAAATTCAATTTAGTAGATTTTTATCCACCACTATTTCTAAATAATTCGTAGGCTTAGAGAATTCACCACTTTTTTTCTGATATGTTATGCAAACCTCTCATACACTAGCAAAATCAGTCTAATATTTGCATATTTATTTTGTTGTTATTTACCGTGTGGCCAGACGGGCAAGCCACGTGTTACTTTACGCTCCGCACAGAATTTGGCCGGAGAAACAGCTTGGTTAAGGAGGACCCGCAATTGATAAGAAAAAGTTGTTTAAATGAGTAGTGTTCATTAGTTACAAACTCAGTTTTCTAATGTAGTTAAACCATCAAGCTGCTATCATTATTATTTATTTTATCTTATGAAGTGTGTTCTACAAGTGAAATATTTTTATATCAGCAACAATAATAATAATATGGAAGTACCAAGTTCTTAAAATAACTAGATACTTTTAAGCACGAAGTACAAAATATCAGATACATTAATACAAACACAGGATGCAACGGGTGGCTAAAAGTGTAAGAAGTGGTAGAAACTTAATTCATTTAATCTTATTATTCAATCGAAACAACTACCATGAATTACATTGGAAATTATTTTTATTTAATGAACTTTCGAAAACAAAACGAAAACATTCTTGGCAATTACTTTTATTAATAAACTGAAAGAAATATGTCAGGAAAATTTGCTAATTTTAATAGCTTTTCACCCTTTTGCGCCGACTGTCACAAATACGTGCCAGCGTAAAACCTTATCAACCAGGGTAAAAAGATAAAACTGGTAATCAAAGTAATTCTTTAGCAGTTTATTTGTGGGAGGAGTTATAAATGTTTGATTTATTTAATTCACCATTTCTTTGTTCAAAATAAAACTATTTAGTTATACTTTGAATTAACATTGATTATATATATGATTAAACTAACAATAATTAAAGTAAAAGCAAAGTAAGTCTGTCAAAATAGAAACGACTACATTTAAGTTACCGTTTATTTTATTTAATTACGTCCTGATCCTAATTTTGTACGAATGCTTTTCTGAATCATCCGTCCCCAAGGGGTTAATAGATGTTTGCTCTGTATTTGTCACCACATGGTTTTTGTTACCTGCGGCAGTTCAGCACCTTTCATCTCTAATATACTCTGGTGATCTGCGATTTTAAAAGTAAAGTGGTAACTGAAACGTAAAGTTTAACAGGGGATTGATGTTTTGAAGCATAGCTGCTAACTTTTACTCATTTTGCGAAAGAATTTAATTATATATTTTAAGTGGTAATAAAATTTATGATTTCCATTAATTTCTTACATTTATAAATTTAATTAAATTTTTTTTTTGACTAGCACCGCATACAAATAAAATTAAGCCTAGATATAAATGTAAGATCAATCCCTGTGGTAAAGACACGCACTCTTGTACCAAAGCACCCTGGGGTACATCAATCGTCATGGGAGCTGCTTTTTAAGCTTGCTGCAATTAAGCGTGCAATCAATTGTTTAGTCTTTGCGCACTATTAATATATTTATTTCTTATTTCAGAATTGGTCGGAGGCCAGTATTTTTCTTACTCGTAATTCTGTCGACTATTACGGGCGTCGCATCAGTTTTTGTACCTGATTTAACCACCTTTATTGTTTTAAGAGCCATCAATGGGAGTTTAATGCCCAGCATTTATCAGCTACCATACATCATAGGTGAGTAGATTTTACGTATTTCAGAGTAAAAATTGAGGTATATTCCACTAATATTAGCAAATAAATAAAATAAAATGCAATGAATAAATAAATAAAAAATTAATAAAAGAATGACTTTTGAAAAATTTAACATCCAAGATATTTTTTGGAAAAAGTTTTTTTATGTTATTATAAAGGATACCAGAGAAGTCCCTTAATCTCCTCTGTACGGTTCCCCCTTTTATGAGAGAAAAGGGGGTGAATTGTGGAGGAGAATTGAGTTTCTCCCTGAATTAAATTATACCTGATAACTCCCCAATCTCCTGTATGCTTCCTTCTTTTATGAGAAAAAGGGGAGTGATTTGAGGAAGATAATAGAATTTCTCCCAGAATTAAATGATACCCATACCTGCCAACTCTTCCGGAAGATTTTATTTTCATATTTAAAGTGGTAGTAAATATATACTACTTTTTCTTTTATAATTTTAATTTTTAAATGATTTTGATCACCACTATTATTACACAAAATTAAGCACATATATCAATATGCGTTACTATCATGGTTGTCAACTTAAGTTTTCTCAAATACAACGTATTTGTTTGCTTAAAATTGAAGTTTTAATTCCATTTTAATACCACTGGGAAGAATGATAATGGAAGGGATTAAAAGTTGGCAGGTATGCCACTGGGAAAAATTATAATGGAAAGGACTGAAAGTTGGCAGGTATGGATACCTGATAACTCATCACCTCCTACATCAAGAAGCCTCCACACGGTCTTTTATAAGTAGTCCGCGCAGACTGTTTAAAAAGTGAACCAGTTGTGCGCATGAACCCAAAACTTTTTATGAAAGCATACCTGCCAACTTTTAATCCCTTCCATTATCATTTTTCCCAGTGGTATTAAAATGGAATTAAAACTTCAATTTTAAGCAAACAAATACGTTGTATATGAGCAAGCTTTGACAACCATGATAGTAACGCATATTAATATATGTGCTTAATTTTTGTAAGAATAGTGGTGATCAATATAATTTAAAAATTAAGATTATAAAAGAAAAAAATAGTATATAATTACTACCACTTTAAATATGAAAATAAAATCTTCCGGAAAATCCGAAAGAGTTGGCAGGTATGTGAAAGTCTAGTCCTAGTGTTTAGATTTTACTGGGCACCTGGGCCGCGAAGGAATTTTTGAACATCAATTTTATTTGGAATTTTTGAACAGTTTTGGTTGAGCAATGAGGTAAGCAGGCAATGGAGTTGCTTAATCGCTCATCAATTTAAAAAAAAAAACTGACTGAACATGAAGAGTTTACAAGACAGAATCCTTTGCAATATTATCGGTATGTGAAAGTATATGTGAGAAATTTATCTTATATATTTGAGAATTGAATTTGTAGTGGTTAACAAGTGAATAAGGCAAACCAATAATATTCATAAATAAAATAAATATTTAGTCATATATTTGCTACCACTTTCTTATTTTAACTAGATTCTGTATTAAATGACTCGTTCAGTATGTGGATGCCCTTCATAGTGGTCTGATCGGACTACCTATAAAAAAACCGTGTGGAGGCTTTCAGTTATAGGAGGCGTTGGATAACTCCCCAACTCTCCTGTACGCTTCCTTCTTTTATGAGAGAAAGGGGTGTGATTTGAGAAAGAGAATTGAATTTCTCCCAGACTTCAAATATATGTACCTGAAAACTCCCAACTCTTCTGTACGCTTCCCTCTATTTTAAGAGGAAGATAATTGAATTTCTCCCTGAATTAAATGATACCTGATAATTCACCAACACTCATTTGTGCACTTATACTGTCAATAAAGTGTCTCTACCGCAAACAGTTTCTCACTTGACAGTTGCGAAGAAATTCAATTCTAACCCTCAAATGACCTCAATAAAAGGGTAAAGCGTATAGAGGAGAGTTTTCAGAAATCATTTATAATAACATTACAAAGCTTTCTAGGAAAGAAACCTTGGGAATTAATTTTTCCGAAGAAAAAACTCTTAATTTTACTGGACTAGTAAGAGAAAATCTTATTTTATCGTAATGTTCGACTTCATGTTTTAATTTTATTTAATAATGAAGTTATTTTAATTAATTTTTTTTTATTTACTTCAATAATTATTAAAATGAGACTATTGAAGCAATTAAATATTTATTTACGTCAATAGAATCATTTTCACCCTCTCGAAACTCAGATCGATAAAAAAAAGAAGAGTAAGATAATAATTTTTTTTTAGTTTTAATACTAGCAATTTTGAGAATATTTTATAGTATTTCAATAATTATAATTGGATGCTATTTTAAATATAGTGGTATTGAAAATTAAGAGATGCTTTTAATTTTCTCTATCATAATAAGTTAGAAAGCTTCACACAAGATCTTTCGAATCATGTCAACAATTTTGTCATAGAAAATCTTCCATAACATTTACTGCTAAAAAAAAGATTATTTACATTGACAAAAATAAGGAAACATATCCATATTTTTGTCCAACTCCTGCATATAAAATGTATTAATAAGGTAAAATAAAAGAAAGTATGATACTATTTATGGATAGTCCCTAAACTTAAATATGGTATTTATTTTTACCTAATAATTTTTCTACTCATGTTTTGCAACTTTTACCGGAAGAAAGATGTGGCATTTTTAATGCGCTTAAATCTTTATCTTTTTACGAAATTGTATCACTTCCTTGTTCCGAATATTGATTGACTTTTTACGAAATCTCAAGTCAATCAATAATAAATCAAGGATAACTAGTTTCCGATAGATACGATGAATAAAGAAGAAATGATGAAAATTTAACCCGCAAGGAATTAAATCATAATTGAAATATGATTCAACCTTAGCAGAATTAAGAGAGAACAACAGTGTGATGGAATGGAAAGGTTAACTTAAAACCATCCAACAATTAAGTTTGTTGTGAAATATTTTATCCAGGGATAGAGAACAAAAGGGGAATTTCTTTTTAAAAACTTTAGTTTCATGAGGCTGTTGATTTAACTCATTTTCTCGCAAATTTTTACATAATTGGAAAAGTGATTAAGAAAGGGTGGTAGTACCGTGCGTAAAATAAAAAGGAATAATTCTGAATTAATTTTATTCTAGTGATCGGATTTTCACAAATACTGGGTTGTCAGAGGCGGCTAAAAATTCGATAAGTAATGATTAATTATATCATATTAATAGATACCAAAATTATTAACTTTTATTAACATATTTTTTTAGTTTACAGTTGTAAGCATACCCTCCAACTTATGAAGATTTTGAAAATAATTCTTTCTAGTGGTAGCGAACCAAAGTAGAAATTTTTAAAGCAAATGGATCTCTCATAAAACTTTTATCAGAACCTAAGAATCTAGCCATATGGCCTGCACTTTTATAAGTAATAGTGGACAAGTTACGCTAAAATTAATTTTTTTTAAATATTAAGACATTAATTTTGCTACCGTCTGAAAAGAAGATTTCTGAAACTACGGAAATTCCGTAGCAGTTGGAGGGTATGGTTGTAAGCATAAGCTGGGAACTGAACTGAACTGTATTAAATATCAGGACTATTCATGTGGTTAGATGATCGTTGAGTTTTGACTTTGTAGTTATATGGCATAAGCGAAATCTGGCCTGGAATGTATAACCAACGCCTCCGATAACTGAAAGCCGCCACATAGTTTTTTATAAGTAGTCCGATCAGACCACTATGAGTGTAAACAAGTTTACAAAAGAGCAGTTTAATAGAAAATCTATTAAAAATTAGTAAGTGGTAGCAAATATATGACTAAAAATTTGTTAAATTTATGAATATGATTGGTTTGTCTTATTTACATCTCAACCATTACAGATTCAATTCTCAAGTATATGTCATACATTTCCGTCAAGTACTTTTAAAATGGAATTTGGGTTTATGCCCACAACTGGTTCGTTTTTTAAATTATCTGTGCAGACTACAAATAAAATCCCGTGAGGAGGCGATGGTATAACTGGGGGTCTAAAATTGACCCTTTTTCCATTCATGAATATCTCTAAAAAGCTGGCTACATAGCAGGAACACAAATGGCAAAACAGAGATTTAAAAAAGAGAATGGCACATTTCATTGGCAGTTACTAAATTAAAACATGAAAGTACAAATAGAATTATGCAGAATTACAAATAGAAAAACAAGTAGAAATTATTTACAAAAATATTAAAAATCCAGAAAGTAAATTGATCATAAATACAAGTAAAATAAAATCAAAAATATTTGCAAAATAATAAAATTACAAATGAGATAATCAATATAATAGGTTCTGATAAAAGGTTAGTTACCTGTAATTGTGGCAGAGAAATCAAAATAGTTAAATTGCGTACCTCTGTTAAAGTAAGGACGCGTGACAGTTAGGTCACGCCTTTAAAAGACCAACAAGGGATTGGCATAGATAATAGTGGGATCGGTTTCACATATAATATAAATTTGAATTGTAAGTTGTAGTGGTAATTTATTTATTAAAAGGTTATAGATAAATTAAAATGACCTGAGTTTCTACCTCTTTATCATACCTGCCAACTTTTAATCCCTTCCATTATCATTTTTCCCAGTGGTATTAAAATGGAATTAAAACTTCAATTTTAAGCAAACAAATACGTTGTATTTGAGAAAACTTAAGTTGACAACCATGATAGTAACGCATATTAATATCTGTGCTTAATTTTTGTAAGAATAGTGGTGATCAAAATCACTTAAAAATTAAATTTATAAAAGAAAAAATAGTATATATTTACTACCACTTTAAATATGAAAATAAAATCTTCCGGAAAATCCGGAAGAGTTAGCAGGTATGCTTCATTCATTTGAATCGACCGTAGCTTCCCTGCAAATAAGTGCGATCATCATAGTTTAAAAAAAATAACCTATAAATATTGCTTATTTAACTATTAATTAAGCTACATAACCAGACACAAAAAGTACTTTCTCCGAATAAACATATTTTTTTTCAACAACATATTATTTTTTGAATTTTGGATCCTAAAAATATTGGAGTAGTTGCCGTTTGAAAATTATGGTTCCAATAGTTCTGTCAGGAGAGCGGTTTAAAGTTTGTGTCCCTTATTGTTAATTTTACTTTTTGAGTCATCATATCTCAAGAAGTTTCTTAGTTATTTGTATATTTTGTGCATATAAGTTTTGTTCATCCTAAAGTAATTCCAGGTAAAAAATCATTTTAATAATTATTATTTTTAAAAATATGTATTTTATCCCTTTAAGACCTGATTCAGTTTGAAAGTATTTATTTTTTTTCTTGTAATAATAGCTCAAAACGTCAAAAGGTTGTTGTTAATTTATTTTGTTATAAACATTACTCTAAGAAACTAAACGTAATCCAAGCGCATTAGAATACATTATAGATATCATGATCCAATTTTAAGTTTCTGAAGATAATTATTTTTAATATTAAAATGGTACTTTTTAGAGAAGAAAATTTTTACTCAGTTTAAACTTCTTTTAAAATGAATATATTATATCACTATGCACAGACTGGGAAAATGTGTATAGGCACAATCGTGCAGGTTGGATGTTAAATGGATATTTAATAAGGGCGAAGAAAAATGGATTTGAAAAGTTTACAAATTTTTCCATCATTTGAATTGATGTAATTAGAAATGGTAAAATACTAAATTTGAAATAGGTCAAATGGTTTCTGAATTATCAACTTTTTAAAAAAGTTGTATTTTTTAAATTTGATTCCTCGAGAGCTATTCGACCAATTTCGTTTTGAAACATACATAAACTATTAATACCTCTGGTTAAGTCATTTGCCTGTAGTGTTATACCAATGCCTCTACACGGTTTCTTATAGGTGGTCCGATCAGACAACTATGACGGCAAATTTGTAAATGAAGAGACATTTAATACATGATCTAGTAAAAATAAGAAAGTGGTAGCAAATATATGTCTGAAAATTTGTTGAGTTTATGAATATGATTGGTTTGTCTTATTCCATTGCCAACTTATACAGATTCAATTCTCAAATATATATATGATAAATTTCTCTCAATTACTTTTATAAAAGGTTTTGGGTTTATGCGCACAACTGGTTCACTATTTTAGCAGTCTCCGCCGACTACAAAAAAACCTACTACTATAAAATACCGTGTGGAGGCTTTCTGAAGTAGGAGGTGATCTCCTACATCAAAAAGCCTCCACACGGTTTCTTATAACCACTTGTGCGCATGAATCCAAAACCTTTTATAAAAGTAATTGAGAGAAATTTTTCATATATATTTGAGAATTGAATCTGTAGTGGTTGACAAGTGAATAAGGCAAACAAATAATATTCATAAATAAAACAAATTTTTAGTCATATATTTGCTACCACTTTCTTATTTTAACTAGATTTTGTATTAAGTGACTCGTTCGAAAAATGGATACCCTTCACATTGGACGTCTAATCGGACTACCTATAAAATACCGTGTGGAGGCTTTCAGTTATACGCATGTCTTATTTGGAAATTTTTTTTTATTGTGCCTTGACTTCAAAAAAAAAAAAAAANAAAAAAAAAAAATAATAATAATAATAATAATTATTTCATATATATTTATATTAAGTATATATTTTCAGTTCAGTTAATTTTCAGTAAGTTATATTTTCAGTTCTTGAATTCGTTGGATCAACAAAGCGTACGAACATGAATGGGATTTTCAATCTCGGTTATACAGCCGGATTGTGCACATTACCTCTGATTGCTTATTTCAGTAGACACTGGATTACATTTGGATTAGTCACATCTCTTGTGTCAGTGCCTTTACTTTTGTATTGGAAGTGAGTATGCATTCCTGGATTAAACGCAAAATTCATATCATTTTTATATTAATATAAAGTGATGCGTTAACGCAATAGCGGCTGGGAGGGGTAAATAAATAAATAAAAAATGATTTTTGAGATAAATATTGTGGGATTCCCTCTTCCCTCTCTGGGATGGACACGAAGTGTCCATTTGAATGTAAAAGTTTAAGCCTTTCTAGGGTGGTAGGATAAAAACTAACTATTTTAGTCAAATTTTCTCTAGAACATTATTAAAAATTGCAAGTTAATAACTTTTTATGAAATAATATGCATAAAATAGGCTTAAGGTATAATCATGGGTTAAAATTATTAAATGAAATTTCCAAATAGTTATAAGAAATGGAAATTTTTATCATAATTTTTTTTGCACTTGTTTATTTAAAAAATATATATATACTTCGGGAAATTAAACAAAATCAAACAAAAATTAAAGGAATTACGTCAATGCATTTCAAAGGAAATGCTAAATGTTATAAAAATTGATAACATTGCGAAAATACCTATTTTTTAAAGTTTTAAACTCAAAAATATGCCCTCTCTCAAACAGTAAATTTGAAACAGTAGGAAATTAGAGGAATTAATCGCAAAAAAAAAAATGAAAAAAGAAAAACTCTTCCGAAACTTTTAAAGAAAAAAAAATCTGAATGACACTGGGGAACAAAATTTTTTTTTGGTTCTGTTGCATGAGATTTTTTTAAAGAATTTTAGATATTTTCATGTCGTTGATTTCAATTCTACAATTGGTTTCTCTCAACAACCCTTGCAGCAAAATAACTTGGGCCCTCATTGGGCCAATATTCATAAATCTTGGCTTACGAAGGGTTTAAAGGGCCTTTATTTTTCCGATATCACCCCATATTTTACAGCCACTTTACAAGCAATATCGGTCTTATATAGAATTATCAGATTCACCAGATATTTTATAACCATTTTAAGCCAATGTAGGTTCTTGGCCAATGTAAGCCCTATATAGACCATTCTAGAACCAATATTAAACAATGTAGACATTCCAATATTGGTCCCTCGGTGCACGTTCTTATAGGATTCATATTGAGAAAATTTCACGCTTCCCCCCCCACTCTTTTTTGAGTAGGGGAATTCAATCTTTCATTTTAAGAGAGTGTGTTTTGTGAAAACCTCATTATTTTTTAAATTTATTAAAGTAACTATTAATTATAAACTTTGGTATCTCGAGTCATTTCATCTTCCATGATTTTGAACCTATGTTTTTCGAAAACTTTATTTTTTAAATTTACTAAAGCAACTATTAATTACAAACTGTAGTATCTCGAGTCATTTCATCTCCAACGATCTTAAATCTATGTTTTGTGAAAGCCTCATTATTTTTTAAATTCATTAAAATAACTATAAATTATAAACTTTAGTATCTCGAGTCAATTCATCTTCAATGATCTTGAACTTATATGTTTTGGAAACCTATTTTTTAAATTTGCTAAAGTAACCTTTAATTATAAACTTTAGTATCTCGAGTCAATTCATCTTCAATGATCTTGAACCTATGTGCTTTGAAAACCGTATTTTTTAAATTTACTAAAGTAACTTTTAATTATAAATTTTAGTATTGCAAATCACTTCAGTTGCAACAATCTTAAATCTATGTTCTGTGAAAACCTCTTTTTTATTAAAAATTTATTATAGTGACTATTAATCATATACTTCAGTACATCAAATTTTGACTATATTTGATCAAAAGTGAAATAAAACATATTTTTTTTCCTTCTTCATAAGATTCCAAGGAGTAGGATATTACATTTTCAGTAGAAAAAATATAACGAATAAAATATATATTGTAGGTTTGAAATTCCTTCGGCGTAATTTAATCCTTTGCACTCCGCTGTCCCCACGGGGGCACCATCAACAGTCACCATTTTAAAATTAAAAAGTTTTATAGCTTAAAAATTTGTAACCACATAATTTTAAGAATTTTAAAATTAAATAACAATAGTATATTGTATATTTTTAAATGCTATAGTGCTGATATTAGATGAAACAGCATTTAAAAGTAGGGGAGAGTTGGATAAAACGGGACAGTCGGACAAAACGGGATACGTCGCCTAGGGACCAGACTATTGCAGCTATCTAGTGGACAACGACAGAAAAGTGTTATTCGACCGTGATTATATCATTCTCGGTGCGTCCCGCCTTGAGATCACTATTTGATAGAAAGTTGTAGGTCTCAGAATTTTTTTACTCTATTTTTTTGCCATTTTCTACATTTACGTGCGTTGTTTTTTACATTGTACTGCCTACATATATGGGAATAAAATTCCGGTGAGTATTAAATTTAATTAACCATTTATTTACCAATATTTTTATGTGCAGTCTATCTAATTTTCTTTTCACATTTACGCAGCAACCATGTTTGTTTCAAAAAGTGACGGAGTCGGACAATACCGGAACACTTGTGAGTTGGATAAAACGGGGTAGAGTTTTTCATGTCCCGTTTTATCCACCTATTTATTTATTGGATTATTACATTTTAAAATAGCCATATATTAATGTAGGCCTAGACTTTTTAAACAACTTATTTATATTAACTATGTATATTTTTTGAATAATTTAGTCTCCTTATATAGTAATGCAAAATTTGTTTATTAACGTTCATTATTAAGCATTTTATTTTCGACTCTAGGATTTCACATCTTTCTTTAGAACTAATTGTAATGTATTTCTCTGATGAAGACTTGAGATTTTTTATATATAAACTTCTTAATTTTCTGGATTGCTCAATTCAATCTACATTCAATTCTAAAATGAATTCTTCTCTTTGTAACTGAAGAATTTAAATGCTTGATTATTAAAGAGTCTTTCAGGGATGTTACGACATCAATGGAGTGAATTAGAAATAAAAGTGAATTAGAAATGGAAGAAAAGGAAAGGATTATTAAACTACAAAAAAAGAACCAAGAGAATTGAAGAAAAGGCTGCTAAGAAATCTCTATTAAGAGCACAAGGCACATCTCGACAACGAAAAATGTGAAAATAAGCCTTCATGTTTGAAAACTCATAGTCTTTAAAAACAAATGTAGCATCATATTTTTTTGTGTACTTACTTATAAAACAACAATCTATATAAAAGTGTTAGAACAGTAAAATCCCATGAATATAATTTATAGAAATTTTGCTTTGCAGTTCTCTGTCAGTTAATTATGCTTTTCACTTAGTTTTATGCAAAAAATTAAACATTGTAAACCCTATCCCGTTTTATCCAACCCAGGTATGCTAAAACGGGATATGTAAGAGTTTGGAAATTAATTTTTTTTTCTATTTCACAGTCATTAAAATTAGTTTAAAATATGTTTTTTGTGTGCTTCAATAAATGTTGTAGCTACAAAAAAAATAATGTATGGTTTTCCTTAACAGATATTCCGTAGTAAATAAAAACAATAATGGTATCCCGTTTTATCCAACTCTCCCCTACTCGGAGTGCAAAGGGTTAAAAAGTAATTTTTTTTTAAAAAAAGAAGAAAAAACTCTTAGTCATAAATTTTTTTTATATATCTTCGTTTTTCAATTTTCGTGACTTGTAAATGTTATATTATAAGCTTTTTTCTTTAATTATTAGACCTTTATTTTCAGATTTCTACCTGAATCACCACGATGGCTAGTTTCCCAAGAAAGATACAACGAAGCTGCAGTTATTTTATCTGGAATTGCTCGTGAGAATGGTAAAATATATGATGAAAAGCAGCTATTACCAAAATTAATGGTAAGAGATAAATAATGAGTTATTTCGGTTTGAATTAGTTTTCTGATCTAAACCTCTTTACATGTTCCCATTTCGGGGACTGATCTTTTTTTATTTTCTCAGTTATGAAGAAAATAGTCACAGGAACTAAGAACATTGCTGTGAGACACGTAATTCTCGTCTTCACAGAACTATTTTACTAATAAATTGTCATCAGAATGAAAGTACGGATGCTTCAAATAAAAAAATTTTAACTATCATATTTCATCAGACAGATACTTTAGTTTTATATAAGAAAACGACTTCATGAATAGTTCTATTAACGAGTTATCGATTATTAATTGACTGATTATTAATCGATTCTTTTTGTTTTGAAGGGAATTGCTGACACTACATCTCAAATTTCTGTCGTAGTTTAGTTTCATAAAAATATAATACGCTGGTTATAAATATAATACGAGAAGTGTTGAACTAATACGTTTATCCGGCCAAAATGTAAAGCCCCAATAATTTGCTTATCAGTTACGATAATTGAACATGAATTGTACCCATGTACAGGGTTTGGACAAAAATATGGAAATACTTCTATACTAACTATATTCTAATATTTGTTTTCTTCTTCTTCTAAATCTTCCTCTTCTTCAAATACTTCTATACTGTTATTTCTTTCAGCAGCAAATGTTTTGGCAGATTTTAAATCACGAAACTGTTGGCACAATTATTGAAGATCGTGCTTGAAGCTTTTAGAAATGGTGTCCTTTCTAACCATACAAAATTTACACCTACCAAAATGAGCGTAGGAAGTTAAAATTGTTTTTCCTTTTTAATACCACTATAATTAAAAAAACTTTCTTTAATAAATAATGCAATTGCATATCAATTAAAATTGCCTGTAATAATGCGAAATAATTATCATTCGCGTCCTTTCCTCATATTGATGGATCTAAATTTTGCATGGTTAAAAATTACGTAACCAATATTTACGTAATGTAAGGTCAAAAATTACGTAAAGTTTTGCTACTTAAATTTGTCTTTTAAGACACTTGTGCTAAGAAAGATTGCTTACATAGAATAAATATAGAAATGTTACCGTAATTTTCTCCAACCCATGTAAGTATCTTTTGCTAATGTATTCGAGTTTGTCAAATATTTTATTTTTGACCGTTAGAGCTCTCCATGAATATGAATTCAATTCTAATATTGAAGGTATGAAAGTATAGTAAGTAGTCTGCCAGACTTATTCAAAATTGAACCAGTGTTGCGCATGAAACCGAATTCTATTTCAATAGCAAGTGAGAGAAAAATTCCATATACATTTAACAATTGAATCTTTGGTGGTAGACAAGTAAATTTGACAATTCAATTATTTTCATAAATTAAAACAATATTTTAGACGCGTATTTGCTATCACTTTCTTATATTTATAAAATTTTCTATTAAATGGCTTTTTTATAATTAGTTAACTTTCCTAGTGGTCTGATAGGACTACCTATAAAATCCCGTGTGGAGGCTTTCGAGTCGAAATATGCTGGGTATTATTAGTCTCTACACAAATTTGTAAACACTATCTTTTTCGATACATAGTTTACAAAATGATGCATTTTTACTTCGTGGTAGTGAAACGGTACTTCAGTATTATTTTTTGTAGTTAATCATAAAAGATTATCTTCCACAGTTTAATTAAGTTCATTATGTATGCTATTAAACGTGATCTGGGTAATTCAAAAGTTTAAACTTTCCTTAGTTGCTATGGAGTAAAAAATTGCATTCAAATTTAAATTGTTTGAAATGTATACAATTGCTTTTTTTTTATATAACATGTGTTTTAATTTTATTAGTGTAATTCAATTATTTAACACGTTCACGCCGGGTGTTGCGCCTGAAAGCGAGACGGAAAAGAGAAAATAGAAAAGAGAAAATACTGGTAGAAGAACTGTTTCAATATTAGATAATATTCGGGAGAAGATAATCTATTCTCAACAATAACAATTCACTGTAAGGAAATTTATCATGGCGAAGAAGCAATTCAATATAAAAATTGCATCCGTTAAAAACAATTGGTAGTTATAGATTTTTATTATTCCCGGAAAAAAACTAAAATATGAAATTTATTTGTTACCAGTTTTTACTCCAGTGCGTCGTCACCCGATGAGACAATCTAGCGTGACCCACCGGTGGGGAACATGTTAAGGTTAGGGATTATTTTTTCAATGGCATTGCACTGAAGCAGAACTTTTTGATAGATTTTTTAAAATTTTTTTTCCATGAACTAAGAATTCGTCTTACCTTATATGTATCTGTTTATATTACTTGTGTTTAGTGGTTATAAGCTTTTTAATTCTAATTTATTAAAATATGGTAGTAGTTGAAGTCTCTAGCATAACCTCAACTGAAACATGTACAGAGATGCCAACTGCTCCGGACACGCCAAAATAATAAAAAAAACGGTAAATAACTGCAAAGTAAATTTTGCAAATATTTGACTTTTTCTGCATGCTTTTTAGAAGGTAAAGCATGATTGAACAATTACAAATTGGTGAATTAAATAAGCCTACGAATTATGTAGAAATAGTGGTGGATAAAAATCTACTAAATTGAATTTATTAAACCAAAGATTACAATTGAGAAACTATCACTTTAAAATATATATTTGCTGTCCGGAGCAAGTTGGCATCTCTGCATGTATTAAGCTCCAGGCAGTTCATGGAAATTATTTTGACATGACGTTTAGATGACCACCATCAGTGCTTCTGTTCTTTAGGTGTATTACAGACATGCGAATTTGCTCCGGACAGAAAATAAATATTTTGGAGTGGTAGTTTATCAATGTATTATTCTTGGTCTAACAAATTCAATTTTTTAGGTTTTTATCTACCACTATTTCTAAATAATTCGAAAGTTTATATAATTCGCCACTTTTGTTGCAATTAAGTCATGATACAGCGTTTAAAAAGTGTGCATAATTAATATAATATATGCAAATTTTAGTTTGTAGTTGTTTACCGTTTTTTAAATTATCATGACGCGTCCGGAGTAGTTGGCATCTCTGGTACTACCATCAAAATTTTAAAAAGCACCTTAGGGATGACGAGACCGGACGAGTTGCTGAACCCGATTTACTTTTAGGAATTATTAATACCCAGACTCTTAATTATTTTTTTTTTGACTTAGACTCTTCTCATTTTAACTTCCAAATTTTATATTGAACTTTTAACTTCCAGATTTTTCAATTTTTTGATCTTAAACTTTGATTTGACATTAAATAATGTTTGTGATTTTAAAATTTTAGCCAATCAAATCAAATTCTGAATTTTAATTAACTTTGTGATTTTTGATTTTGACTTTTTAACCTCCAATTGTTTATATCCGTTGTGATTTTTAATTCTATTCAACTTTATTACTTATTTAACTTTATTGCCACTTAGAGTTTTTAAAATTTTGATTTGCTGTATAATCTCTGTATCTGTATTCATACGTTATCGTTACCACCCGTTATTTTATATTGTATGTTTTTTGAGGATCTGTATATCTTTGCGTATATTCTGTATTAGGGGTGGACGAAGCACCCAATGCTTATTAGTATAATAATTGTTTTTTAATATTTCAGAAAATTGCAGACATTGAACATAAGGAAAGATTGGAAGCAAATAATTCTCCGGTAGACTTAGTTCGATATCCTAGCTTAAGAAGAAAGTTCTTAATTATCACCTTGTGTTGGTAAGAAGGATATGAAGTAGAGTAACATAACTTGTCAACTTTTTACGTTTTTTGCTCGCCATTTTTTCTTCAAATAGTTGGGGGAAAAAACAGAGTAGAAGCGTTAAATTTAGCAAAACTCGCTTTAATTTTGAGAGGGTTGAAAAATTAAAGAGCTGAGTAAATGAAAAAAGTATGCGATATTTTCCAAATTATTTAATAATTAAGGGAAATATCATAAAGAGGTCGAACCAATATGGTTACATTTAATATACAGGGGGTGGACAGAATAATTGAGACACTGCTATACTAATACTATTTTTTATATTACTGCAGAAATACTTAAGGGATTATTTTATAACTTCATAAGTGTTTAGAGCATGTGATTTCTTATACACATCAATGAGGGTTGAGGGACCCGCAATAAATTACAAACGGAAAATAAAATTTTTGGTCACCCTATGCCAAAAAATGTAACAATCGATTTGTAACTTGTAACAGTTATTTTGGCTATTATATGCAATAATTATGCAAAAGTTCGTAAGGTTAGCTTAAATATTTATGGAGATATGGACATTTATATAAGAAAGTAATTATTTTGTCTTACGTTTTATTGCTATAATTTTAAAAAATTGAATAAAGCTAAACAAAATTATTCGTGCAATTTAAAATTATTTTTAAATATTTTTCTTTAAAATTTGAGAGAAATTCGTTTAAAACTGCGCAAGATATAAGCAATTAAAGTAGTTCTTTTATTCTGCTCATGTGCGCGAAAAATCAAGAAAATATTTTTCTTAATTTTGTTGCAAATCGTATTTGGCAACTAATAAAAAAACGTACGATTTGAAGATCTTAAAACTGTAAAAAGTTTCAAACAATTTTCTAAGAGGGTTTCGTACTTTTTAAGAGAATGCAAAAAATGATAGAAGGTTTTCCACATATTTTAATTTTGTACTATTAAACAAGATTTATTAAAAATGACCCGGCATTGTTGGGAATCAGTTGAGGAAAGTATCTTTTTTTCGTCTGTCTTCTTTCCTTATTAAATCACATTTTGCTGTATGCACTTCATTGCAAGATATTATCATTTGTTCTTAAATTCTGTCTTTTAGCGCACAAAGTTAGTCCCTAATAATGTTTCAAACTTTTGTATCAATTATTAAAATTGCATTTGTTGACTAGATAAAATTTTATGAAAAGCTTAGACGAAAGAAAAAGGGAATTTATGAATTTTTTTATTTAAGATGGGTAATAAAGTTTAGACACAAATTTAAATATATTTATTGTAAATTGTTACGCAATTAGATAACAAAAGAATCGTACGCACCTGGAAAAAATTAATAACTGGTATTAATTTTGTTTTCACTAATAGCTTTTTCGGATTTATCTATGTATATTTACTTAGAAAAATTAAAATATTCCTGTACCTACAGTCACAATAATATAAAAAATTACTTTAATATTTTTTTAATTTCTTCCCGGTGTATATGAATCCTGTAATATCCTAGTATAATTTTAAAATAAAGAAACACAGATTTTAGTTTTAAGAATTTAATTTGGAATAATAATCAAAGACGTAATATTAGCGGAAAAAGGTCCGAAAGTATGACAATTAGATAGAGAGTGACCACAGGCTGAAGTTTATTTTGCAAAAATCTAGACGTCGATCGAAGAAACAAAGTATTTTAACTGATTCCTACTGAAATGTACTTGCATAAAGATTTGTGTTAAAATTGTCGAACAAAATTCTTAAAAAATAAAAGCAAATTGAAACTTCTTAAATTTACACAGGGTTCGAACAATCTTTAAAAATTTTAAAAAGGAAAAAAAATAAGAAAGTGAAATTCCTTTAAATAAATTTGCAGTTACCAACACTATTAATATTTATAAATCAATTTACATATATTTGAAAAATTCATGGTATTTTATATTTCTAATGAAGCGTTAAAGATAAAAAAAGAAAGGTTTGACTTTTTTTTACCATACTCCACTTTTTAAATTTTATGAAGACCACACGAACCCTGCTTACTGCAGTCATGTGAAATATTAGTGACCACTTTTTAATTCTTTCCAGACTGTGACTATTCTAGAATATTACGGGTAAAATCCTTTAATTTAGTTATAAAGAAATATTCTGCAGGTACAAACAATACCTTTAAAATTTTTATTAATTTTATGCTGATGACACCCTAAGAAATCTGGATCTTTCTATGAGGAAAGGATCATACCGCGTGATTTTCTAGGACGGCCAACTACTACACTTTTTGCAAAATACTTTTTAGAGTAGTAGACAATTAAAAATTAAAGCTTACAGAGTTTTTGGTAATTTAGTCAACATTTTTATAAGCTTTACCATGATATATCTGTAACAAAATTTTTAAATATAAACTTAGCTACCACTAGAACAAAATTTCCAAATCTCCAATTCCAATAAAATTTGCCGACAACTATAGAAAACGGTTTTATGTTAATACGTTTTTAAGCCATATAAAGATATGTAACAAAGCTCAATTAGAAGTAAACTTTTTGCGAATAACTAACTCATGCAAAGACAATTTTAATTTTATTAATTCAAGAAAAACTGCTAAATCAAAAATTCTTTTACTATTTTAACCCGATGTCGCCTCTGAGGATCCATCAACAATCACCATTCTAATATTAAACATTTTTATACCTTAATAATTAGTAATCACATTGTCTTAAGAAATTTTAAATATTATATATGTATTATGTATTTTAAATGATTTAGTGCTTAGATTAGTTCAAAAAGCATTTTAACACGTTCTCGCCGGGAAAAGTGAAAATACTGGTACGGGAAAAGAGAAAATACTGGTAGAAGAACTATTTCAATGTTAGATAATATTCGGGAGGAGTTAATCTATTCTCGACAATAACAATTCACCGTAAGGAAATTTATCACTGCGAAGAAGCAATTCAATATAAAAATTGCATCCGTTAAAAACAATTGTTAGTTATGGATTTCTATTATTCCCGGAAAACAACTAAAAAATGAAATTTATTGTTACCAGTTTTTACTCCGGTTCCTTGCCAAGATGAGACAATCTAGCGTGACCCACCGGTGGGTTACCCCGGCATGAACGTGTTAAAGTATTCGGAGTGCAAAGGGTTAATGCATTTGTTTACTGTTTCAAGACTCTAAAAGCTTTGTTGTGACACATTTATTTCAGTTAAAATAGTCACATTATTCTCACAGGATTGCTGACATTTTCGCTTATTATGGACTGATTCTGAATGTTTCTAACCTGTCTGGAAACTTCTTTCTCAATTTCTTCTTATCATCAATCATTGAAGGACCCGGCCTTATTTGTGGATGGTATTGCATGGAAAAGTATGGAAGACGGTGGATTGTTGTTATAGCTTTGTTACTTACAGCGATTTCATGCTTTTTTCTTGTCATCCAAGTCGGTAAGTAATTAAAGGAATTAACTTACTCTATTTAAAATAAATCTAACACAGATGGAATGTTGTTTTACCATTTTCCAAAATTGAGAAAGGGTTTAAATTGTTGCATGATATTTTCATTACTTATTTGAGTGAAGTTTAGATGAGCTGAGAGCCGTGATGGCTCCCTGGTACTAAACTGTCATTGTGAGCCGTGAAGCACTAAATTGTCACTTTGAGGAACTGGGTGTCGACCCACATCTGTTTGAAGATCACCCAACTTCAGATCCTTGGATACTAGTTTTTGGGGGAAGTAAAATTGTGGCCTGTACCATCACCTCCTACACCAAAAAGCTTCCACACGGTATTTTATATAAGTAGTCCGAGCAGACTGTTTAAAAAGTGAACCAGTTGTGCGCATGAACCCAAAACCTTTTATAAAAGTAATTGAGAGAAATTCATCATATATATTTGAGAATTGAATCTGCAGTGGTTGACAAGTGAATAAGGCAAGCCAATAATATTCATAAATAAAACGAATTTTTAGTCATATATTTGCTACCACTTTCTTATTTTAACTAGATTTTGTATTAAGTGACTCGTTCGGAATGTGGATATCCTTCACAGTGGTCTGATCGGACTACCTTTAAGAAACCGCGTGGAGGCTTTCAGTTGTAGGAGGCGTTGCCTGTACGCACTTCTGACTATATTACCACAATCATGCCGTTGATCACGAAATTGTGGAGCTTTAATTTACGTGATCCCCTCTTGCCCACAATGGGCTGTTGCGGGAATGCTTTTCAGATGGGTGGCAAAATAAACGGGCACTTCTTTACTAATTTATGTAAACGATATTTCTTTTAGCAGCAAATGTTTTGAGCGATTTTGCATGACAACACTGTTGGCATTATTTAAAAGATCATGCTTTTAGAAATTGTCACCTTTTTACTCAAGCAAAATTTGAGTTTAGTAGTATCGTGATCTAAGCATGTTTATCCTATTTTAATGCTGTGGTAATTAAATTTAAATTTGTTGAAGCAACAATTATGTACGAATGAAGGTATTTTGCTTTGACATTAAATGTTAAACATTAATCTTCTGGAAAATGTGAAGGAAAGTTCCGTTATGGAATAAGTGAACGAGATAAAACGTTGAAACCGTAGAAGCTGATGACGGATTTAATTCTAAGCATTCTTATGAAGATATTCTTGTTAAGAAATGATTTATTTTAAGCGCCAAAGGCTACAATTTGCTTAAGCGCCCAGCGTTTAACTCAATGAGGCGACAATGTCAATTCATTGCTACTTGATATAGCCTACTTAGTAACAGAAGTTGAAAACTCCACCGACCCACCTCAAAAATATTGATACTTTGATTTTTCTCTCTCATTTTCTATGTACAGTGCGCCAAGAAAAACGGACCAGCCTGAATAAATTTTCATCTAATCATCGGATCTTCCTTTCCAGAACTCGATCTTAATGGTTGAAGGTCCCGCAGTGGACTGATCGTTAAGACACTGTTCCCAGCGGAGCACAGAAGTAAAGCATCACTGGCTATGGTCAGCGTGCGGGTGGGTGACCACTTGGATCAGTCTGCGTTTTGACCGAGGGTGTGCGTTATTGGTCCTCGTTAAACTGTTCTGCCGTAGAGTGCTCGACTTCGCGTGCAGGTCGTTGGGCTACCGAAGAGGGGGTGCCATCCCCTCTGCAGAGGATCAAAATTGTCATGGCATGTGTTCGGATCATCCTCAGGGATGTTTCCCAGACCGTCGCCAATAGCCCATTGTGCTGCTCTAGTGTGACGTAAGTGAACTACAACAACTTAATGATTCAAGGGGGTAACTTCAAATATGCTAATTAATTAGTGCAGATGATATTTTAAGCTACGAAATCAGACACAAAACGTGCTTTTCTGAATAAATACATCTTTTATCAGCAGATTCGTATTCCTAACAACCAAAATATGGAGAGTCGCTTACATCTGGGAAATATGGATTCCACAGTTTTGTCAGGATTGCGATTCAAAGTTTGGGTCCCTTAATGTTAATTTCCCTTTTTGCGTATTTAGCCATATTCCAAAAATGAAATTGACTTAAGTTAATTAACAAAATTTTTGAGCACAATTATAAAATTCGTGAAAGAATTCTAAAGATAATTCCGTGAGAAAAATAAATTTTAGTAAATATTTCTTATTAGTCAATTTAGAAATAGTCGACAAATTTTGGCACATAAATTTGTAAGGTATATAAATTTAGACATAATTCTTAAGTACATAAATTTACATTCCAAAATACAAAATTTGAGAAAAATCGGTTGAATAGTTCCTGAAAAATCGAATTTCGAAGAGTCGTATTAAAATTCGATTTTTTAGGAACAGATTTCGCTTAAATATTGCATTTATTATGCAAAATTACGTACTTTAAAATTATTTTTAAAATTTTTTACCTTACAATTCAAAAATTTTATAATGAAATAATAAAATTTAATGAAATAATAAAGAAAAAGAAAAAGAAAAAAAAAAGAAAAAGATTTCTGCTGAAAAAGAAAAAGATTTTTATTCATGATGAATCTGTAGTGGTTGACAAGTGAATAAGGCAAACCGATAATATTCATAAATAAAATAAAATTTTAATCATATATTTGCTACCACTTTCTTTTCTAAATTATATTCTGTATTGAACGACTGGTTCGGTAAGTAGATATCCTTCAGAGTGGTCTGATCGGACTACCTATAAAAATCCGTGTGGAGGCTTTCAGTTATAGGAGGCGTTGGCTCGGCTCTCTACTAAAGTCTTAATAAATTGGTAGCAAATTAAATAGTAAAAAAATAGTTATATATAATAATAAGGATGAGTACGTTTACTCTTTAACCCCTTGGGGACGGGTGATTCATAAAAGCATTCCAACAAAATCAGAATGTAAATAAATAAAAAGCGGTAGCTTAAATGTAGGCGTTGCTAATTTGACAGACTTTCTCTGCTTTTACTTTAACCGGTTAACGCCCAGCGTCATATATTAAGGACAGTTCCTTTTTTCAAAGACATTCATTGTGGTGGGAAACTTTTTTCAGAATTTTCATTTATCTGGGTGAATTAAAAGATTCTCAGATACCACAATGATTTAGTTATTTCTGATTAGATCTAGAATTATAAGGGGCAAGTACTTTTTGATCTACCAAAGACTTTTTGAATGTCCTAACAGTAGAAAAACCAATTAATTTCAAAAATATATTATACCACTTTTTGTACGATTTCAATACATAAATTCGGGACATAACGGGTTAATTATTGTTAGTTTAATCATATAATCAATGTTAGTTCAAAGTATAACTAAATAATTCCATTTTGAATTAAAGTAATGGTGAATTAAATAAATCAAACAGTTATAACCCGCCCACAAATAAACTGCTTAAGATCTACTTTGGTTATCAGTTTAATCTTTTTACCCTGATTGATACGGTTTTATGCTGTCACGTATTTGTGACAGTCGCCATGAAATGATTAGCCGTATCATCACGAAGATAACTGAGACAAAGTTGTATTGCATATAATTTTTTGAATCCTTGATATAAAGTGGTGAAAAAATCATTTCAACTGAAAAATACTGTACTAAAAATTTACTAGAATTTCGCCACCACTAGAAAGTATTCTTTTACAAAGCGGAGTAAGGTGGCATCTTTTGTAATGCATTGGTATTTTAATAAAAAAGAGTTAATAAAATTTTGTCCTCATGAATGAATGAATTGTTTGAATGGTCATATGACAGGTCAGATGTACAAAAATTTACGTCTGTAAGTCCTAATACTTACCTGCCAACTTTTACGCATTTGGCGTAAAATTTTATTTCTATATTTAAAGTGGTAGTAAAATGTATGCTTTCTATACATTCTAGCATTTATAAACTTACTTTATAATCTTTTTGATCCACCACTATTTTCAAAAAAATTAATTATATATACTAATTTGCAATACTGTATTGGTAGTATATGCAGCGTATGTTTCTGCCTAAAATTATAATTTATAATTCTATTTTACTACCAGTGGGGAAAATCATCCTCGAAAGGATTAAAAGTTGGCAGGTATACTAAAAAATGTTTCAGTAATTTCCGGTTTAGATATTTCCCAGATTGCGGTTACTTCCTATATTTTGAGAGTCAGAAATCAGAATCCATCGAAAAAAGGTATGTTTATGTGTCTGCTTTCGTAACTTAAAATACCTTCTGAACTTATTAATTAGCATATTTGAGGTCAACCCCTCGAACCATTAAGATTTAGTTTTAGAACATGAAGATCCTATCATAAAATCAAAAGTTATTAGGGTGGTCAGTTTTTTTTGTGTGCGCTGTAGATATTTTTTATTGCATTAAAATATAAAGAGTTGGCAGGTATAAAATATTTGTAATTTTATTTCACTTTTGGTAGGAGAGCCTTCATATGCGCAAGTGATTTCTCTCATCGGTAAATTTGGTGCATCTGCAGCATTTTTTGGAGTTTACCAACAGAGTTCAGAGCTCTATCCGACAACAATGCGATTGATCGGTATGGGTGTCAGTGGTGCAATAGCCAATGCAGGAAATATTATTTTACCGTTCATTATATACTTGGTAAGTAAGAATTTAACACATTTTAACTCCATAACAAGATGATTTAATAGAAATTCTTCTCTCTTTACATTTACGAGTAATTTTTTTGCATAGTTTTTATTTTTAACTCATTTGTACTTATGGTCCATTTAGAAGAACTGTTCTTTTTCTCAAAAATGGGAAAAAGGTCATAGAATAAGTGCTCTATTATCAGGACTTAATTTGCAAAAAACTAGATGGATCTTTCTATCATAATATGCTAAAAATTCAGAGATTTCAAGTCAATGTACAAATTTTTTTTTAAGTTAACGAGTTAAATAACGGAATAAATACTCGCTCATTAAATGTATACCACCACTTATCTCATATATAGACCTTTTTAAAAGTTAGGACTTTGAAAAGTCAAAGTTTTTTTGAAGTTTCCTAGAATTGTGAATACTACGGCAAATTTTTAGTTAATAGGTATGTTCTTTTTTTAATGCTTGCATGAGTAATTTTTTAAATAGTAAAATGAACAATAAAACTTTTGATATATCTAATTTCTCCTAGAACGAAACAGTTCAGTAAATATATTTTAACCCATATATAGCAAGCGTCCTCTTAAAAGTACAGTTCTTTTTTCTTTAGAAATGAAAGATATGGCAGTTCGAGTGCCTTATATGAGGAATAATTTTGAAGAAACCAGATAGGTTCTATACAACATAACATATAAAGTATATTAATATTTTATTTTTATTTGAAATTTCGAAACAGTATGTTTTTTAAAAGGGCTGATTTTCCGACAACCGTTTATACGACAAGCATAAAGAGATCCTCATCATTTTTATAGTTGACGTTACGCAATAAATGTTGCTTTTTTTGGCCTTGCTCTACTACACACAGCATTCGATTTAATCTCAATACTGTTCTGACGAGGAAAACGAAGTTAAGCAGCTGGAACACAGAATGATACAGAAAATAAAGTACCAAGGATTATTTTTCTTAATAATATTGTATCATTATTAAAAAAATACGACGCTGGTAAGTTTTGTTTTAAAGTTATTGTAATTGCTCTAGCTATACTAAATAATTTCACTCATTCTTTAATGTTTATACCATTAAAATTCATTTTGGAAAAACCTGATTATCTGCTGATTTGTCTCCGACACGTGGGAGTCAGATAATCTGAAATTTACCGTACTTAAAGACGACATATTTCAGGCAAATTCAACAATAGATTTTGGCGTTTTCTACCTAATGGTATTCAATTGTTAAAACACGTTTAACATGACGTTTGAAACTTGTTAAGCCGTTTATTGTAAACTCACGCTGTTGAGTGAAACCGGTACTTAAGCACTCCGCTATAAGCCAGTATATATGCTTTGATTTAAAAATAACTACGTTGAAAATGTCGTAGATAGCAACATTATTGAGGAAATTCTTTTAATATATTAAACTTTAAAGCAATTGTATTAAGTGAGGTACTTGCTCTGCTGCACCTCGAAAAATGTTTACCTATAGGCATACCCTCCAACTGTTACGGAATTTCCGTAGTTTCAGAAATCTTCTTTTCAGCAGAAATCTTCTTTTCAGACGGTAGCAAAATTAATGTCTTAATATTTAAAAATTTTAATTTAAGCGTAACTTGTCCACTATTACTTATAAAAGTGCAGGCCATATGGCTAGATTCTTAAGTTCTGATAAAAGTTTTATGAGAGATCCATTTGCTTTAAAAATTTCTTCTTTGGTTCGCTACCACTAGAAAGAATTATTTTCAAAATCCTCATAAGTTGGAGGGTATGCCTAAAAAGATTTCTGAAACTACGGAAATTCCGTAGCAGTTGGAGGGTATGCCTATAGCCAACAGAGGTACGATATCGAGAAATTTATGTAAAAAATTAAAGTTTTTTTATTTTAAATTATATATTTTTCTATTAAAATAGTGGTAATATTAGGAATAAGTGTTTCTCTTTCAACCTAAAATGTCTACCGGGTGGCCGAGTGCTTACCGTGCCTGACTGCGGAGCCGATGGTTGCGGGTTCGAATCCCGCCCAGGGCATGGATGTTTCTTTCTCTCTTTATACTCTATGTCCTTTCTTCTGTGTGATTGTGCGAATGTAACCCGCCCTATAAACGAGTTTGTGGTTGTATGACGTTGACGACGCTACTCCACCGCCGCTACACCATAGACCAATATTCCATCTACCTATATTGGATTAATGCCACAAAAAATATATTTTGAACGCGTTTAATATGTCTTGTAAGTTGAAGCAAGTTTTCTATGCGTATTATACTTAGGGATAAAGTATTTTCTGGCTACGAAAGTTAAATATACTGAAAAATCCTAGCATGCAATGTGTTGATTTCGCGGTATGGTGCATCCCTGAGGGAATATGACATGGAAAATATATGTTGTACTCCTAGTCATAATTCCTGCCAAGTTTTATACAGTGCCTCAAATATAAACGATGGGCTCGTGGAGCTTGTTGTAGACGTTTCGATGGCACAGTCGCTTGTACTGCTGGTTGGAGAGTTGTTCCGATACTGAAGGCATACAAAACAACCGGCGTTTATGCAGAGTGTGCATGTTAAATCAGTTGTGGCAGAAAGTTCCCTTATTGGTTATGATGAGGAAGCATGGAAAGAGGGTACCAGCTCAGGAGATGTTCATATCGTGTGACAAGGCTGTACGAGTCGTTCGTTGCATGAACTTTAAACCCTTCGGGACGGGTGATTCAGAAAAGCATTCGTACAAAATCAAAATCAAGTTGTAATTAAATAAAAAGCAGTAACTTAAATGTAGTCGTTGCAAATTTGACAGACTTACTTTTCTTTTACTTTAATTGCTGTTAGTTTAATCATATATATAATCAATGTTAATTCAAAGTATAACTAAATAGTTTAATTTTAAACAAAGTAAAACTAAACTAAACTCAGTGGCGCGACAGCCCATAGAGGGCCAAGGCCTACTGTGCCCATCTCAGTTTTCTTGACCTTGGGCTCTGGGGTGCAGGAGCAGATGTTCCGGTCAGGTGGTCAGCCGAACGCGGAACCCCCAGTGTTAAGTTCCCAAGCATGCTTGGTACTCATTTATCGACCCACTGAAGGGATGAAAGGCTGAGTCAACCTTGCCCGGCCCGAGGATCGAACCAGGGACCTGTGGCACGACAGCGCGAAGCGCTACCGCTCAGCCACCGGGCGTCTTAAACAAAGTAATGGTGAATTAAATAAATCAAACAATTATAACTCCGCCCACAAATAAACTGCTAAAGAATTAATCTGATTACCAGTTTTATCTTTTTACCCTGATTGATACGGTTTCATGCTGGCACGTATTTGTGACAGTTGGCGAGAAAGGGTTAAGAGACAGTGGCCTGAAAAAAAGGGCTAGGTTTTGACCATGGTGGGATGGTGTGTGAATCCTTTATCATTGCAAATGAATATGATCGTTTCCTGTTCTTGAATCTGAACAGCTAACTAAATTGCGATAAGTTCCGCACATGTACCATATATTATATGTGTAACAATAGAGTAATAATTACATGTGTAATATATTTAACCACCTGACCCAAAATCTGGGACGTTGATCTATGATGAATTGTTTAAAAAAGTAAGTTAAATTTTGCATTGATTTGGTTGTTAAATTTGGGGATAATTCTTTACCATTGGAAAGTCACTTTTATTGATATTGTATATTTTATAAGGGCATATTTAGAGTCATATAATCTATTTCTTATATGGGCATTTCAAACTTTGACCATTTCTTAAACACGCAATATGAGCAGTTTCCACAATTAAAAAGCTCACCGGCAATGCACTTGGGTTGGTATCTCTAAATTGCAAGCTCGCAATTGCAAGCCATTTCAAAATTTGATAATTTTATTTAATTTAAGAAAACTCATGTATCAATTTTATATTTTATATTTTAATTTCTCTTTTTTAAATAGTGGTAACATAAAATATGCTAAAATATTTATCTATAAAATGGCGTTGTTACGTAATACCAGGACCCGGTATATTTATGTCGTAATACTCCCCGTCAAAATTCCTGTAAATGCCTTAAATTTGAACGATGGGCTTATGAAGCCTGTAGCATTGCAGATGAACACGATTGTTTTCTGCTCTTAAATCTGATCAACTAATTTACGATAAGATCCAAATACATTCCATAAATTGCATACAATTATAATAATGGAGGTTGCAAATATAACATATTTAACACTAGGTTTACGGGAAGCGTCATTTTGTGACTCAATTACAAAACCAGTTGGCATTTCTATTTTATCTCTTGTTATGACTTTTATCCATTGATCGAGGAAAATATATATTGAAAAATAGACTTCAGAAAATAGACTTCAATATATATTTATATATTCAGTAATATATATATATATATATATATATATATTCAGTTGAAATATTGAAATTCTCTTTGTGGTATATCTATCGCTACCGATATGCGTCATTTTGACGCGATCGTAATTTAGACAAAATTTTGAATAAACATGCAAACTTCGCATCAATAATAAATAGGAATGTACCGACAATACTTCGATCCGTTATCTCAAATAAAACAAGTGATAAACAACTGTTGCCCATAAGCAATAATAGAAAGAACAAACGCAGAATATCAACTGATGTCAGGCCTCAGATTTTGAAGGTGTTCGAGTATTGAAAAATAAAATACTCGCTATTATCGAGTATTGAAAAATAAAATATTTCGCTGCGAGAGCAGCATAAATGTCAGAATTATGGAACACTAGCACAAATGGTTCGGGAGTTATGAGAGATTCGACATAATGATTCCGATACTGCAGGCAAACAGAAATACTAAACAACGATCAAGTGTTAACTGGAAAACAATAATGTTAACTTATCATTAAAATTACATTCGAAGTTCTAACTCACTGAAAATTTTAAGCGATTTTTAGTCGATGACAGAATTTTGGAACACTAGTACAAATGATTCGGGAGTTATGGGAGATTCGACATAACGTTCCGATACTGCAGGCAAACAGAAATACTAAACAACGATCAAGAG